AATTGTAGACCATTGTTCAAAGTTTCACTTCTTACAGCCGTTGCGGAAATTTACTTCCGAAAGGATTTGTGATTTTCTTGAAAAGCACGTTTTTTATACCTTCGGCACACCAGAGTCCATACTGACGGACAACGGGTCGCAATTCAAATCAGGGTATTTTAGAGCTTTTCTAACGAAATTTGGAGTCAAGCATATTTGCACAGCGATTTATTCACCACAAGCTAACGCAAGTGAGCGAGTGAATAGATCGATACTAGCTGCAATTAGAGCTTATATCGGTACTGACCATACGAATTGGGATACAAACATAGACGCGATAAGCGCATCCTTGAGATCTAGCATACACCGAAGTACAGGATTTTCTCCGTATTTTCTTTGTTTTGGTCAGAACATGATAGCCAACGGACAGGATTATGAGTTGCTCAGAAATTTGAATTTGTTAACCGACGATGTACCGCTAAAAACAGCTGACATGTTGCAAATAGTGCGTCAGGAGGCTAAAAAGAAGATTGCAGAATCACACGCCGCAAATGCTAGGGTATATAACTTGCGCAGCCGAACCGTTCACCTGAAGGTCGGAGACACCGTATTCGCACGCAGTTTCGCTCAAAGTAATGCGGGGAAAAAGTTTAATAGCAAACTCGCGCCTGTTTTTATCAAAGCAACGGTAACAAAGAAGATCAGCCCAACATATTACGAGTTAGCAAATGAATCAAATAAGTCCTTAGGCGTATACCATTTGAAAGACATTAGAACCTGAATTGTAGATAATATGGTGTTTACTGACCCTTGTTTTTCTTTCAGTTAACCCCTCGGCGAGTTCAATCTCTTGCTGAGTTAACTGTGGTGTGGGGGCCAGTCGAAAAATGAAGTTATAAATTTGTTTTCAGAGATAGAGAAAAGTCTTTATTCATGTAAATTCGTAGATGCCCAAAAGCTAAGCGCAGGGTATAGCTGAAGAGCATCGAGCATCGTCTAGCTGAACCGCTCGCACAACTAGCGTACCGGCATAGCGCTCTCTCTATCGTGCGCACCGAAGAAAAACGTGTGAAGGCAGAAACGCAAACTGAATCTGGAACGATCCCGTTACGTGAAGTTTGGCAACGCCGCCGCGTACAGCCAGCTTCACGCGACGAAAATCTCGTTCACTTCTTTTCAAACTCTGAATGAGTACAGACATGCGACTGTCGTAAGATCAAGAGTAAGTGCTGAAAAGTACAAACCACGTGTCTGAGATTTGTGAACTTGTGAATCAATCTAACAAAGTCAACGATTGTAAGAGGATTATTATTGTTTTAATACCCAACTACTGGTAAATATTAGCACCCAGCGTAACCGTGTAGGCAGTGTAAATAGAACAGTGTATTTTTTTTTAATAGGAAAAGAGAGAAGATTCCGTCGAAGCCGGCCGGCAACATCAGCGCCAGCTCGGCGTGATCACGCCGTTTGTAATTTCATCGGCCAAGACGAGATTTTCTGAGAGATTTTGGAGCCAATTTGCCACGGCGGAGTTGCCACCTGCGGACACGTGCCTCGCGGAGCGCAGCTTTGGTCCGCGAAAGGCGCCCGTATTCTGGAAGGTGACCGAGGCTGCAGTTTGCCCACCAACTACGCAAATCTGTAGCTCGGCTCCTCACCAACCGCATGCCACGTGCGGCCTAGAATCATCTCTAAGATCAACCACCTGAATGACGACTTAAAGAAGTGCATAACCTCACCAGCACGCGCCACGCGCGGCATCCACCTACCCAGCTCTGGCGAAGCCATAGAGCGACAACGTGGAAGGTTATTGTACCAGGACTTAACATCACTCCGACCATTGATGATCACCTCACCAACCCGCGCCACGCGCGGCATGTAAGCACGCAGCTCTGGTTTGACCATCGAGCGATCTTCGGGAAGGTGATCGGATGAGGAAGTGAACGACTACCGGATGTGACACCTGCTACGCGCCTACATCGCCCCACCAACACGCGCCACGCGCGGCAACGAAGCGCCCAGCTCTGGCTAGCCCATAGAGCCGATATTTTGGAAGGCGAGTCGTAGCGCAGCAACTCGGCACTTCACCCGTACTGGCCACGTGCGGCTTGCCGATGGAATAAGCCTCGCAAAAGGCTGATGATTTAAAGGAAGGACAACCCAGAGGAATAGACCTGTTGTCTGACATGCGAAGACGCAGATCCCTTCGTGTGTAGTGAGCTGATCAGGAACCGCACAGGAGAAGCAGTAGTGAATCGAGGATGAGAATCACTTTGCCTATTTTAAAGTCAAGCTTCACGTTTTTTTTTGTAGAGTAAATTTACGGTACTTGCTTACGTAGCGTACCATTGTATTGGTTCAGTAGAAATTCTTATTAGTTTTCTGACAATGACCACCCGTGTAAGCCACGCAATTAATCTCGTCAGAAATTAATATGTAAATTTGTCTAAAAGCACCCTAGCACAGCGTCTTCGATGGGCCCAACGAACCTGCATCGCCGGAGTTTTGCGTAAGTGAGATCTATAAACCACTATATTGATTTCCTGACTTTTACCGATATATTTGAATGGTATTATTATTGTGTGTGCATATTAGACGGAAGGTTATGAAGTCAGTGTAGCAATTATCTGTAATTCGGAATTGAGTTTGATATCGAAAAGAGAGAATTGAAGTTGTATTGAAATTATGATTGAATTTAATGATCTTTTGTTAATTTTGGTAAATATTTCAACTATGTTTGAATAGTTTTGTAAATCTAGGTTCGTGATTGAACACACAATGCTGGAGCTATATGAATTGAAAATGTAATGAACCAATAAACATTGAATAAGGGATAACCGTCAACAATATCTCACGCGTTATCATGGTAGGGAGGGTACAGAAAGGGGGCGAATAACATCAAGCCACCCTAACTTCCAGTATTTCTTGATCTGCGTTTGCCTACAATGTCCGTCCGTGTACCCCTAGTCCGTAAACACCCATTCATTTTTGTTGAGCCTTGTAGATACCGTTTAGTGCACTTAAAACTTTTTCACGTAGTACAGCACGCGTTATAGAAAAGACGAGGAAGACCCACGACAATCCGACGAGCTTAGCACAGAGCAATGCTAGAAGTGCACGAAACCGAATCTTTCTATACACTAGGTTTCCCATAACTTAGTGAGCGTAGGTCTAGAACCAAGAGGCAACCCGAGGCTCCAGACCGTTGCTGCCGGCTACATCTTATATTAATTTTAGTAACAGCATCCGAGTGTGTATGCCAATCCTTCACTTTCGTGGTGCTGTCTACTACATTATATAGTAATAGGCGATAAATAACTCTAATGGACGTAACGTGTGTACGAATTTTGAATTTAATGCACTTAGTTTCGTATGACTAGCCTAATAAAAATTGTATATATATTCCTAAAATAAACGAAATAGAAAGATTAAGCACAGAAATGAAGAACACTTAATAATTCATAATTAATGGTAATTTTTAAAATGATGTGAGTTAAGAAGAGAGGTCAATGTATTGAGTGGTATCTTGTTTTAGTGTGAGCGAGCAAAGCACTGTTGTTAGATGATGATTTATGTTTTAAATGCTGGGCAGCCTTTCGCTAAACCGTCCTTGAGGGTCGGAGTCTGGGGTTTGGGGTTGTTTTTCTGGGGTCTTTGAGCAATTGCGGATCAGTTATATTGTTCAAAATTTGTACTATCCTAATTAGTGTAGGGTTGCTGACCGTTTGCCATAAATAATACTTTGTTAAAGGATATTCGCTACATACTAAAGGAGTTAACAAACATTGTGCTGACCTTGCCCTTGAGCAGAATCCCAAGGTCATTGGGAATATTTGCTCAGGGGCAAGTCAGCTTTATTATGTATACATTTATGTATATTTTGATTACAATTTAAAATAGAAACTCTTGCAAACTCATTCGAGATTTTCGGTTTGAGCTTTTCTAGTTTTAGTTTCAGTTATCATTTTAGTTTCTTTCTGTTTAGTCCTGCATCAGTTAATGTAAATCGTTTGGCTTTAAGGTACAGTACAGTAGTTGATGGATGTCTTTGTTAAAGCTAAGGGAGTTCATTTAAAAAGCGACTCAAATACATTGTTACACACACAGTCTGAGTTACAGAGACCGAATTCTAGATGGATCGTGGCAATCAAGCGCCCTTGTGCCGCAAACTACAGTTAGCCGGCGGGGGTGGCAGAGAGAGCGAGCGAGGGGGAACAGAGAAAGAGAGAGAAGATAATAGTTAGGAGAATTGCGTGTAAAATGTTCAAACACTTCGGGAACACATGGATGGAAAGCGCTGTTGCCAATGAATCTCAGTTTGAGTTTGAAAGAAATTCATTTTTAAATGTAAAGTAAAAGCAATTTAACTGAAGAACTGAAATGGGTAATACAATAAATCATCTAAAACTGAAGACAAAAAAATGGGAGTGCTAGAAATATAACTAGAGGTTTGAAATCACCTATAATGGTTTTAAAAGTAAGCTACACTTTAAGGTGCATACTTTTAGGCACTAATATTATATGATTTCAAATCTCTAGAGATTTCTTTGACTTCTCCCCATAAATAATATTTAATGCCCGCCTTTAAATACAATTCGATACCTAAGAGTGCCAAAATATGTCCAAATGTTAGTTCTTAGTAAATACAATTCCCCATGAACGGATTTATCTTTTGGTGGGAGTTCTCTGAAAGCGGTTGAGGGTGGGGGGTGTCTGTGGGTGGTTGGGTGTTGTGTGGGCCTCTTTTGGGTGGTGTGGTGCTCGGTTAGTTGCTGATTGTAAACCATAAAGTGTTCCAAAACAAATGCAACGCAATTAATTACAATTACAGATTACATAAAAATGAATTTCTCGACGTAAACACAAAATGGGATATTCGATAATATATATGTATACTTGATTACTGATTACTTTTAGTTGCTTTCGTAATGAAATTAAAAATTCTAATATTAAATCTGGGTTAAGGTTAAAAATCTAGTTTCAATACGTAACTACTTTGAGCTTATGTACACGTAGTTTACCTGTGTTGGTGGTGTTGTCAGTGCAACAGAGTGTTCAACATTTTTCAAATAATCCTTATCATCGAAAATCTTCTTCTCACCGCCACCGGGCTTGTGCTTTACATTATCCAAAGAGCCAACTTTGCTTTGTGCCTTAATTTCTAGTTTTTGCGTTTGGATCTGAAAAGTAGCACCGGCACCGGCAACGCACAGAAAAACAATTAGCAAAGATCATAGTTCAGATTCGATTTCGTCAAATGGGGAATTTCGATTAGGTTTTCGATATTTTTTGCGGGTTTTAGGATTATTATTATTATTATGGACACACGACAATTCGGCCAATCGAGGACACAACTGAAATTTTGGAATTTTCACACACAGAAACAGCAGAGCACAGAACGGATAACAAATGGATTACATTAGGGGTATAAAATTTAAATGTAGGTACAAAAAATACAGGCTACAGGGTGTGGGTGACTTGGGGGATCTCAAAAAGAGACGCTTAGGTGACGCAAAAATACCAAAAAATAGGAAAAACATGATGCATCTAAAGTTTCATACAAAAGCACACATAATACACTGAGAAAAAGAGTTATCACGACTACTTACATCCTTGGGGTTGTTATCCTTCGAATTCGTTGTTTTAATGGTTTGATTAAAAACAAAATACAGTTTCCAAAATATATTGTTTAAACAAGTTTTCGGTTTCGTTAAAATAAGGGTGGAGAAACAATAAGTTATTCTTCAGATTCAGAGTGGTTTTCGGTATGTGGTTAGGAACTAAACGGATTGTATTCCTCATAGACTGAATATTTACAATGCTGACCCCAAAATTAAACTAGTCAAGTGTTATCACCAATTTTTCGGGAACATTTATGTACATTTGACCTATGTACCTACCCAAAAACTAAGCAACTACTCCTCCTCATTATACAAATTCTGATCCAGGCGCTTGTTATTGACTATTTTGGAGCCCTCGCCATAGATGATGTTCATCTTTCTATCGTAGTTCTGGAAATTGGTTCAAGTGGTTTGTTTGGTATATGGGTGTGTTCTGGGTGTTAGTTTGTTGTTCTATTTTTTTTTATTATTTTTATAGCCTTTGAAACGTGGCAGCATGCTGTTAAAAAAAAAAACTAAGAGAACATTGCAGCTCATGCACTGAGAGAAACAGATAGATAGATAGGATAGAGATGCCCATGCCCATGCCAGTTGGTAACTTAAGTGGAGCATCCAAAAACCAACAAAAGCCAACAGCAATCGGAAATGATATACTTAACCGCTACAAAAATCAATATAAATGTATATGAACTCGTTCTCGTCTCTGGGTCAAACTCAAACATGAAATCGGTTTTCCAAGGGATTTCGGGGTATTAGAGGTCACGAAGAGAGGAACTACATACCTTGATATCACCGCCACCCGGCTGATGTTTCACATTGGCCGTGGAGCCCACCTTCGGCTTGGCCTTGTCCTTGAAGTCCATCTTCAGGGTCTCGATCTTCTTGTCCCCGCCTCCCGGCTTGTGGGCGGCATTCTCCAGCGAACCGATTTTCGACTTGGCATTCCACTGCAACTTTGTTGTAACTATCTACGAATTTGCAGTGATTTTTGTGCGAGTTTGTGCGGATTCGTTGGTCGTAAGTTGTAAATAGATACAAGGTAGTTAAACGATTATAAGCCAAAGTCAAAGTATCGATCGGATGTTCGATATCCGCGTCAATGTCAGAGTCGCACCCAATAACTACGGATACGAATACGGATGGGTTTGGAATAATACGCTACATAAGGCAACGGAATTATGCTGCTAAGTGTCGCTGCGAATTGGTAATTGCATTTCCTACAACAAGATACGAATACGAGATACAAGATACAAGATATACCGTGCTGCCGATTGCCCAACTATAATGGGCATAAATCTCAAATCGCAAATCGACCGTGAAATTGCTTTACTTTACTTTTACGCGACTATATACTTTACGTTTCTTTTTGGTTTAGAGAAACATAATTTTCTCTGTACTTTTAAAAGCCATTTGTAGATGAGAGAAATTTACAAAGATTCATGAGAGAGTCATGTACTGCTTTGAATGGATACACCGGTCCTTCCTATGGATTTAATCTTTATCTTATAGGGTGGACTATCCCGAACATACCTTCTTTTCGCCGCCCTTTGGCATGTACTTGTCGTTCTTGGCCTCGATACGCGGTGCCGCCTTGATGTCAATCTTCTTGGACTCGATCTTCACATGGCCACCGCCCGGCTTGTAGGTAGCATTGTCCAGGGATCCGATTTTGGAGCGTACCGCCTTCAAATTTGGCGAAGGCGCATGTCCGACTTGTACCTTGTTCATTGGAACTGATGGTATCAAGAGAAAAGAAAATATTAGTTGTTAGTTATTATGTTCATATTATATAAAATCAAATAATATCTGTGCGTTTTTGGGTTTTCAAGATTTAATCATTTCAATTATTATTGCAAGTAGTGTAACTATTTTAATTATAACCTTACAAAACCATATACACTCAAAATAAAATTAACCCTAAAGTCAAGGAAATCGCCCTACTTTTGTCTTCAAGACAAGCTAGCCCTAAATTTTAGGGTCACATTTTTCTATATTTTTGATTTTTTTTTGACGTCATATTTCTAAATTTTAGGGTAATTTTACTAAATTTAAGGGCAAAAATTTCTAAAAAGTAGGAAATTTTCCTAAAAAATAGAAATTAAAAACAAAACAAAAAAACATGTTCAATCATGATTTTTTTTTGTATATACGTTTATATTATGTACTCCTCCCTATGTACATATGCAAGCGTTGTGTGTCTTGTATATTGTGAATCTTAAAGGTTATGTATTTATTATTATGTATTTGCACTTGGATTTCTTATGTAACCAAAGCCAAATGTGGTTGTAAATGTGGACTACGGGACTGCGGGGGAATGTATAAATTATGATTAGTTAATATTTTATCTTCATGAAAAAAACGTACAATTTTTACTTGTCCGTCGTGAGAATCGAACCCGGGTCTCCCGCGCGAGGAGCGAACGGCCTACATACTGGGCCATTGTAGCACATAAATAAGTTGTGGCAAACCGAGCATTGTATGTAAAGGGTGAAGCGGACAACACATTTGAATACTAATTGCATAATTTTGACCATTCGCGTTTTACTTATTTACATACGTATATACATATGTATATATTTATGCTAACGCAATTTATATTATGTGTAGTTTATAGTAAATAGCTGAATATAAACCTAATTATTTTCAGTTTACCGCTTGCCATCAATAAAAAAAGGAATAAAAAAAAAGTAAAAAAATAAATAAAAAGAAAAATAAAATAACATTAAAAAAAAAAGAATAAAAAAAAGGTTAAAAAATTTTGCTCTGGGACTAGAACCCGCGTCGATTCGATTGTTAACCAAGTGCTTTAACCGTCTGCGCCACGGGTACAGCCGGCCGGCAGCTGACAAGTTCTGGCATTGAACATTTTGGTGTGCCAGAGCATGTGAAAACAAATATTTCTATTTTTTAGAAAAAATTTCTACTTTTTAGAAAATGTTTCTATTATTTAGGGTTGGTTTCATTTTAGGGTTAGGGCACTAATTTTTAGAAAAGGTGTTGCCAAAATATTTTGTTATTTTCGTTTGCCTTTCTATTTTTCAGAAAATAATTTCTAATTTTAAGGGCATTTTTTCTAGATTTTAGGGTGATTTTAGTTCATGGTAACCATTTTCTACATTTAAGAAAAACTTCCTAGATTTGAGAAAAACTTTCTTGACTTAAGAAAAATTTCCTTAGATTTAGAAATAACTTTCTTGTATTTAGAAAAAAGAAATATTTAGGGCGATTTTCTAAAATTTAGGGTTAAATTTATTTTGAGTGTAGGTTTTAGAAACGAAATGACAATAAAAGATATTGTATAGATTGAGCAAGAAACTATATCATTTATAAAATACCTAGGTATAATAAAAAGTAAACTACACATTTTTAAAAAATTTAATTTAATTAAATTTGATATAAGATCCATCATATGTGTAAGTTAAATCCCTCTATAAGTTGAACTCGTTTTGTTGGGATTAGAAAAGATTACCCCATTAGTTTTACACCCAGAAAAAAAAGACCGAAAAAATCTAAGACCGAATTTCTTACATTACTACCGTTTTGTTCTTTTATTTTTTTAAGACCATATTCTTATATTGATACCAAAAAGTATTGATTTAAGACCAGTAAATTTAGATTTAAGTTGAGCTTATGCACGCGCGCGAAGCACGGTGCGATGGCCCAGTTGGTAAGGCGTCTGCATCTGATGCGAGAGGACCCCGGTTCAAAAACCGGACAAGTCAAAGTAAGTAAAAAGTTTTTCAAATGTATTTCAATTAATATTTCCTTAATAACTTTAAGAACAAAAATGTATTTAAAAAGTTAAGTTGTTAATTTACTAATTAATAAAAAAAAAAAAAAGTGGCGTTGTGAGCGGGAATTGAACCTCGTACCCCCAAACACAAAATAATACCAGAATCCAGCACCTTGGCCCCTGGGCTATGGCCTTATTATTTCCTTCCATGGCAGAATGCTTACAGGAGCATTCAAAGAAATTTATTTATGTACTAAAAATAAATTTAAATTTAAGTACGTTTTGTTCTTAGAGTAAGAACAGCGGTCTTAAAAATCCGTTCTTAAAATAATACCATAAATTCTTATAATGATACCAAACGGTATAAAGCTATTTTTGAGACTCAAACAGACACGTTTTCAGACACAATCAGAACAATTTTTTCCCTGAGTGTATAAAATTCTTAAATTCACAGTTCCTATAACTTAATCCTTAATAGCTTTTTACTTATAGATAGAACATCAACCAAAACTCACCTTTCTTGGCTGGCTCGGGTTCTGGTGTCTTGAGGAGCAGGCGATTCTTGGAGGCGCTGCGCGACTTGGGGGCTGATTTGTTCGAGGGCGTGGTACTCGGTGGGCGGGACGTGCCCGACTTGTCCGGTTTCGATGAGGTCGATGTGGGCGTCTTCACCGGCGAACTGGGCGAGATGGGTCCGTTGCGATCCTGTGAAGAGATAAGTCCATAAATTTCATTAAAAAATTGGATGAATTTCCATATAATATCTCTCTATTTCGTGAATTACTAGCAAGTAGGACGAATCGGCCATTATAACGAGATGCATCCTGGTTTTGTAAGGCTGTCGACGCTATATTTATTAACTATTTACGACTCGCTCTCAACACTCCCGGACTTTCCGGAGCTGTCAACGTAATGCCAATGGCATTTATGGCCATACGGTAGAATGGCTGCCGATTTGGAAGTCTCCGGTACGAAGGACTTATAGTTTATGCATTGTTTTATCGATTGTCGTCGCTTCGTGTCGCTTTCTTGCATATGGATGGGTATTTATAGAGACAACAACTCCTGTTTTGTGTGCTATGCTGATTTACCCCCCTGTGAAATTCCTCGAACCTCGAACCATTTCGTGTTTGGCACTTATCTGTGCGCAGATATCACCAGGCATATAAATCGCTTTTTGTTTGTTTCTTTTGCGGGTTTTTGGCAATATTTGCCTCTTTCTTTCTGGTAGTTTTTACCTCGCACCTGTAAAGCTCACGTACTGCATGTATATTTCACATATATATATATAAAGTTGACTGAGTTATCCGTCTGTTTGCTCGACTTTTGTCGCACTTTCTGTGGGTTTTTCCGACGCGACAACTGCCGTCTGCCAACACAAAACTTAGTCTGAACTTTGGCGTCTGCACACGAACACACGGGTCGTGAAAACTTGGGAACTGAACTGAGAACTGAATTGTCGCAGACAATATGCTATATGGTATAGGGGCTATATGCTATATGGTCTCTAATGGAGCGTGGAGCTTGTAGCTCGAAGATCGCCCGCTGGTTGCCCCGGCCTTTTACAGATATTTATGATTTGAGAACAGAACTTAAGAACAGCAGACAGAGACGGTCAACGGAATTAAATTAATTTGTTGCCAGTTCCAGTTAATTTCCTCTCAATTAACGGCGACGCTGCCTTAGTAACAATTTATGGCCAACTAGTTAACTAGTTCAAAGCCTATAGATTAACTCACCTTCTCCTGAGTGGACTCATCCACGCCGCTGTCATTGTCACCCTCTGAAAAAGAAGTTGGGAACACAAATTAATTAGGGAAATGGAAACATTGAAAAACGCGTTTACTTGGGTTTTCCATTTCACTGATTTTTTTATACATACTTATCAGGAAGACATACCCATTAAATTTACCGATCTAAAATGTTTTCGTATTAAAAATATTATTTCTATACTCTGATCTATAATTATAAATCTAAAGTAGAGTTCTTGTTGTTGTGTTATAAAATCGTTTTATAAATCGTCATTATCATGTCTTTAAATTAAAATGGAAAAAATGAAAAAAACCTAAAACTATAAAAATTTGCGCTAATTTAAAAATCTATTAAATAATTTCACTAAAAAATTAAAAAGTCAAGATTTTAAAAATTCCTTCCAATTGAACACTATAAAATTGCCTGGGGACCATTTTTACCTCTTCAAATTCGAGACAAAATAAAAATTAGAACAGTTATTAAAGTAAAATCTAGAAAAACTTTAAATTATGTTCTATCCGATAAAAATAGATGGGACTTCCTATAATCACATATAAAGCGAAAAAAGAATGGAAAAGAGGTTTTAAGAGCTGCTTTAAACTTTGAAATCCCATACAGTTTAAAAGCTTACTTTATATTTAACATGTGGACGAAAAAAAGTCCTAAGTCCTAAGAAAATAAACTATAAATTGGCTTCACTAATTGTATGTGTTTCAAATCAGTGCTTTAAACTCTGGATTCTCAAACGTTTTTGAGGTTTAAAGCGCACTTTAAATTTTAAATTTAAAAGAGAAAACGGTCATAAGAAAACTGAGAAACTATAATAATTTTTAGGAATATTTAACTCCAAATTGGCTTCACTAATGGAGTGTGTTTCAAATCAGTGCTTTAAACTCTGGATTCTTTAACGTTTTCGAGGTATAAAACCCCCTTTAAATTTTAAATTTAAAAGAGAAAACGGTCCTAAGAAAGCTGAGAAACTGTAACAATTTGTAGGTATAATAAATAAACTCAAAATTGGCTTTACTAATGGCGTTTGTGTTTCAAATCGAGTCTTACTAAAGCCGGGCCCCTTTTTGGCCTCTCCCGCGGGCGGGCTCGTCTCGAAGGGCGGCTCGACGTCTTCCAGCAGAGGTTCGCCCATGGGATCGGGCCTCGAGTTGAAGGTCTTCAGAGGGGTGACTGCGGGACCCATGACCACATCGTCGTCGTCATCGTTGTTGTTGTGTGCACTGGCTGCCGAAAGAGGGCGTAGTTGCTGTTGCGGTGGTTGAAGTTGCTGCTGCTGTTGCATGTGTTGCTGCTGCTGCAGCTGTTGCGGTTGCATGGGCGGCTGGTTGAAGGGCGGTCGGTTGAAGGCAGGCGGTGCCTGCAGCGGTTGACCCGGCGGCGGGCGTGCAAAAGTGGGTGGCGGCGGTCGCTGCATATTCTGCGGAGGAAGAGGTCGAGCTCCCGGTGGCATTCCAGCTGGATTCCAGGGAAATCCGCCAGGTGGTCCCTGCCTAGGTGGTCCCTGTCCCTGTCCCGGTGGACTGAGGGGTCCTCCGGAGTTGGGCAGACGTGCCTGCTGCATATTCAGTTGCGGTGGCATTCCCGGTCGCATCGGAGGTCCTGGTCCCATCAGCAGGTTGCTCTTGCTGTCTGTGGTTCGCAGTGGTGGCGGTCTAACCGCCATATTGGGTGGCATGGGTGGACGTGGTCCTCCCACCATCCCCACCATCGGTCTGGCTCCTGCGAAGGGAGGACGTGGCTGTGGTGGTGGTGGACCCACCGCTGGACGCATCTGCGGTGGCAAGACAAAGTTCGGTGGTGGTCGCACATACTCGGAATGGGGTGGTACACTTTGGAGCTTGTTAAGGGAATTGGGTGGATTCTGTGCCAATGTGGGTCTGGAATTGCTGCGTGAAAGAGTGCGATCTTTGGGCTGAGGTGCTTGGTAGCCAGTGGTGTAGTCAATTGTGGTTCCGGGGGGACGTCGCTGCTGCCGCTCATATAAAGAGGGATTGGATGTATAATCTGCCACTGGTTGGGATCTTAGAGGTATTGCCTCTGGATTCTGCTGAGTTCTAACAATCTGTGGCTTGGAAACATCAGAACTATAAGATGAACCCTCCACCGAAACATTAGATGCGTAATCTGAGGATCTCAGAGGCTGTAGATTGCGATCCTCGTAGGAAGTAGCTCCTTGAAACTCAGTATTCTGCTGAGTTCTAACGATCTGTGGCTTAGAAACATCAGAACTCTGGGAATAATCAGTGTTTAGCTGAGTTCTTTGAGATGGTGGTTTGTTTCCTCCGTTAGATGAGTTATCAGGGTTATCATACGATACATACTCCTGGGATCTTAACTGCTGCTTGGGCTGATCTGCCGACTTGGTAACCGGGTAATCCTGCGGAGGAGTTTCCTTGCTCGATCCGTACATCCTGGAGAACTAGAACTTATCGCCTGTCGAGTCGGTGCAGAAATGTGCAAGTGTCGGGTAACCCAATACGAAACAGAGCCGCTTTTGGTGGCCAATGCCACATATATTGGCCCATATCATTTGCATATGTATGGCCATATATCGTTGTGGGTTTCAGTTTCATTTTCATTTTCTGCCTGCGGGGGTGGCGAAAGCTAAAGCTCGTGTATCGGAACAGACGTATCAATATAGTTCACATTGAGTATTGAGTGGGTGCTTTCAAATTTGATGGCTCTTTCTGCATTTGTTTACATTTTATTGTTTTGGTATTTTTGTGGGGCATTCTGTCTGTCTTTGGTTACCATTAGGGAATTTTGTCATGAAATTCGGTTGCCAGCTGTAACATGACCCAAATTGTTTTTGTGGCTTATTGATTCAACAAAAGTTTTTGGTAGTTCGGCGGTTTGGCAGGTTCTAAGGCCCAAAAAGAAATCGCAGTTTGATTTGTTTCGCAAAGGGTTCTTCATTCGATTCGACTGCCAATGATGTATGGGCAAGGTCGGTTCTGAATAAAACATCCATTAACCATCCGATTCGGCTTCTGTTATTCAAATTATGCTCGTAAATCATTTGTGCAGGGGCATGAAATACAGTGCTTAAGTGCAGGCTCCAAAATATATATGGTTTGATATATAATGGGTACTTGAAACCCAAAACTCACCGCATCGGTATCACTCATATTAGAATTTTGGACTAGGGATTTACGTTCTCGGCACTGTCTGGCAATTAACTTAATGCGGAAAAGTTTTGCATTTAAATTAGGGGTTTTCTACTTATTTTTTGGGTGAATCGATATAATTGCAAGGAACTAGGGTTCTTTAAACTGGAGGAGCTACACGTGCCACACCCGATTGGCAACTAAAGCCAGCAACTGCAACTTCTGCCGACTCAGAGTCGAAATGGCCAACTTCCTGGCAGAAAAAAATAATACAAAAAATAAAAGAAGAAACAGCAACTGCAAATTAGGGGCACAATGATTTGTGATTTACTGCTGCCGCGGCTGACATAAACCGAAAATTCCACACAATGTTCATGTCAACCGCAAAAGCAAAAAGAACGGCAACTCAACTGTCATTTGTGGCCAAATGGTCTTGGCCAAATTGATTATCAACAATATGGGGTTGGTTGCACAGGTAACTGCACATAGAAAACCCCCCTAGAATGCTTTTCAATTAGATTCACCCTCTTTTCTAGCTGGCAAGCCAGAAATATTGTTAACAAAACTTGGTCCTTCGACAATTGAATTCGCCACTGCAGTTGATTTTTATCCACTATCAGTTGTTGCAGTTGGCCATAAAAAACAAGCCCACAAAAGCCCATGCAATTGTATCGATTTTCCTGGCCAGAGGGCAATAACTTGGCTATAACCACGTACAGTTGCGAGAAGGCTAATGCACTTTGCACTTTGAGTATGTTTTTTATGTCGAGAAGGAAGTGTAGTTGATTTACCTAAAAGAAACACGCACTTTTTATAGGAAAATGTCACTAAACTTTTACTTAATTTTTTTTATTATTTATATTTAAGTTTTCTTAGACTTTTTATTTATTTAAATATTTTTTTATTTATTTCTGAGCCACGAGCTGACTCTCTAGACTGCGTTGTGTTTGGCGCGAGTGTTAAAACTCGACTGCTTTTATTTGCCTTTGAAAAATTTCGAATTACAATACTTAGAATTTGTTTTGATACTGGCGGAGCGTAAACTGTGCTCGTAAACTTCTCGGGGCGCATAAACAGAATGTGTCCTTGCGCAGTTCAAAGAGTAAGCTAGGATATTTCTTTTCCTTTTTTTTCTTTTTGGTTTCTTTTTGTAGAGCCCCGCTTTATTCTATTGACATACAAATTTATTAGTGGGGCGCCGGGGAAAAATGCAAATTCAACACGCCAACAATGAGAGAGCGCTGATTTTATATGCAGATTTCATTTGACTTGATTAATTTAATGGCCAACGGGGGAGGCATTTCGACGCGCATTTGTGCAATTTCTGGGCCGTAATCCTTTTGGTAGAACAGGTAATCGGTAATACATAATATATAGGAGGCACTACCACGCACCGCAAAAATATTATTATCCAGGTGTTGTTGTCATAGGTTCCCCTAATTGTTGTCTATTTTGTTTACAAGCAGCCAGCACGCAAGTTTATTGGGGGCTCTAATGCGTAGACATAAAAGTAAACCAGCGACGAACCCAACTGACATGAGGGTAGGACACTAAGGAATCATCCTTAGAAAGGGGGAAAGGATTTTAGTGTCTGACTAGTTCCTTACCCTAATTCGATTGTCAAGGTTATGGGGGTTTACTTTTCGGTTGGTTGCCGAGGTTGGGTGGGTTTAACAAGGACCGATAGATACGGCTCTTAACGTTTTTATGCTTATTTTTAACATACCCATTAGTGAAGCAAATTTTGGTTTATTTTACACGAAATTGCATTCCATTAAGTTGCATACAAACCTGGAAGAAATAGAAATAATTTGATTAATATTACTATGTCAATGTTTAAAAAAAGAACCTAATAATTGACTTAATTTGTTACATTTTAATAAGTTTGTTTGAACTGTTTTTCTATAATTTATTTAAAAATAACGTTTTATTTTGTTTTAAACGAATTCGCCTGATTTAATTTTCAATTCGCCTCTTGGTTGATGTCCTAGATAAGCTAATACAACAACCCAGGTTAAGCCAATACTACAACCTTTAACTGCTTGCACTGCTTGAATTTAAAAACTGTTTACAATTCAAATTTGAATTGTTTAATATGTTTTTCCTTACAAAATTGTAAGATATTAACTAAAAATTAGTTAAATAATGTAAATTATATAAAATATTTCACTTTACACTAAAAAAGATGCTGAAAAAGAGAGCCCAAACATTGTACATCATAATAATTAGCTTAAGCATTTTAAAAATCACCCTTTAAATGGAAAATTCAATTTTGTAATCCAATTAATTAGTAGAGAATTGCTTAAATATTATGTAAACCGAGTGAATTTAATCGGAAACGCATGCAAAGCAAGGTCGACTGATTTTCGTTGTCACTTGTCGATGGGGTGGATTTGCCACCCCCAATTGCTTTCGTTTTCCTTTCATCCCGGCATTTGTTTTGCTTGGCTTTTGGGGGATGCAGCCGGTCGGTGGGTGGGGTGAGTTTAAGCTCACGTTGTATCCATCGGCATGCCTTCCTTTTGGTTGGCTTCCCTTGGTCAATTTGTGTCTGCGTTTCGCTTCGCTCATTGATTATTCTATTCAGCATTCCTGCGGGGGAGGAATTCCTCATGTGGTTGCTTTGCCGCCCGAACTGCGCATGTTTGGCCAGAATATCCTGCGACGCAATAAAGATGAATCACAGTTTCGCAGGGAGTGTGAAAACAAAAAACGAAGCTAATGCAAGGTGCATGAAAAAGGGTGAATACACCGAAATAAAAGGGTCAATGGAAAAGCCCCTTGGCTTGAAATTGAGTATTTAATTTTTCAACTTGAGATAGAATGAAGAGTTTTTGATTTTATATGCAATCTAGATGTTTTCTTTTCATATTTTTATATATCTAATGGTTTTAATTGTGTGGAAAGGGCCATTAGGTTAACATTTTACAATATAATACGGAAAATTCAAGAAACTAATTGTTGCCAAACTTTTTAAAATATATTTCTATGGGAATTTTATAAATAAAGTTTGTATATAGTGTTCAAAAACGATAGTTCAACTAAAGTGTGGTACTATTTTAGGGATCTTAATGTTTCCGGACGGCTAAAAATAGATTCCTATTTAGTTAATACTTACGGTCCCTGATTTATTTCTAAAATTCCAATAAATATAAACTTTATTTCGAAAATTCCAATAGGAATACATTTTAGTAGTGTTTAAAAACGATAGGTCAAATAAAGTGTGGTATTATTTCAGGGATAGTATTGTAATTCCGATACTATAATACCATCCGAAAAAATCAAAACTTAAGAAAGGTCACATTAATTCAAGTTTCCTTCTTTTTCCTGTGACATTTCATCGAGTTAAGTTTGCTTTTCCGAAACTTTTCGTTTAATTTCAACCAAATAAGTCTAAGATGTTCATTCCAAAGGCCAACCGTGTCGCCATCTACGAGTACCTCTTCAAGGAGGGCGTGATCGTGGCCAAGAAGGACACCCGCGTCCTGATGCACCCGGATCTGGAGACGGTCACCAATCTGCAAGTCATCAAGGCGCTGCAGTCGCTCCATTCGCGCGGCCTGGTCAAGGAGCAGTTCGCCTGGCGGCACTTCTACTGGTGCCTGACCAACGAGGGAATCGAGGAGCTGCGCAACTACCTCCATTTGCCGCCCGAGATAGTGCCCTCCACTCTGACGCGTCCCTCTCGCTCCGACGCGGTGCGTCCGCGTCCGGGAGCTGGAGGACCTCGAGGCGGGGGCTTCGGAGGACCCTCCAAGACCGACGAGGACAGATCGACCTACAGACGTGCTCCACGCGATGGTGATTTCGACAAGAAGGGCGATGTGGGACCAGGATCCGGTCGCGTCGAATACCGCGGAGGCTTTGGACGCGGCTCTCGCTACTAAGGCATTTTGAAAAATAAATCAAATTAATTGGGATGAAATAATCCTCTCATTAATGTCATAATTCTTTGTTTATTTATCGGATTTATTACATTAGAATTTAGAGTAGTAACGATTTTCTTTCAAAATATCAATTTAGCAACTTCCGGTTGCCCTAAAAAGTTCACAACTGGCCAGACTTATAACAGGAATAACCAGTTGAACTTTAAAATAAATGGGCTTTTAAATATTACTTTTGGTTAGTTATGACTAGTGGTAAGATTTTATGTGAAATCGATTTTTTAAAGTTTAGTGACATCTTATTGGATAAAATTGAAAAAAAAAGTGAAAAATGTTTAAATGATCAAATCCTATTTAAATCCTATTGATAAACAAAAGATTTCACAAAAAATTCGAAGTTTTCTACACATGAAAACAAATACAAATGTTTTATTAAATTCTGTTCCTAAATTCCCAAGTTAGTACATCAGTTGTTATTCCCCTCAGCGACCGACACCTTATCAATTAATCAAGAGCCAAATTTATGGCTATATTGAGTTAGGACCTCTGGTGGCGCGTATTTCGTGTTGAACATGGCTTTATTTATGGATGGTCCAACTGGCTGGCTTACCAAACCGCGTAGCTTAAACATTTGTATTTTTGACGCACTTCGATTTATTGATTGGATTGCCCATGCCACAAAATGTGGCAATTGTCTGTGCGGCAGCCGCACGCACGATATGTCAGCCAAAAAGGCGATGGTGAGCCCAAAATGGACTTGGCTGCAACTTCAGCAACCAGAACAACAAATTATGCGGCGTCTGCTGAAAGAGGCATTAGTTAGTTTTAGTTGGGATGGGAAATGGGCGGGGGAATTGAGATAGTGATTGGGTAACCCACCCAACACTGAAGACTCCCCTGCGACTGGGGAAAGTGCCAACTGCAGACTGGCCATAAAATCGTGGAAAATCGGGCAAGTTCCAGTTATTTTGAATCGAAATCAAAGCAATCGCCCCCTGGCCGAGTTTATTGAACTGGAATTGGAAGTGCCAACTTTTGCACAAGGTTCGATGTTCGCGACGAAGCCATTTGACAACTCTTTTGTGGCTTTAATTAGAGGGCCGCTTTGAATTGGGGATTTGCATGGCGTCGCGTGTCTAGCGACACTTTGTTCGCGGGAAAACAATTAAGCAAACACCCAACAGTCCATAGTCCTTTATTAATTTTTTCTTTGCAGCCCGCCTTATTGATCAAACTTTTAATTTTTGAAATTAATTAATCAGCCCCTGAGAATGCCATCAGTTACACAGAAAAAAAGACTAAAGATCAAATTGATATGTGCTGGTTAATTTAAAATATTTTAAAAATAAAGTTATTCATAAAATTTTCAGAAAATATTAAATTTGATATATTTAAACAGTATTTTTATAACTTTTATGAAATGTTTCAATCATAAATATGACAGTAATCGGCTTTTAATAAGGTGGAAATGACCCTATTTCTTATAAAAAATTTTTTTCTGTGTACAAAATGCATTAAAATGCCAAAGTAAGAACCTAATGAATGTAGTTTTGTGCCCCATGTGCATGCTAATTTCGTGTCTAGTCAACAAATTAGCCATAAGGCGAGCTACAAATTCCCTAATCGATTTACCGACTAATTAATTAATCATAAAGAATAGAGACCATATGGGCAGGCCATGCGTATCCCAAAGTCACAAAATCTTAAACCAAAAACCCAAGTTCGTCTTGCTCGAATAGTTTTAGCAGAATTAGAGGTGCGCCACACAAATATGGCTCCAAATATTTGGTAATTGTTTCTCAAAGCGGAAACCTTAACAATTAGCTGAGTTTTTAGAGCTTTCCGTTAAGAAAAAAATAAATACCTACATAGGAAAAACTAGCGCACGCCCCCAAAACCAAGAAAAATCAAGAAAAACGAAGAAAAACCGAAAAAGACAGAGAGTGGAGACAAAAACAGAGAAGCGAAAATCAATTGCAGCGCCAAATGCAAATGAGAAATGAAAAACTGGCAGCGTTTTGTGATAATTGAAAAGCCACCGTGAAAATGGGTGACAGAAATTGCAGCGAATCTTGGCTATTTATAAAATCACTGAGTGTAGAATGAGAGAATAGATGGGTTTGTTTTCAATAGAGCGGCATTACGTCACATGATGAATATTAATATCAGGTGGGGGTATGAAGTATATGATTGACGAAGAAAGTAGAAAGCCTTTTCCCAACATGCTTATCAACACAAAGCACGACCGAGTGCCACTTATAATCTAGATGATATAGATGATTTAGGGCGGGTGACTTCATGTGCCTGAGAGAGCCTCCGATGGTAATCAACAACTATATTTCTACTTTTATTATTCGCCGCGAACAAAGCTATAGTATCGCCGCTCTATTGTTTTTGTTATTATTATTTAGCCGAGCCGGTTTGCTCTTGACTCGAACACACTTGATTTAATCATCACCCGAGGCAGGGGTGTATCTCTTTTTTGCTTTTTAGCTGCACACATATCACACACTGCCCTAATGAAGTCAACTGTTTTAGAGATGGATTCCGAAATGGATCCAAGTCGTGTGCGGAATACCCTTTGCAACAGGAAATTTAGAATAGAATTTAAAATTTAAGCAGCTGATGGGAGAGAAGTCTGGTAAACTAAATGACCCCGTGACAGAGGGTGCACACAGCTTTATTCGAAACGAGGTCAAATGCAGAGCAACCACAACACCAGTGCACTGGGAAAAATATTTACTTTATTTAGAGAAATTTATTTCCATAAAGGTGAAAAATACACTTTGCTCAATTATGCTAATTTTTAGACGATAAAAATAATTAGGTTTTTATGTAATTTTTAAATTTTTTTTAGTCTGATTCCTCTATAGTTTTAAAATGATTTCTTATTTTATTAAAGAAAGTATCTTAAATTATAAAAATGTTTTTTTGACTTGTGTAAATAAATATCTTTAGGTTTTACAACGAATACATATTAGATTTATTTATTTATTTGCTTCACTTTATGGCGACTTTCTTAATGCCAGTTTTAATCTTTCTCTGAGTGCAGCAGCCGCATTAGCACGAGCTACGCTGATAACTTTTATCGCAATCGTCTATATCTGTATCTATATCCATAACCACTATATCAGATAGATACACACTTGTACCTAGACAATGCAGCGGTCTGGACAATTAAAAGCTAGGGGGTGGTCTTGCAACCTGCCATAGTTGCAGGTCATTAAACCGAGAGAGCTGCGGGCACAATGAAGCCACATCCACATCCTGGCCCCTTCCACATCCTGCCGGCAGTCGAGCCCAAAAGCCGTAAACTTGCCGGTCTAAGCTGTTTTTCAAACAGATCACACAGCGAACACCGAACCGGCTAAATCTATTTGCATAATGTGAATGCGAATGTGGCGGGTGAATGACGTGAGTCGCGTCTGCATGTCATGTCCTCCTGACATAACCATCAATGTCCTGGGGTGTGCCGGCAATATAATTTGCCTAATTGAGCCGTATAGCTATCGCCTAATGCAACTGGGCTGAGTTGAGTTGAGCTGAGCTGAGAGAGGCGTGCCTTGAACTTTCCTAATTGATTTTCTGAAGCACACACGGCGTATGCGTAATGCGCTGTGAAGTCACTTTTACTTTGAAAAGCAGGTGTACTATATAGTACACAGATAATAAAAAGTATGGTGCATATAAGGTACTTTCATTTATTTATAAATAGGTGCTAACTTTTTTATGGGTCAATAATATCAAAAATATTACTATCATATCATTCAATAAAAGTACACTCATGAAATTTTTGTTCTATACCTCCGTCTAGAATCATACGAAAAAACTTTTAAAATATATATTTATTTAATGAAACCCGTATTAAGATGTTTTAATAGAATATTCCTGACATTATTATATTTTCTAAAATAAAAAAAAATTTCTCTTGATACTATAATCATTAAATTTAATATTTTTTCATCATCAAAAACATTATCATATTGGATAATTTATATTTTCTCAGTTAGCTCATAGCTTTACCACTGTTAGTAAGCTTTATATAAATAAATAAAATATTTTTATAAGCTGTAGAATATTATATCGATGTTTTTGACTCCAAAGTGCTTACAAAAAATGATCCAAAATATTGTCATTCTGTATCTACATTTTTTCCAGTGCTCTTAATATCCCCCTTACCTTTTTGATCCTGATTAGCCCTCGCAGTTGCAGGCTTCTGTTGTTGTTGCTGTTGTGGTTGCTGATGCGATGGTGGTGGTGCTTGTTGTTGTTGTTGTTGCTGCTGTGGTGGTGCGGCATTTGCTGCCGCTGCTTCCTGTTGCAGCTGCTGGTGGGGCAGCTGAGGGGGGTGGGAGGAATGGGGCTCGCCTAGTGGTGGCACAGCATCCAGCAGCGAGCTTTTCTCCAGGACATCCGCCATATTGAAAGTCGTACGAACGAGTTGGTATGTTTGTGTGTGTATCTGTATCTGTGTGTACCGTGCCTGTATTTGTTGCACTCACGGGAAAACTCAAAGGACCTCCTCAGGATCTGTCGGTATTTTTCCTGTGTGTGTGTATCTTTGGGCTAGTCCTTTTCACTTTTGCTTTGCACTTTGCACGGTTTTTCAGCGATTGGAAAATGATTTTGGGTCGGCGTTTTATTGCAATAGAAATACAATGAAAAATGCTCGCAAACAATAGAATATATATATATTTGACGACGTAAATGACAATATATGTAAATATTGTTTCAATTGCACTAACGCTCACTCACTTCACTGGCACTCGGCTATGTATTTTATTTGGATTTTTTGCTTGGATATTTGCTAGTGCAAATTTTAAATCGGCGAGACAGCACCCGCTCCGTCTTCTTGTCGGTTTGTTATCTCGTTTTCAAATGTTCATTTTAACGTCCCCAAACGTATTATCGTAACGTATCTCGTATCGTATTAAAACGTAACGACACAACGTAAAGTGCAATCAAAACGTAAGAGCATGAGTGTAACTAACGTCCGAAAATGTAACACGTAAGCTTGCGCTGCGTAATCAAATAACAACGTAATCCAAGACACAAACCATTAGAGTTCTCCCAAGTTCTCCATTTAAAATTTGATTAAAGCTCTCTCAAGGATAATTATACCTATAAACAGGGGTTATTTCTATATCGCGCTTTCAAGAAATCGTGATTGCCATCGTATAAACATAGTATATCTGTATAAACGCTGAGATCTCGAAAACTACAAAAGCTAAAAGGTTGGGATTTCGCACACATATTCTTGGACTTCCTCTAACGCCCACAATATCCTTAAGGGACTTATTATATAACGCTCACGTCTTTAAAGAATTAGGAAAAGTTTAAATGCAATTTTGTTGTGATCAAAAATACCTATTCCCATTTTTTTTAGTTGGACCTTTTATTAAAAAGTTATGATCAAAAAATAAATCGGCCGCTAGATCAAAAATTTCAACAGCCGCTAGATGATGCCAGTAGCTTTGATGACTGCTGCTGATAGACGAAGTTCTCTACTTGTTAAATCTAGAAACCTTGTTGGGCACCTATTTTACCAGAATTACGACGAAAAAAACATAGAATAAATCCAGAGCAAAGCTAAATAGTTTCCTAGAATCAATGTTATTTACGAAATCTCTTAAAGAGAAATTAGTTAATTTTCATTTCTTTGAGACTGAAATAATAAAAAAACAAGAAAGCCAAAACTCTTCTAAAATAGGCCGTTTTTATGGGATTATTACCAACCCTCCCTCCCCTCTGAACGGCTTGTTTCATTGGTTGTGCAACACCTTTGCGGCCGCACAATTATTCTTAGTGTTTATTTAAATACATTTGACTTATTTCACTTTCACACATTCACATGGTAAACTGAGAAGGCTCAAGGCAACAGGTAACACAATTGGTCACTGCCCCTTTCTTTGGCTCTTTCGTGGGTGTTGAATTTGCCTAAACATTATTTTATTTGCTATTTGGTTTATTTACGTCTCATATAAAATAATCATTAATTATTGCTTTGCTATTGGGGTGAACCAACAACCAACAAAAAATTCATAACAAAATAATGTGCACGAAACTTTAAATTTTTTTCAGTTTTTTTTTTCGTTATTTTATAATTTAAATTTTTTTATTTTTTAAAAAATAATATTATCTTGAAGTTCAATTTTGCAGTTGTAGTAGCAGAAGTAATTTTTAATTAAAATAATATACGAGAGAGATAGAGAGAGTTAGCGATGAATATAACATCTATGGAGAATGGTTGTCGCTAAAAGTTTGTTGGTGTTGTTGTTGTAGTTGGTTTGTAGCTGTTGTTTTCAACTATTTTAGCTGATCTGGTCTGTCACACATTCTGGCGAGGAATGCTGTGGAATAGAGGGTAAGAAGAGGTCGTTATTAGAAATGGGATCATTGGAATCGCTGGACAAGTAGACATCCAAACGTGGGACCTGGGTTCGATCCCTACTTACTGTTTAGTCGAAGACGACGGGATCGCTCATCAGGCGCTGGACGAACTCTGTTTTATTTTACGGTTTTGGATCGACGATAAACGTGCAGAGACCATTCGATTGACATTCAGGAGTTGGTTTTTGTTTTGTTTTTTTGTTTTTCAAGTGTATTGGTTTTGGACGAGACACGCAAACATGGATTTTTGGGTTTTTTGCAGGTCAAAGTGCACAGTGCAGAGTGGTTTGTGGGATATTTTTGGTTTGTGCGCAGACAAAGAGTGACATGTGGAATAGACAAACGGCGTTTACAAATCGTATACATATGGGCACAAGAAACATTGGACCTGGGTCGCTCGAGGAATACGAATACTTACGAGAGTAGGGGATAAATCCTTCATCATCCTCGGGATCCATGCAGTCGGCGAACAGAGTCTCGACCTGCTCGTCATCCAGGCTCTCACCTGTAAGCAGGGGGAAAAAGTTCCGGTTAATTGGCGGTTAACTTTAGGGTTATCTATAAGTACTAACCAAGCGCCAGCAGGGCGTGCTGCAGCTCAGCAAGCATCATGGTGCCGTTCTCCTCCTTGTCGTAGAGCTTCAAGCACTCAATGAAGTCCTCGTAGCAGCCCTGCTCCTTCTCCTTCTTCACCTGCGAGTAGATGGGCAGGAACTCATCCATCTTGATCTTCTTCTCGTTGCGCTTCTTGGTGCCGCCCATCTTCTCGATCAGCGCCAAGGTGGGGTTCAAGTTCAGGGCGCGGAGGGCATCACCTAGGTCGACGGCATCGATGCCCTCGCCGGCGGAGCCCATGACTTCGAAAACGAATTCGACATCTGCGCGGAAGGTAATTTTATTAGTATTTTATTTATTATTTATTATTTTAAAAACCGAACGTAAACCGCATCAAAAATATTGTTTATATCCGTTGGTTGCATTTTGCATTAATTGTTTTAAAAATACTTTCGGGTTTTGAGATCTTTAGTGGGTGTTGGCCCACCACCCTTCGTAAATGGGGTCGATGTGGTAACCCTGAAAAATTCTGGTACGCACATTTTTGGTCATCATGAAAATCTTGACATGGCCGGGCATTGGTATGCGTGAGTGGGTATCCGGGAGAGTAACACACTACGTATACGTAATCCGACACCCGAACCGAACGCCTTCGCCCTCGTCTACGCTATATACACACAGCATATATACTCTCTCCCTCTCGCTCTTCCTCTTATTTTCTGTGCGTTTCGAAAATTCGAAAATAAATCTCAAGAAATAACTTGGCCAAAATTAGATCTTTCGGCTCGAAGACGATCGCGCGTTCGTTTTTCCGACATATACACACACGATTTTTCGTTGTTGTTTTTCGCGACTTGGCGGCTTTTCTATAACTCAAACTTAACTTTGCACTAGATTTCGATCTACCGGAATTGTGTTGGCCAACTATTCTGGTTCATCGTTCATCTGTCGATCGATGAAAATAGCTCGGGCCATGATGCATATATAGACATTCCTTAATGAAAATTTTCCGCATAGTGTTATATATAGGCATAGGCATACGATATATTCCAAGTGATTACGAAATATGTTCACCGACTTTTTGTGTACTTTTTGTTGTTGTTGTGTATCTCACACGCGCACATTATGCAATCAGAATTTTTTTCTGCATTTTATTTTGGTTTTTAGTCCTTTTGGCTGGGTTATTCCGGGTTTTTTCTTCGATTTATTATAGTTTATACGTTTAACATTGATGGATTTGACGTTTGAGGTTAGAGATAATCCTTTTTGTGCGGGCCTTCAACTTACTTTCAACTTCACGCTTTGGAACATCAGCCTGTCAAGGGAATCGAAAAGAGATTTTTAGGGTTTTGCATTAATTTAAAGAATATATTTTGAATATATATCACTGAATATTTGCAGAGGTTGTCTAAAGATTCCTTGGCCGGATGTGCTCACTCACCATTTTGTCTGTTTGATGCGAAAATCAACTGTATCGCGGATGAGCTCGGTCTCGACTGAACGTTATTCGTCAGCGGCAGTACGGCAAGGTAATTCTGAGGTGAAAGCTAGCCGAAGCACTCAGATACATTTACAGATACAGATTCAAATACGAATACGAATACGCATATTCGAATACGAAAACGAATAGATGACGAAACGCTCGCTCGCTCTTTTCCTGCGCAAGGCTATACACACATTATAATATACGATCGGTCGTATGTACGATGCCAAGAATTTACTTTCATCTTGGGGAACTTTTTCGAATGCCACTCTCTTGGGATCTATTGGGGATCTCTCCTATTAGGCATCCTATGGAGCCTGAGCTCTCTCTGTCTCTCTAAGACCAGGCTATTTTTAACATTTTTGTTTTTTTCGTCTATTCTGTGAATTTCTTTTTATTTTTTTGTGAAGGCAAAATAATAATCGCTTGTGGCATTCCCAGCCGGATAGTGTTGAATATCATTCGATGTTACAGATGATTTTGCAGATAATATTTTCTGGGCAACATATGTAGTTTTTTGAGAGGTGGGGGAGTGGGTATAAGAATTTATTGTTTAGCGCTGCGCAATAGATTGCTGCCTCCATGGGTTACCAACTATATGTACTATGTATTTGGCATATATATGTATATATTTATACACTCATCGACCCTGATCGTCTTTTTGGCAAGCCTCGCGGCCTACGAGTATCTTTTCGAGCGTATTCCTCAGGTCTTGCCTGTTATCATTCGAAATGTTTTGTCAGCCGGTCGTTCGTGGGGGTGTTAAATGCCCGATTTCTTGTTTGTCCGAAACACCTGAAAGCCTTTTTTAATATTTATACTATACTATACTATAGAATAGATGTTCCAAAAGTTCGTTCTCTCATCGCATCTACATAGAAGGCGCATTACTGGCCCCTCAGGCGCCTTATTGTGTCCGTCGTCTCTACAACATTTTAATGCGTGCTATTTATAAAAACTATGACACAGATACACGAAGCGTATTCAGAGCAAAAATGTACAGCAACAAATATTCAGCGTTTGGGTTGTTTGCCTAGGTAAATGGGTTTATATACACACAAGCCATATAAATCCCGATCAAAGCTGATGAAAGAGGTGCTTAGAAGGCGGAAAAAAGCAGCTAGCAATTAAGCTCCATGCACAGGCCATTGGCATTTTGCCGGCAATCCATCTACATGTCCTTGTCCTTGTCCTTGACATTCTATGTAAATGTACGTGCCTGCCTTCTTTGACCCAGTTTTTAAAGCCCAGCTGTGTTGCCAACTTCCGGCTGATGCCACTCTCTTGGTTGTCTGGGCTATCCATCCCTTCTCTCTGTCAATAGAGCCTTCGGTTCGGCTTTTGGCCGCGCAGCCTCCCAGGCCTTGTTATTGTTTACTTCTTAGGACCACCTGTTACTTTGGGGGAGTAACTGGTGCATCGAGATTTGGCCCGATTTGGTCCTTAATCGAACAGCTGCTATCAGCAGCCGATGGATGCGGCAAATCTGCGCAGATTAAAGTGCGCAAGTCATTGATAAATCGTTTTGGGGAGATGTGAAATCATGGGAAATATTTATAGAACTTGTTTTTATAAACAAAGATTTTGGATTAAGGGTTTAATGTTTAAAACAAATACAGTCAATATTATGTAACTCAAAAGAGATTGAGTGCAGTATTTCTAAAAAGATTTATTCTATTTTTAAAAATGATTAACAGGTTTAAAAAAGTTCAATAAATAAATGTAACTAAATAAATAAATAAAATATTTACACTTTCTTCAAGAAATTGTTTAAATAAGTTTTTAATAAAGTTATCAATTTAATTTACTAGGAATTATTGGAATAAAGGAAACTTATTAAGATAAATTTTAATAATTTCTTAGATACATTTGAACTCACAAACAATTTAGGTTAAACCCATAACATATAAAAACCACAACAAACTTAAACTAGATGAACCAAAGTTTGCTCACCTAGCAAATAGAATAATTAGTGGACAGAAGCATGTGTATTGCTTTAATTTCCACCGAAATTCCCACAGGACAGTGACTTATGTTTGGCTATTACTTCTTAAATACTCGACCATTTATTTGCAGACGCACCCCCGGAAAGCGCAGACAAAGGAATTTAATGGCCATCCACCCGGCGTATACGCAATATCCACCCTCTGGCATTTGTTATCATTGATAAGTGTGCTTCAAAAACAGGGTGTCTTGATCAAAGGGCACATTAAACCATCCAATAACAAGTGCAAGGACACCCTCTAAGCGGAGAGCAGCCTTTTTAGCCCCTGCCAGTGCGTATACTTAATATGGAGTGCGGGTGGTTAAGTCTCTCTCCGCAAAATATCCTGTATACGCACTGCTGGCCTGCTGCTGTCGGCATTGGAAACGATGGCGAGCCAGAGGACGAGGGCGCCGGAGAGGATAACAACGACAGGGAGCCCAGAGCTCGTCAGTTAACGACGCTTGTCTCAGTTGCATCCGAACGCTCCAGCAGTAAACGTTATCCAGAGCTGGCTACGCGCAAATCAAGGTAAGCCCTTGCAGAACTATAGAACAAAAGAACTGAAAAAAGGGGCTCCCCAAAAAAGTACACAAATTGAAATCAAACAAAAAGTGCTTCACAGTCCCTGTTCGGGCGCCACTACAACCGTCAGTAAAAGGTTCAGCAATTAGCGAATGTCCATAGCCCAGCCCAGTTAACTTGAAGAAGAATAAAAAACTGATGGCCAGAAGCGATTTCCACCAAAGGGTGCGGCGCCAATCAAGCGTTTGATTTGAGTGTGTGCTAAAGTGCCAAACAATTGACAGTTCGACGGCAATTAGTGTTAAAGGGAAAAGTGAAATTTTCCTGCAATCTTCGGGTTATATAAGTCTGTGAAAATTTTTGTGCCCCAAATTAGCATGTATACCAGAAACCCAGTTCTGTATCTATAACCCAGTCGCCTCGTTGCGGAGTCTGCGTTCTGCGCAGCGTCCCAGGACCGAAATCTCTGTTTTGTTTTTTTCCGAGGAGGGGTTGCGATTGCGGGGGAAGTAACCACGTACCACATGGATGTGGCACTGACCTAGTCGACAAAGAAGAAGGCCCAGAAAGCAACAAGCCTGCGCACGCAAATACCTGTTGCATATATCAAATATTCATGAATGACTCTCACTTAGCCAGCTGTTGCATGTTGTCCTTTTCAGCTGGCCACCACCATGGTGACCACCAATGCCGCCGGAACGGGGACAGCAGCTACAACAACAACGAGCAATGCCACCAACAACAACAACCTGCAGACAAACAACAACAGCCATGGGGCTACAAACAACAACAACGATGACTTTGACTTTGACCAGGATAGTGGATTGCAGGACCTCGGCTTACCGGTGTCCGTGCAAACATTCCTGTGGCGTCAAATAGCGCCCTTTATTCGGCCGAAGTTAGGAAAACTGCACGAGTCCACGTGTCTGGTGAGTTTTGGCTTGGGCTTTGCTAAAAGGAAAAAATCACAGATCGTGTTTGCCAAAAACTAAAGCTAGGATGACCAAAAACAAGGACATTTCAACCCCAAGAACTTGGGTGCTGTATATTCGCTATGCGTGTGTTTGTTGTAAGGATGGACTGTGTAAAATACCAAAAAAATAATTACCCAATTGGCAAAACCAATTCGATGGAAACCATAAACTGTGTTCGATGTCTTCTACTTTTGATTTCTCTCAGCCGAAAAAACTTGGAAAATTGGAAACCAAAATTCAATCCCAACTTTGATGTTTGATGTTTTATATACTTTCCTGCATTCGATTTAGTTTCTTATAACAACTACTAACACGGCCACCTTCCACAAACTAAACATGAAAAACCGTCTTTCAGGTATACAAGAAAAGGAAAAGTTTTACTACATTTTATTTCAGCAACCAAAAAAGTATGCTCTACTTTTTTATAAACTTAACTCAAGCTTAGAAACTTTTCCTGCTCTTGTGTACAATCACATTCAGTATGCTTTCAACACACGAAACCAACTAAAATCACAATAATACAATGACAAACTGTACAAATTAACATTGTAAAATCTTTCGCAATTTGTCTGAATCTGAATGTAGTTTTGTCAACATGCACCGGGACACCATGTAAGTTATAAATGTTTGTGGTAGTAGTCAAAGTAACCCCTTTTTGCTAACCCCTAAAGTTTGTTGCGCTCAATGTAGGATTAGTTAAATAATTTCTTGTACATTGAGGCTACGAACTTATTTGTTTCCCCCTTATATTGTAGTTGTTAAATGTTTCATGTATCTATTTTTAAGATTTTTTTATGTTCTTTTAAGAACCCCTTCTTTTGCTGTAATTTTGGTAGCTTTTAAACATCTTTGCTGCGAATTTTTGTTATAAATTCTACTATTTCTTGCCCACTTTTCGGTGTTCAGGAGTCGAAGGAAGCCTGCAAGGTGAATATAAGATTAAATATCTACCAAATTAAGTATTTATTAAGCCATTTTTCTAGTCCTTTGAGAAAGTGCTCGTGCAGAACATCCAGTTTGGTCTGTCACCGCCGCTCACCAAAGGATTAGGTGTGATTCCCAGATGGCGTCTGTTGCAAGGAGCTCTGCCCCATGTGATGCACGCCTGTGCCGCTCTGCTCTACAACAGGGTGAAGGACATGCAGGCCATTGGTCCTGTGGAGACCAAGCTGTTGTACACCATGCAGTGGATCCTTCTCTATGCCGCCGAGGAGTGTGCCGATGACGAGGGCGGCGAGGATCTGGCCTTGGGCGATGCAGCCGAGCCCAAGTCCAAGTCAATAGATCAATACTTATTCTCGGTGCCAACAATTACGGTGGGTTAAGGTATATAAATTATATTTCACATCCTTTATAAAATCTCTTTCTTTCAGCTCTTTGTGTACCTCTTTGCACCCATCATACACCATCTCAAGGAATCGGATTTCCAGAACTTTCGCCTGGAGAATGGTATTAAACTCTGGCAGGGAATGTGGGATAACCGAGCTCCGGGCGCTCCCTGCTTTACGGCTCCCGTTAAACCCAAGGCCAGAAATCTGCTGTGTGCACCCACTCCTAAAGGATCTACTGATGTTTTTCCCGCTCGAAAGCATTCGCTCAGTGCGGATGCCATGTCGCCCAAGGCGGACTCTCCACAAAGCGGCATCTCTGACTATGGAAGGCAGGATGAGGAGGTTTGTTATTAATGAATACAAGTAGCTTCATTACTTTATTACCTTGATTTAATACGCAGGGCTCTTGGGTTTCTTCTCCCAAGGAATTCGCCTTTCCCGAAACCATTCCAGAAGAGGCCTCCAGCGTGGAGGACGAACGTGTGGTCATATTTAGGCTGCCCTCGGCGCCACAACTAATGGATAACTCCTTCTTTACGGTGGGTGATTGAGCTGAATTTCTTGTTTTAAAGATATAATATTTTTTTCTGACCTATCAGGCCGATGCGAGTCTGCTGCAACAGCAGCAATCGCAGAGTCGCCGTGGAAGTCGCCAATCGATGAACTCCCGCGACAAGGACAAAGTGCCCTCCACCAAGTTTGAGTTCGATCAGCAGGAACTAATGCGTGGTGCCTCGATGAAGGAGAAGCGAAGTGCTTCCATCGAAAAGGAGACGGACTCGGACAAGTCGGAGAGCATTAAGGCAGATGTATCGGCAGCCACTTTCCTGGATGTGGCTGTGCTCCGCTGTCTCTTCATTTCCCATTGGCAGGAGGAGGGCATCTTCTGGAGTCTTCAATATCTATACAACCGGTGAGTAGTTGTTGTTAGTGTGAACAACAAATTTCGTAGCGAGCTAAAACAGTTTATTACATTTGGCGCCCAACGTGGGGCATTACTCTTAACTTTAACGTTCAAGCTAACTTGAATAAGATTAAAAATTTTTTGTATAAAGTATTTAACACTCATATATAATCCCTTTCTAATCCAGACTTAGTGACATTGGTGAGGAGGCGGCCATCACCTTAAACCAACCTCGCAAACGCTCAAATTCCTTGCCCATACCGCAAATCGAGATTTCACTGTACCAGGGACCCGGCAGCAATAGTCGCGATAGTCCGGGAAGCTCTGTGGTCAAGGACTACATCGAAATACCAGATCAATCGCCAACAGTGACAGCCTGTGTAGCAGGTGAGCTTTGAAATAATTTCAAAAGGTCTTAACTAAGATATATTTTTTAACCACCTCTTTAGAAGAACCCCAGAGTGCCCCGAGTACTACAGAAAGACGTGGCAGCGAGAAGAAGAAACGCGTTAAAATGGCAGATCTGAGGCACTTTGTAGAGACCAAGATGTTCTCCAAGTCGGAGAAGAATTTGGAAAAAGTAGGGCTCGACACAAACTCAGCCAATGGCAAGACACCACTGCAACATGCAGTAAGCGGAGCAAATACCTTTTTTTTCAATGTTCCTAAGTGTTTTTGCCTGGCTCCCGCTTATAATCCCCCATATAAATAGTTCATTCTAAATGGTGTTTGTTTGGCTTGAGAGTTTTGAAATAATATTAATGTAACAGCCTTGTAATTGAGTGATTATAATGAAGTTTAATTATATCATTTAGGAGTACCATCGCAGCCTGGACACGGGAGAGAAGAAGCTGTCGCGATCTGCCTCGATGATAAGTCGAGAACCAGCCAGTAACTTGATCAAAGGCAAATCGATGCCCAGTCTCAGGTAAAAGGAAGCCCCGAAACAGAAAACCAATCAGGCCTCTGACACCAGAACCAAAATTATATAATACATTATACACTTCCAAACGATTCTCGAAATTCCACACTCTTCAGAGACTCATTCTTTGCTCTCGAGCTAATGCTATATATTCTATACCCTATGACTTTCTCCACCGATCAACCAGCTGTCTGCTTGATAGCGGGTGAGTTTTGGTCTACGAAGCTAACTAACTATGATTTCTATTTCGATCTCCAAGAAACACACTCTATGCTTAATGTGCTCTAGGTCACAGTTATTTCTTTCCCCCTTCCAATGTCTTGCCTGCTTACCTTTCTGGCACCTGTCCAAAGCCTGTTTCTGTCTCTCACCATCTAAACCCACCCGCTGCCCTACCCCCAAAATATACCCCCCTGATCCCTCAGCTTGCCGCACTCCGTTTTTTGACTAATGCCACACACATGCTTTCTCGCACGTATCCTACAAAATACCAGATTTTACAGATACGTAGAGCCACCCAAGGCCCCGAGGCCATCGCAGGCAGCCTGTCCGCGTTCCACGGCGTTCTATCCCCGGAATCCCATCATCACGGTTACGGAACACACACCCACTCCTTCGCCCGACTACATGAAGCGACAGGTGAGCTGTTATTATTTTAAGGATTAAGGGTGGGGTTATAAAAACAAATGTATTCGGATATAATTTGTAGAGTAGAGCCTTGGTTTTCTAAAAAACCATTTTACAACAATTTTGTAGTATTCATTGTAACAGTTAAGGCCATTTGCTCATTCGAAAGTTAAATTTAAAGTAGCGTTTAAATGTTGAGAATGTATGTTAATTTAATGTTTAAATGATATGATGATATGATTTATTTATCGTGAGAAAAATGAAATAAATTTTGGTATTCAAAAAGTGTGCAACAATACATACAATTTCAAGGTTATATCACTACTTTAAATTTAACAAGCGGACGAGAAAACGACCCTTAGTATACCGGTATTTCCTTATATCTTAACCTTATAGTAAGAACCAATTCAAAGCACAACTATTTTTCTGCAGGGCTCCATTGACTCCCAGCTGGATGCCCTGAGTAATGGCGGAAGTATTGCCGGCATGGGTGGCAATGGGGGTGGTAACGGGAGCACAGGAATGGGCAGCACCACCACCCGCTATCGTGGTCAAATGCTGCGCTCCCACACGGACTCCCACATCGATTACACGGGAGTCGATGAGTCGGAGGCTCCGGGCTCCTCCTTCTATATAACACGCGATGGCGGCATTGACTACGAGATTATCCTGTTGGCCATTAGTAATGTTTTCAAGCGAGATCCGGCGCAAGTTTGCTCACTGCGTGTTTTGGAAGCTGGTCTGAATATTTGCGAACTGCTTATTGAAATGGGAGTTCTGAAGTTGGGCGAGCATGCTCACGAGATCTCGATGAGCATTACCCGAAGAGCCCTGCAGGTACTGGGATGTCCACACGGATGCAATGATGGTGAGTTTACTAAAGTTATAACCCTCTTAGAAAGTTAATTCTTGATTTTAATATTTCCATACTCAAAAGTGATCCAAGAACGGTTTTACATATATCAAGAACAAGTGTTCTTAGTTTGAGAGTACTTTTTTGAAAACAAGTATTCTCGATTTCACTAAAAGTGTTCTTGGTTTCAAGAAAAAAAATTCTCAAGAGCACCTTTACTCTTGATTTTAAGAACACTTGTGCTCAAAAAAGTGAGAAGAAAAAATTATGAAATCAAGAAGATTTGTTCTTGATTTTTTCGTTCTCAAGTTTTCTCAGTGTACCTAATACAAATATTAATGAAAATTAATAACTTAACCACTTTATTCCCAGGTGTTCGAGGTCCTCCAGCCGACTTCCTGCGCAACCAGTGCCAGAAGATCCTGTCGCGCATGCTGAGGCAGGCGGGTCCCAGGACCAAGCGATTCATGCAGGAGATGGTGAAGACCTCGCCGCTGCCGGAGCTCATCGACTACTTCCATGCCTTCCTGGCCTTCTGCGTGGACCCGAGCTCCCTGCTCTCGCCCCTGAGTAAGTGTTTTGACCCATGTCGATCATAAAAAACCGCAAATGCTGGGCTTGGATGCCAAAAAATAACCCTATTTAGGCGCACCAACTACCCTATTTTAATACGATTTTAATCGATCCAACCAGACTCTTGAGTTCCATTGGCCATTTTGTGTTGGGCTTCCCTCTTACCTTGCCTTTTGATTTGCTCTTCCGGCCCCCGAAAATCCGCATCCCCCATGCTGTTTGTGGTTCCATATTGTTTATACCATTTTGATGCATGCCAAGACCTTTTTGCTAATGCTTTTGAGTTGTCCCTCCCGATTCTTTACTGTCACCACCAATACGTTGTATATATATATATGTATGTATGTATGAAATGATGATGCAATAGCTCATAAACGTCAGAGTGGATTTAAAAATGCTAACACCGATATTGGCGGCGTACCAGGTCAGGGCGGCTATTCGACCAATTTTAGCGGCGGCATGAGCGGCGGCGCCGAGGCCCAGGTGGTCGGAGCGGTCTTCAAGCCGCTGGTCAGCCGCTTCGTGGAGGCCCAGAAGGATCTCAAGGGTCCGGAGAACATAGCCCTCTACGGCGACATCCGGCAGCTGGTCACGTACGTCAAGGGCGCCCACGGCGGTCCCTTTCGCCTGGTGGCCCTCAGCGGCATTCTGGCCGTCACCCCGAGGCCCCACAAAAAGGGTCCCTCGTCGCAGACCACTCGAGTGATCAGGTGAGCAGCTTATGAATTGATACAATGAATTATTTTGAATTTATTTATTTTATGTGAATTAATTTATTTGAATTTTGAGTTTAATCGATAAATGAATGAATGGCATGAATGTTGATATAATTCAAACGACATTTTCATTTGAAGGAGCAAGGGCCATAATTTTGAGGTTCAATCTGCCTGAATTTTTGTATATATGCAGTTCATATTGATTTATGCAAAATTTTCAACTATTTGTTTTTAAAAGAAAACACAAACAAATTCTGAAAAATTGAAAAATTTTATAAATAATATTCATTGAATTCGAAGTGAATTAGAAAATCATTCAATTCATTTCAAATATAATTGACTTAAGTAAATCAGAAAATTCATGGCATACTGGATTAAGTTACAAGAACTAACCTTTTTGGTTGGAAATCAGGTTTCGCATTTTGTGTTAAAATACAGTTTTCATAGTGTTTCTTGGATGTCATTTGATTAAATTTTGTCCCAATTTCTGTATGGAATAGCTGCCACTTTTCGGCTAATTTACAAAAATTAATGTTTTTTTTATCAATTTTGATATTTTTGTTTTGCGAATAATGCACAAAAATAATATATTTAGTTTTAAAGGCCAATCAATTGTGACTTTGATGACGAAATCAACGAAATATGACATTCCATATTTGGAGTATTATTTTTCTTATTTTTGTTGTATTATTTTTAAAATTTTTTTTTTATTCTTTTTTTATTTATTTTTTTTATTTTCCTTTATTTTTTGAGGGTAAAATCAGGATCTAGATTTTTGTAAGAAATAGTAGGGGAGAGTGGGGGAATTTCGTCAGCATTTTTTCAAAGCTATTTATTGTCCATCTTGAGACACGTTATCATATTTCTATTTTTATTGTTAAATGCGGTTAGCACTAAGCTTTAAAATGTGACATTCCCCTATTTTTTTAATTAACTTGGTGATTTATAAAAAATTAAAAAGTAAAACCAATATACTGGGGCAATCTCACCACATAGGGGGGTAAAATCACCACACAACTGGGGAAATTTCGTCACCTGAAAAATGTAGGGAACTTTACGCCTGTAAGTATGCTACACTGATCAAGCGTACCATTTTTGTTGACGTCCTATATTTGTTGCTGCTGCTGGTAGTCTGTTCGAAAGCCAGCTCGTCAAATAAAAAAATATGTATTTAAAATAGGTGCGAATTTACCCAAATCATAGGGTGACGAAATTTCCCGACACAGTACTTTTTTAGAAATAATTATTTTTCTTCCGAAATTAGGCGCGAAGTTAAAAATCACTAACGCAGAAATGCACATTATAGCACTGTGTATTATATAAAAAATCGTGTATCTTATTCCTTTTGAATTGTGGCATACAGAAAAAATTTCGTCGCGAACTAAATGTAGCTTTTGAACTGTTAAAACACACGTAATATTATAGCTTAATTATCTTGGCCTTCTGTGCAAAACAAATGCATTGGTTGTGTCTGGCCGTCTTGAAGGACTAAAACAAAAAAATTATATATTTTTACGACTTATGGATTCCGAGATATTGCAGGTGACGAAATTGCCCCTGTGACGAAATTCCCCCACTCTCCCCTATTTTTTGTGCTATAATCATTTCCTGGATTAATGATTCCCCACCTATTTTTCCAGACACATTCCCCAGGCGAATGTGAGTCAGAGCCTGCAGAACGACGACAACCGCTCCCAGCGGCGTCTCCTGCTGAAGAAGCGCAGCACCTCATCGGCCTGCGCCGTGGTGAGTCAATTGCCCAAATCCCAACCCAAGGCTCATTCCCGCCTGCATCATTTCAGAGCCTGCTGGAGACGGAGGCATGCGAGGAGCACTACAAGACCAGCCAGTCGCCGCTGAGCAACTTTCGACGCAGGACAACGGGAGTTCGACCCACCTTGACTCCTCGGCACAGTGAAAGAGCCCTGCTTTCCGATTCCACGTCCAGCTCGGAACGCAATTCGCTGGGACGGCTCAGCGGCTTGGTGCGCTGGTTTCGCGGCACGCCCAAGGAGGCCTCGTCCATCGATCTGGAGATCGGGTCCCTGAACCCCGAGATCAGCTCCACATTTATGCGGCACGCCTCGCTGAAGATTCAGCGCGGACGGTCGAGCGATGGCATTGGGCGGTCCATCCAGCGGGCCAAGCGACGCGTCGAGCGGCGGCTGAACCGTTTCGGCGGCATTGTGAAGGGCAAGAAGAAGGTGGGCGGCATCGAGGAGACGGCGGACTTCAGTCGCCGCTCGTCCTCGGACATGTGCGATGGTCCGCGCGAGTCAGAGGTGGTGATCTTGAAGGAACGCAAACTGGTGCCCACCGAACCGGTGCGCGTGGGCATGCTGCGTTTGTCCTTTCTCCTGGAAACCTGCGCCCCCGGCTCCTTTCCCGATCCCCAGCTGGTGGCCGCCGTCCTGGATCTGGTCAGTATACATTTCTATAGTTGGTTTTGAATGTTTGAACGATGAGATCTCGGAAACTACAAAAGCTAGAAGGTTGGGATTAATCACACTTATTCTTGGGCTTCCTAAGCAGCGCTAGTTTGTTTCATCCGAGCGCCACGCCCACATTGGCTTTAAATGAGTTTTAAAAAAGCCTGGCGCCCACATCTTTACAGATTTTGTAAAAGTTTAAGTGCTTAGTTTCTTGTGCTTATTAATACCTACCGAAGTGTAGAAGGAAATTTTCAAATCGGACAATCCATTAAAAGTTATGAGCAAACAATTAAATGGCCGCTAGATGGAGCCAGTAGCCCTATCTCTTGTTTTAATTATTTATTCTTGAAAGCGAAACCCTTTAATAAACCTTACTTCTTGTTTCTAGCCCCAAGCTCCTCTGGTGGCCAGAGCAACCTTCCTGCTGGAGTGCGCCCATTTTGTGCACTTGTGCAACAAGGGTCAGTGGCCCGCGTGGATGAAACAGAACGTGGGCAGCTACCGGGCATCGGGCGCGAACATCAATATCAACCAGATGAAGCAGCAGGTGAGCCAAACGAGCGCAAGACGCACACACATCCTGCAAAGGGCCGCCGGCAAGATGTTCCATCAGTGGGCGGAGATGGTGGGTGCCCGTCTGGAGGAGATCCTCTTCACGGAGCGTCTGCAGTACGAGGCCGTAAATGCGAGTCTCACGGATCCCGAGAAGCAGCGCGAGCTACTGCAGCAGGACGAGGAGGAGGACTTTCTGGACGAGACTTCGGTGAATCCGCATGGCAATGATTGCCCGCACTCCCTGAAGCTCATTGCCTGTGTGCTGCTCTTCGAGATCACCGCTTTCCTAAGGGACACCTATTTGATGTTGCCCAAGACATCGAAGTTGATACATCGCGACAAGCCGGCGCCCTGGGAGAAGGTTTACCGCGAGGCCAATCGCCGCTGGTCCATGGCTTTGAGTTCCATGGGTCACTCGCAGACCTCCGCCCAGAGCCTGCAGTCGATAGCAGCGGGAAATGATGGGGCCGGTCAGTCGGAGCGGAAGATATCCTTTGTGCTCCACGAACCGGACAATGAGTCGGAGAATAGTAGCAACACCACGCTGACCAAGGAGGGGGAAGAAGGTATTAATCAGATTTTCTTTAGGGTATAATGATTCTCATCTTCTTTCCTTAACCGCAGCTCGTCGACCCACTGCATCGGCTGTTCGACCTTTCCTGCTGAGACGTGGCACTGCCACCACCACAGGAGGATCCTTCAAACGTCGCTCCCTGAAGCTGCGACGCAACACCAAGGACAGCAAGGACATAGAAACGGATTGTAAGTTAATTATATTTATAAAAACAAGAGAGAACGCTATAGTCGGGTTGTTGTCCCGACTATCTAATACCCGTCACTCAGCTAAAGGGAGTGCGAACGCTGTGTCGGGTTGGTGTCCCGACTAATAATCGTAACTCAGCTAAAGGGAGTGCGAGGGAGATAGATATATAATTTTTGATTGCGTATAACTTTTTAATGAATGGTCCGATTTGAAAAATGTCTTCTACATTTCGATAGGTATAAATATACACAACAAAATTGCATTTATACTTCTCGGAAATCTTTAAAGATGTGGGCGCAGGACCCTTTTTAAAATCGTTAGTGGGCGATTGTGGGCGTTAGAGGGGGCGTGGCGCTCGGCTAAAATAAACTTGCGCTGCGTAGGAAGCCAAAGAATATGTGTGGGAAATCTCAACCTTCTAGCTTTTGTAGTTTCTGAGATCTCAGCGTTCATACAGACAGACAGACGGACAGACAGACGGACAGACAGACGGACAGACGGACAGACGGACAGACGGACATGGCTAGATCGACTCGGCTGATGATCCTGATCAAGAATATATATAGTTTATAGGGTCGGAAACGCTTCCTTCTACCTGTTACATACTTTTGCACGAATCTAGTATACCCTTTTACTCTACGAGTAACGGGTATAATAACTAATACTTACCTGTAACTTAACCCCCAGTCAACATGCAATCGCGGAGGAAGGTCTCCTCGCTCTCCGATCGCAGTGACACCTCGGAACAGGGCATGATCAGTGGTGGCGAGGAGTCACCCGGAATACTAAGCGACGATCAGCAGCCAGAGTCACCCACTGATTCGAATGAAAACGATGATACGGCCAAGAATATGCCCTGGCTAAAGGCGATCATTGATTTGATGTCCAGTTACAACTATTACTGCACTCACAAAGGATATTGCCATCCCTTCTGCTACAAACGACACATGAGATCCTGCACTCGTTTGGTTAAGGCCACTAGGAAGGTTAGTAATCCCCAGATTACAGAGATCTTTAATTATAAACACACTGAATTTGATTAGGTTTATGGCGAGGAGTTCGGCTTCACCTTTGATGCGGATCATCCCAATGTGGAGCCCACAATAATCACATCCAGTAAACCACATACTTCGCGAGCCCGCTCCACACGAAAGGTTTCGGAGCAGAGTTCCACCCAGACATCGCCGTCCAAGCGAAAGGATAGCTTGTCGCGCAAGGATCGGTGGGTTGTACCTCTATAACATAATCATAAATAATATGGTTTTCCCACAGCATAAGTGATGATCCCGATTTGGAAATGGCTGAGAAACTAGCCAAGGCATTTCGTCAGGAGAAGGAGATGAAGATGCAGGAGGAGCCACCCATCCTCAAGTTCATCCGCATCCACATACGCAACTTGTTCCACTTTCCGTTGGCCACTTTGCTTAAAGGAGCCGTTGTGCTCACCGAGGAGATGGTCATCGAGGCAATGCCAGCTGCCTGGGAACTTCTCCTTGAAACCAATCACGATACAGCCACCTCCAGTGCCGCTGTATTTCTAATGGGTTCGGTGAAGGCCCAGAACTTTGCCTTTGACATCATGCAGCGCGCCCTGAAGCACAAGGATCCGGACATAAGGATCGGGGCTATCCAGCGATATCTGGTGCTTTGGAAGTGCCGTTTCCATGTCTGGCCGCGAATGGAGGAGAACGCCCATGATGTGACCTTCAAGGTGCCACCGGGTGGCATTGAATTCACACTACCCTCGCCCAAGATTGGCATTGAAAGTCTGCCGGTGGTGGATCCACCCTGGATGCCGGTACAGCAGACAAAGGACATGGACGTCACCCTAAACCAAGATAGACATGTGAGTGAGAAGGCAGCCGAGACACTGGGTTATGTACTGGTCGAGGGGGGTTTGCTTATAAAACTGATTAATCACCTTATAATATTTCAGAGATCCCTGGTCACCGCCACCAAATCCCGGAAGATGCAGCAGACGGAGGCCATCAGGAATGCCCTGCGTCAGCAGAGGGACAAGCAAAGGGCAGAACGACACAGTTTCCTGATCACCATGATACCCATTAGTCAGCAGGCCTCCCATGAGCCTGGAATGGAAAAGCTGGAGGACCATGAGATCGAGGAGGATCTCGATGGCACCCGGATGTCCTCGCACCTTCACCACGCCCACTCGCTCTTCCCCTCCGTTCTCTGCTCCTCGGTGATGCAGATCGTCGGCTGTCTGGACGATGCCGCCATCGGTTCGGATGGCAACGCGGTGTACGAGATTGCCTACCAGGTGATCTGGGTTTGCCTGGTGGAGGAGTCCGCTTTGTTTCTGCGCTATGTCTTCGAGCGACTGACTAGGGATCGTCAGGATCAGATGTTCAAACTGCTGAGACACCTCATCCGATTTGTGCCACGTCTGCCGCAACAGGCGGCCTTTGCCCTCTACAACTCGATTATAGGCTACATCATGTTCTACGTGAGATCTTCGAATGAATTGAAGCAGGAGGTAGGTGGTTTTCCATTAATTTGAATTTAATTTTAATTGATGTAATATCCAAGCGCTGCAAGCGTAAGCTTATTATTATTGAGCCAGTTACTTTGACAAAAAATTGCTTATTACATTTAGATTTAATACTTAAAAGCTAACAATTTTCAAAATCGTTAAACTACAGAACTATTGAACATTTAATTCTTAGTATATAAGATTAATTTTTTTTTTGATTATTTATTTTTTTTTATACGTTTTAATGATTTTTACCTAACAATACTTATTTATACTTTTATTGTGGTTTTATAAATTCCTTAATAATAATTGAAAATTGAGTTGCGCTCCTAATAGCTTTAAATTGATGGGGAGATTGTTTCTCCCATTCTTACTTCATAAATATTTTACTAAACATACCTCTACTCTTCAGCTTGTTGGCTCTGCCTTATCTGTACTTTGGATGGTGGTGCATTCCGTGCATGGCATCATGTTCAAGGATCTAAAGCAGATTCTGCGCAAGGAGCAATGCGATGCTTCCATCCTGCTAACTGCCAATGTGCCGGCGGCCAAGAAGATCGTGGTTCATGGACCGGCCGATGATGACTACAACATACCCTCCCAGTTTCCAGTGCAGGAGGACACTCTGTTCTGTCAGCTGCTGAAGGAGGCCCTCGATTACTATCCCATCGATGAGAAGAACACCAGTCACTATTGTCTAGTGGACTACAAGAGCAGTAAGTCGAATAAACCAACTACACCCAAAAAAAATCGATATGAAACGTAGATCGATTTTAGATTATTTAAGATCAATTTTAATTTGATATGTGGCTAGGTAAATTTGACCTGGTCGAAAAGAGTACTTCATGTAAAAACGATATGGGTTTAGCATGACCATATCGATTTTACGGTAAAATGTTTTTTTGAGTAGCTATTTAATGAGTTAACTTCTCGTTCGTTTGTTTCTTCAGGTAAAATCCTCAATCCCAATTGGTACATCCGTGACTTGTACTTCTTCAAGAGATCCCAGTACCCGGAAGTGCGTCTCATGCTCATGCGACCGGAGGAGTCCTTCCTGGCCCTGCAGAAACAAGAGCTGACCAAGAAGTTTGTCGAGATAGGAAAGGTGCATCTGACCTGGGCAATCCTGAAGAACGTGGACATGGTGGTGCAGCGAGTGGTGTTCCTGCACGAGGAGCTGATGAAGCTGCCCTCCTTCCCGCGCAAGGCACTCGAGGTGGATCTGGATCTGCACCATGGTGGCGAGTACGGAAAGGTGCTGCTCGGGTTGGACGTCCTGCACAAGTTCATGTGGGTGCGTCTGATCGCCCGTATGTTCGAGGCCATGGCTGGAAATTTTGCCTACTCGGCGGACATCCAACTCTTTCTGAACGTCCTTTCCGGCGCCTCCATTCTGCATGCCGAAGATTCGTGCATCATGCGCTATGTGATGGCCACCTTCATCAACGCCGCCTTCAACTTCAAGAACATCTTCTCCACGAACGGTTACTTTATGATAATGCCCACTCTGTTGCAAGTCTATTCCCTGCACCAGACCAACAAGCTGATCACCACCACCATTGAGTATGCGGTCAAGCAGTTCTATCTGCTCAATCGCAAGCCCTTCATCCTGCAAATGTTTGGTTCGGTTTCTGCTATTCTGGACACGGATGAGGATGGCACGTATGGTGAGGCCCACAAGGTGCAGTCGAGCTGCCTCTTCAATCTGCTCCTCAGTCTGGAGGATCCCTCGCCGGATCCTCTTAATATTGCGGAACTGGTCAAGGAACCGAAACCTTTAAAGGCCATTGACTTTTGTTACCACGACGAGGATGATGATGTTACTGTTTTGGACTGCATTACCCTGTGTGTAATGGTGGTATCCTACTCCGCCGAGAGCACCCGAGGATATCAAATGCTTGTGAGTGCAAATTAATGATTAGATATAGAAGATATCTAGAAGATATTACGATTTAGCGGCATCCAACTATGGTTCATAGTTATCTCTTTATGCTGTTCACGTACGGTTTACTATGGTTTACTACGGTTCACAACGGTTTACTATGGTTTACTATAATTTAGTACGGTATACGATGGTTTACTACGGTTTACTACGTTTTAATTTGGTTTACTATGGTATACTATGGTTTACTACGGTTACTACGGTATACTATGGTTTACTACGGTTTACTACGTTTTACTAAGGTTTACTACGTTTTAATATGGTTTACTACCGTTTTTCTCCGGTTTACTATGGTATACCACGGTTTACTACGGTTTACTATGGTTTACTATGGTTTACTACGGTTTACTATGGCTTACTACGTTTAACTACGGTATACTATGGTTTACTACGGTTTACTCCGGTTAACTTTGGTTTACTACGGTTTACTATGGTTTACTACGGTTTACTATGGTTTACTACGGTTTACTCCGGTTTCCTACGGTTTACTCCGGTTTACTCCGGTTTACTACGGTTTACTACGGTTTACTATGGTTTACTCCGGTTTACTATGGTATACCACGGTTTACTACGGTTTACTATGGTTTACTACGGTTTACTATGGCTTACTACGTTTAACTACGGTATACTATGGTTTACTACGGTTTACTCCGGTTAACTTTGGTTTACTACGCTTTAATTTGGTTTACTACGGTTTACTATGGTTTACTACGGTTTACTCCGGTTTCCTATGGTTTACTCCGGTTTACTCCGGTTTACTACGGTTTACTATGGTTTACTTCGGTTAACTACGGTTTACTTCGGTTTACTACGTTTTACTATGGTTTACTATGGTTTACTACCGTTTACAACGGTTTGCTATGGTTTCCTAACCCTAGAATCCTTTCAGATAATTCTAGAGGCCATTCTACCCTGCTACCTCCAGCAGATCCAATCGCCCAGCTACATCCCACTGCAGGGCAAGTCCGAGCGGGACATTATCCTCCAGCTGGCGGTGGCCATCCGCACCATGGTGCACAACTGCGAGGGTCTCGCGAAGAGCTACAATGGACCGTACAGGAATAGTCCGGAGCACAAGGGCTCCTCGCAGCGCAACTGCAGCAGGGGACCTCCATGTTCGCCCGGCTTGGACTTTGAGGAGGAGACGCATCCAAAGTACTTGACGGATGCTCGAACCAAGAATATGATGGACTCGGCAGAGGATTCGGAAATGATACGCACCGAATACCGAAGGCCTCGCGACGTTTTGCTCTCCGTGGTGGCTGATTTCCTCACCAAGTCCACCGTTCGTCTGGCGGAGCTGGCCAAGAAGATGCCCAGTGACACCAAACCCACCGAGGTGCTGGATGCCAAGTGTCACATTCGTCTGGCGGACATTGCCCATTCCCTGCTGAAGGTTTCCCCCTACGATCCCGAGTCCATGGCCTGTCGTGGTCTTCAGCGCTACATGCAGGCGGTTCTCCCAAGGGCAGAGTGGTCCAATGACACCTTACGCAACGCCCTGGTCACCATCCTACGTCGCATCGACAAGGTCTTCCTGAAGATCTCGAAGAAGCCATCGATCAGGAGGAACACGGACTGGGAGGCGGCCGCCGGACTGCTGAAGGGCATCCACGAGACGATCATACGGCACTCGTACGTGCTGCACTGGCAGCAGATGAAAACGCTCATCGGCACGGTGCAGAATCTGATCGTCAACGAGCCCGGATCCGGCATCCCCGAGGGCGTCTCCAGCGCAGGAGCAGCGCTCATGTCTCAGAATCCGCCGGCCTTTTTCTGCTCGGCGGTGGTGCGTCTGGTGGCCCTCCAGGTGGTCAGCCCGGTGGATTGTTTCTCTCTGGTGCAGATTTGCGGCGGCAGTGCCGAGTTTGCCACGCAGGAAAAGGCCGAGGGCTTTCTAATGCATCTGATAATGCCACTGTGTCTGAAGGTTTGCTCGGGCCGAGGCGTTTCCGATGTGGGCGAATTGAAGATGACCGACGTCTCCTTCTTGCTGACTGCCGTGCTGAATGCGATGAGTCCGCCGGCGGGGAGAACCGGACAGGCCGTATCGCAGATAAACCGTGTGACCGGCGACCTACGCGCCGGCTCGCTCACTTTCACCGGCAGTCGGGATGCCAAGCGCCCAGCCCGCATCTCCGGTTCCCTCTACCAGGCCGCCTTCCTGGCCCTGCGCATCGTGTGCATCTGCTTCGAGAGCCGGCTCTCCAACGAGTGGCCGCGCATCGTCCGGGTGATGAGGGATCTCGGGCGACGCAACGAGGCTGCCCCGGATCTCTGGAGCTTCATGGAGTTCGTCGTCACGCACCGAACACCCTTGTACATTGTCCTCCTGCCCTTCATTCTGCACAAGGTAATTTTGTGATTTCGTTGGAATATTTCTAGCTAAACTTCGAACTTGGTGACTTGGGTGTATTGTCTGTATTTATATGACCCCAGAAATGTTAATCTTTTTTATCATCATTAACTAATAATTAATTAACTCATTAAGCAGAGAGAGGAATGAGGTCTAAAGTGGTATACTTGGTAACCCTTCTTCCTTCCACCTAAACCTTGATTTTGTGACCCTTATTATGTATTCATTGGTGACCCCAACGTATTGAAATAGTGTTGGGTATAACTCTTTAATTTTGTTCAATACAATTGGTGACCTTTATTCCCTTTTTTTCAAGTAAAGTGGTATACTTGGTAACCCTTCTTCCTTCCATTTCAACCTTGATTTTGTGACACTTATCCGTAGACTTCGGTGACCCCAACGTATTCAAACCGTGATGGGTATAACTTCTCTTTTTTGTTCAATACAATTGGTGATCCCTATTCCCCTTTCTTCAAGTAAAGTTGTTTACTTGGTAACCCTTCTTCTTTCTTTCACTTTAACTTCCATTTTGGGACCCCCATTTGTAGTCCTTGGTGACCCCAATACAAAGTTTATTAAACTCAATGAGTTTAAATCTCTGAAAAAGAGTTGGGTATAACTTTCCATTTGCTTTCAACATCCTACCCCTGCACTTTGACCAATACCCCAGATTTAAAACCCCTAAATCTTAGTGATACATTAAAAAAAGGACAGCCCTAACGCCTCACCTCTTCCAGATATCCCAACCACCCATCGGCGATCACGAGCGGCACATGCAGTTCATCATCAGGGAGCGACTGCGAGGAACTCCACCGCAGGGAGGGATCAAGTCCAAGGGAGCCCTGCTACTGGAACTGGCCCGGGAGCTGCGTGACCTGCGCGACGAACTGGAGGAGAAGCGATACGGTAAGATGCGGATAAAGGGATGCCCCATCCCATTACTCCCACTGCACACGACCACTCATGTTTCAGTCTCCACAGATCGCGAGAGTTCCGAGCAGAAGAAGAGCGACACACCGGCGGCAACTAGTGCGGCAGAAGCCCACAAGTCGCAGCAAAGACCTTCACTCATATCTATCTTCACAGGGACCACCACGGGCCAGGCCACGCACTCCCACGTCTCCGCGGTGCCGATCGACTCGCGCAGCGGATCCGGCGGCATTTGCACGCCCAGCGACACGCTGTCGCAGCAGACGCTGCACCCGCCGCGGGAGTCGCTCTCGAGCAGCTCCACGGGCCGCGAACGGGAACACACGACGACCAGCGAGAGCCAGAGCGGCGAGGCGGACGCAGGATCGGCGCCCACGCTGGTGGGACCGACGCCCAGCGGTTCGGGTCATGGTCACCAGGGAACCACCTCCGCCTCCACCTCCGCCGTGCCCTCGCATCTCTCGCATTCGCAGTCGTTGCAGCAGGCGCCCTTCAAGGCCCAGCCGCCCAAGCTGCGCTTCGTTTCGTCCGTGGAGTTCCGGCACTCCTCCGGTGAGACATCGACCACTCCGCTCTCTCCGGAGAGCCCTGCGGAGGATAGTTCGGGGGATCATACCAGGTCAAGGCTGCAGCGTTCCAAGGCGGCCAGCAGGAAGACCTTTAGGCTGAAGCGCAGTCGCCTGACGCCCATGGAACCACCCAGCATTGTAGGTGCTACGGATATATCCTAAGATAAACCCACTAATAAACCTCCTTCATAGGTCACCTCGCAGGAGGAGCCACCGCAGCAGGCACAGCAGGCCAAGACCCTGGGTGAGATTTCCTGGGACTCGGTTTCGCAGACATCCTCCACTTCCGGGTATCGGGACAACAACAGCCTGCAGACCGGTCTGCTTTCCCCTGATGGTTCCTTGGGTGGCATGACCCTGGGTCGCTCACCCTCGCAGCACTCGCTTTTGATGGTCTTCGAGGGTCAGGACGAGGACACACTCATTTAACAATCACAGAACGGCGACCGGGCCTACGAACTTTAGAACCCACGGGGTTCTATTAATTAACAGGAATTTGTAGTACTTAAATAGTCAAAAAGGGTAGTTAGTTGTCGGGTGTGTTGAGTTTTATATAGACGAATCGTTGTTTTCCATTGTGTGCCATTTTTGTATTGCATAGATAAAGTTAGAAACTAATAAAAGTACTTGGTAGCCGTTCTAATTGTGACTTTAGTTATTGTGGTTAAGGAAGTGGTAAAGATTTTACTTGGAAAGTTAATCCGTTACAAGTGGCGCCTAAATTTGAATATGTATAACAGCATGGTCACCCAGATCTACCAGCTGCTTATCGATAACTTTGTATCGAATATAGAGATGTGCATTTGTCGTGTTTTTTGGTAACACACAAAATGTCCATTTTGTCATGAAAATAATTTATATATTTTGTTCAAGTTAATTTAATTAAATAAAAAATGTAATGTTAAATATATGTTTCATAGTAAAATAAAAACCATTTTTAAATACGATAAATGAAAATCAAACTTATTTCCTAAATAAAAAATGTTTCCTTCGAATTCAAATGGTGTACATAAATTGCATTATATTTACACTCATTTAATAATTTTAAAAAGTAATTATTAAAGATCTAATATCGTTTTCGTGCGTGACTGAGACTTGCCCATCTCTAGCGGTCGCAAGACCCCACCGGGGGAGAAAAGAGAGAGCAGATGCCGCTCTCTCGCTCGCCGACTTGTTGTGTGGATCAAATCGGCTGAATCTGCACTTTGGACTTTCTCTTGGATCCCCGATTTCCAGCCGTATCACCGTTAACAGTGGGAATCGAGATCTCACGGCAAACGGTCTATAAACTTTGGACAGGATGATCAACACGGGCAAGCTGGCAGGACGGACGCTGTTCATCACGGGCGCCTCGCGGGGAATCGGCAAGGAGATCGCCCTGAAGGCGGCCCGCGATGGAGCCAACATTGTGGTGGCGGCCAAGACGGCGGAGCCGCATCCCAAGCTGCCCGGAACTATCTACTCGGCGGCCGAGGAGATCGAGAGGGCGGGCGGCAAGGCCTATCCCTGTGTGGTGGACGTGCGCGATGAGCAGCAGGTGCGCGGCGCCGTGGAGGCGGCGGTGGCCAAGTTCGGTGGCATCGATATTGTGGTCAACAATGCCAGCGCCATCTCCCTGACCAACACGCCGGGCACCGACATGAAGCGCTACGATCTGATGCACAACATCAACACACGCGGCACCTTTTTGGTGTCCAAGGAGTGTTTGCCCTATTTAAAGAAGAGCAACCACGCCCACATCCTCAACATCTCGCCGCCGCTGAGCATGAAGGCCAAGTGGTTCGGCCCCCATGTGGCCTACACCATGGCCAAGTACGGCATGTCCATGTGTGTGCTCGGCATGGCCGAGGAGTTCCGCGATCAGGGCATCTCCGTGAATGCCTTGTGGCCACGCACTGCCATCCACACGGCTGCCATCGAGATGCTCACTGGTCCGGATTCGGCGCAGTGGTCACGCAAGCCGGAGATCATGGCCGATGCCGCCTATGCCATCTTGAGTAGGGAACCCAGGCAGTCCACCGGCCAGTTCTTCGTGGACGACGAGGTGCTGGAGACGGCGGGCATTACGGATTTGACGGACTACGCCTGCATTCGCGAGAACGCCGACAAGCTGATGGTGGACTTCTTCGTGGAGGAGAAGGGCGCTCCGGTGGAGGATGCTGCTCCTACCGGAGGAGCTTCGGCTGGCACTCCAGCTGCTGGAGCAAAGATACCCCAGCTGTTCCAGAAAATCGAATCTCTACTCTCGCCCGAGATCGTCGCGAAGACGCAGGCCGTCTTCCAGTTCAACATCAGCGGCGCCGAGCAGGGCACCTGGTTCCTGGACCTCAAGAACGGCTCCGGCTCCTGCGGCTCCGGAACTCCGCCCGCCACTCCCGACGCCACGCTGACCATGAACTCGAACAACTTCTTCGACATGTTCTCCGGCAAACTGAAGGCGGCCCCCGCCTACATGACCGGCAAGCTGAAGATCAGCGGCGACTTCCAGAAGGCCCTCAAGCTGGAGAAGCTGATGAAGGCCCTCAAGTCCAAGCTGTAGGTGCAATCTAATTGCGGAACTTTCTGTTGTTTACACACTTTTGATTTTATGTATTTCCCTAATAAAGTATGAGATTCTTTTAAATTGTAATATTATCTTCGGTATTTGGAGTGGGTATTGGATTTTAGAAACTTTGTCAAAGGAAGAACATTTTGTTTAATAATGCCTATGAATTTTATATCATTTATTTTATTATTTTTATTTTTGTAAAATGTTAGTAAGGTTCGTTTGAAAAATAGTGATTACCGACTTCCAGAACGCCCTCAAGTCCAAGCTGTAGGTGAAATTAAGAAACTTTCTGTTGTTTACAAACTTTTGATTATATGTATTTCCCTAATAAAGTATGAGATTCTTTTAAATTTTAATGTTATCTTCGGTATTTGGAGTGGGTATTGGATTTTAGAAACTTTGTCAAAGGAAGAACATTTTGTTTAATAATGCCCATGGATTTTATATCTTTTGTTTTATTTTTTTTTTTTTGTAAATTTTAGTAAGATTTGTTTGAAAAATTGCGATTACCGAGTATCACAAAGTCGAAACCCTCAAAAATTTGAGTCAAAATAAATCAAATAAAAACACCTCTTAACGAGGTAAAAAACTAGTGACGACCGCACCTTCAACATACAAAAGTTCTGATATCAACATTTGTGACGAAAAATTATTACACTCGTCATTAAATAGACTTTCTAATATTTTCTCATTCGGCCCGCCCTAGCAAACTATTCCAGCCTTTTTCCCTTTACAGGCATTTTCTATTGCAGCGTGACGAATGAGAAAAGATTAGAAAGTCTATTTAATGACGAGTGTAATAATTTTTCGTCACAAATGTTGATATCAGAACTTTTGTATGTTGAAGGTGCGGTCGTCACTAGTTTTTTACCTCGTTAAGAGGTGTTTTTATTTGATATCAGAAGTTTTTGTTTGTTTACATTTGCTCTCATAGGAGCTAATATATACATTTAAATTTAAATTGGTCAATCATTATTTTTAAACTATTGTATTTTAACAAATTAAGTTAAAAAGGCGTTGAAGTATTTCAAAATACCTTTTAAACGAGGTATAGCACATGTCTGTACCTTTAGTAGTGTAGAACTTACAAACTAACGAAATTTAGCTATTTTTAGCTTTTTCCCGCTAAAGTAGCGGCTTTTTCCAAAAGTCGTAGAACAAAAGATTCCTATATGGAACTCTTAAGTGCAAATTTACTGATTCCATGACCCTAAAATACAGTTCGGATACCCTCCCACAAAATTCAATACTCAGGGAGCGTTAATTGTTCGAGCTGGCAAAAGTGGCTATTTTCGTATAAAAATAACTTTTAAACGTGACTTTTTACAGTAATGTGTTATATACCAAAATTTAAGGAATCTCAAGGGCTATACAGTTTAAGGTTTTAAAGAAAATCGTTAGAGCCGTTTTTGAGAAAAATAAAAAAAAGCTAAAAAAAAAGTTTTAAAAAATTGTCTTTTGTTCATATTTTTTTAATTATTACATTTACACAAATTGCATATAGAAGGCGTTTATAGCATTTAAAAATACCTTTCAAACGAGATGCAGCACAAGTCTGTAGCTTTAGTAGTATATAAGTTACGGATTTCCGAATTTTAGCTATTTATAGCTGTTTTCCCGCTAAACTAGCGAGTTTTTCCAAAAGTGGTAGAACAAAAGTTTTTCATATCGATGTGATGAACGTCATATCAAATTTTCAAAACTTAAAAAACATGTTTTGGACAAACTGACAAACTGACAAACTGACAAACAGAATTAAATTTTCATTTTGGGAAGACGAAGGAAATCTTATTTTGGCTATAACTTTTGAACGGAGCGTCGGATTTTGACAAATGACCCCTCATTCGACGGGTATTTTCAAAAAGAATACAACTAAAACATTTCGAGGGGGCTTTTATCCCCACCGGCCCCAGCAGCTCCAAATTTCGAAATTTTCACTTTTTCACTTTCACCGCTCTCTCTCCCAAGCCAATTAATTTTCTTAGAGGGTTGGTATGCAATCCTGTTAGTTTTCGCAATACCTTTCGATAGGTATATCATTCATTATGATCGGACCATCACAGTTGATTTTCATTTCTTCGTGTATATATAGTAGTCGCCTTCGCACACTCTCCTGGTGCGCTTCGTCACTACATGGACTGCCGTCCATAGTGATGTTTTTTATCATTCTGAGTGAAATGACTCAATTTTACTGAACAGTCAGAAAATGTTGTCGTATTCTTGAGCAATTATGAATTGCGGACACAGCCCATTATTCTATACAACTAGTAAAAGGAAAGACTTAAAACTAAACTCATCATCATGGAGGATGCTAAGAAAAAGGTACGTAGAGAAAATATAGGAAATAAGAAATTCAAAAGTGACATAATAATAATTTTTCAAAAACCCTAGGAGAAATATATGTGCTTGCTGGCCTGCATTTATACCGCCAAGGCAACGAATTTCGGAGAGAAGATCCTTGAGGAGCAGGTAGCTTCCGTGCTACTCAAAGCTTTTATGCAGGATGAAGCCGGATACCAACTTCCTTATGGATATAAAGTAGAACAGGCCGATAACGAAATCAGCTTGCGAATGTATGACAGTTGCAACGAGTTTCTTGAGGAGGCCAAGATCGTCTTGTGCGGAAGCGATGGGAGCGAGTGGGAGGAGCTGAACCTACCTGAGATAAGGCTGTCGATTCCAGTCGAGGAAATTGAAAGGATTCAAGAAATATGCGATTCAAGGAAAAAACAATTAGTCAGTGCCAATTAACATATTTTGTAGGAAGTATTTTAGCGCTTAATATTAAATTTTTTTTCTGTTTTAAAGTTTTCGGTTGAGTCAATGTGACGAACACATTTTATTAGATTTTACTAGCTCAATCCTTAGTTTAAAAAGTGATAATAATAAGTGATTATTATTTTAGAGAGACATATAAATAATTCAATTAGTTTAAAATTTTAACTCAACGTAGAGTAGAAATTATATTTCCAAATTTACTATCAAATAATTGTGGTTAACGAATAACGCACAAATGAAATATGAATAAACCATAGATTAAATTATGTTATGACTATATATTTTGGAAATAGATTCACTATTGCTCAAAAAAACAGCTTCCCATACATTATTCTTAGTTTTGGAATAGCGCGGGTAACAAGTATTCGAGCTCATTTAGACTGACCATAGTTCATCGTTAGAAGCACCGTACATCTGTATTTTCGGCACACCTATGAGCAATCATACTTTCCATATTGTTGACCAATAAAATTTGGGTAAAATAATTTTACCGGTCATAAGAGCGAATTATGTGTGTTTTGACCCTGCGATAAATAGCCGAATTGTAGAAGGATTGACATAATCTAGGACATTCACCATGGCCTGCAGTTCGTACAAGGTAAAGATTGTAAAATTCTAAACAGGAAGTGTATTAATCATCGGATTTTCAGGACAAAACGGTGCAGCTGATTAAGTGCTTCTGCGGCTGCAGCGACATGACCATCGCCGAAGTTCGGAGGATCTACTCCCTGTCGAATAGTGTACACGAAACATTGCTGGACAAGGAGGCCACCAGACTGCTGCGAAAGTTCATGGAGACGAGGCGTTCCGGCGACAAGGACGAGGCCGAACAGTACCTGGATATCTACGAGAAGTGCGCCGAGTTTCTGGAGGAGAACCAGCGCACCTTTGCCCAGGACGAGGTCGATGAACTGGTGGATTTGGGCCTGCCCTATGACCTGGAGCAGGATCTATCCAGACGGATGCTCAGCGCCGATCGAACGGACATCAATCGGGGTCTCTACCGCATCCAGGGAAAGTGTCGCAACGAAATCGAGGCCAGCAGCGATTTCCGGGACTTCAGGGACGCCATCGTGGCCAAGATGCGTCGGGTGCCGAAATGATATAGTCTTTATATGATATATGCTTTATGTGTTCACCGTGCAACGCCTTCCAAAGTCACTTGGTTACCTTTGGAGAACCGCACCAAACCTCGCTCCTCTCTCCACACCTTTCCCAGTGCCTTAGGGGCCACCACAATCATTATACTCTGGATCAAACAACGAAGAAACGGAAACCGTCCTCCTAATCTCACTGTGGCTTCCGAGACGTGCTAGAGCCTTTAAGCTCACCAAACATTCACATTCTATTGAACCCACAGTTACGGAATATATAACTTTTTACCTAACATTAAATATATAGTTGTTTTTATATTGTACGCTTTGTAATCTTGTTACGCACTAGAGGTATAGAAATAAATTACCTGATCCGAAATGCGAACGATACATATTTTCTTATGACGAGTTTATACCTTTATAACCAATTCGGAACAGTCACAAAATCAAAATATTTATTGGTTAAATATGGATCCATATTGTTAATGCTATCTTGGAAACAAAAACGTTCAGTAATCGGTTAGGAACGCATATCAAATAGGTCTTTTCCGGGAAATCGCCATAAACGTTTATAGAAATATACGAAATGCATTTCAAATAAATATACGATCCATGAAGTGATTGATAAAACCTGGACCTTTACCATTCTTTGTTGATAATGCAATCTTGGTTATAAAAGCATTCCGAAAAAGGTAATTCACAGTCATTATTGAAGTCGTCGCCAGTGAATCCGCATCAAAAACATTCGCAATGGCTTCCTATTCGTACAAAGTAGGTAAATCCAGACCAACAAAAAAGGACTAAAAATAATAAGCCATTGAATACTAAACAGAACAGGGCCCAGGAAATGATCAAGTGCTTTTGCGGCTGCTCAGATATCTCAGTGGCGGATGTCCTGCGGATTCAAGATCTGTTTGGAAGGGTTAAGGACACTCTAGCGAACAAGCTGGCCGCCAAGCTATTTCGCCAATTCATGGAGCAAAGACGTCGCGGCGATAAGAATGAAACCCAGCAGTACCTGGACATCTACGAGAAGTGCGTTCAACTTGAAGCGCAGCCCATTGTCACCCCTGAAGATTTTAACGAGCTAAGCAAGTTGGGTCTTCCCCGTGATTTAGAAAAGGATCTGAAGGACAACCGGATGGAAATCAATCAATGTCTGATCCGAATCCAGGTCAAATGCTGCAACGAAATTGAGGCGAGTGACGATTTTCACGATTTCAAATTGGCAATTGCCAAGAAATTGAAATGCGTACCGGAGGAAATGAAGTAGTCCGTTGGTCTGTTAATAGCAGGGACCGTAAATAATCGTTATTTGAGATTTTTACTTTAAAAGGCCTACTGAAATTTGTACACGTTTGAATCAACAATTTAAAACTAAATATCACAGTAGTCTTTTTAAAATAAAAATCTCAAATAACGATCCCTGGTTAATAGATTAGATTATCCCTGGAAACTTTCAACTTTTACTTACAATCAAATATATATTTTGTTTTATAATGAATGCTTTATATACGTGTCAAGCTCTACATCTAGAAATATTTCCAGTACAGAAATAAACGCCCTAAAACTAAACACCTGCCGTACTGCTTAGGTTTTCTTCCACGAGTAATACATTTCCATGGGCTTGTTTACCTGGATAAAGATTAGTAAGATGATTAGTAAGATTCAGATTGGAAAACTATAGACTTACCTTCCAGAACTTATCGTTGACCTGATGCAGCGTTTGGTTGCCATTCAGGATGACCAGTTGCTGCGGCTGCGGCGCCACGTAGATGCAGAAGTTGAGCAGGCGACAGGCCTCCGGCAGATCGGCGCCTAGATCGAGTGTTAGCCGCATGGCCAGATACTTACTGAGATGATCGACGGTGGCATTCGCTGTGGTCTTTATGTATCGCACGCAATTCTCCTTGAGTGCCCGTATTAGCTGGTTATCCGCCGACATTTCCGTGGGATGTGGCTTGAAAACGAGCTCAATTTCATCGTTGATCCCCAGCTCGCCATTGCCCTCGCCTTCGGTATCGATATTGGAGTCGCCCTCGGTGCGGCAGTCCATCTGGGAGTCGGACTCGGACTCCTCGGACCTTTCCGAGGTCAGCACCGACATGGCGCGCTTGGGTTTCGAACTGCTCGAGTTGGAGGGCACCGGCGATGGGGTGCTCCGCATCGAGGGCGGATTGGAGGCGTCGTCTACCTGCATCCGTGTGGCCGAAGTGCTGGCGCCGCCACCGGAATTAACCGACGACGAGGGCGCCGCATTGGAGGCGCTGGTTATAGCCGAGGCGGCCGAAGTGCCCGAGTGACCGGGATCCCGGTTCTCGCGATCTATGCTGTTCGTATTGCTGTTGCTGTCGTTGGAGGCCGTGTCGTGGACATGCATTTGATTAGAGGCATTGCGGGCAACGGCGGCGGGGGCACCTGGAGCAGGAGGTGCTGCTGTTACCGTAGGAGCACCATTAGCATTACCACCTCCTCCTCCCTTGGTGCGAAATCTTTGCGGCCTGTTCTGCGACTGCAGCTTGATGCCCTCGTTAATCGAGTTGACCAGCGCCTGCTGCGACTGCGTCTGGTTGAACTTGGCCATCACCTTCTCCTGGATGGCCTCGTACTCCTCGCGACTGGGGTAGATCTTCGAGATGAGCAGGTCGAAGTTGGGATCGGCGCGCAGGGAGCGCTTGGAGACGAGCTTCTTGCGGCAGGTGGGGCACTCCTTGTTGCCGGAACGCAGGGCGGTCACAATGCAGTCGGAGCAGAAGCGATGCAGGCACTCCTTCGTGGTCATCGTCTTCTTCAGCATGTCCAAACAGATGGGACACATGAGTTCGCTGTGGAGGCTCCGCGGGGAGACCGCAATCTCCGTGCTGTCCGTGATCACCTCCTGCGGCTTGCGCTGCAGCTCGTACAGCGACAGCTCCCACGTCTTGTTCGGCGCCGGGTCCAGCGAGGTCATTTTCACACCAATTCTGAGGCTTTTCGATACACAAACACGCTTTTCTTTCTCAATTTTCGCTGAAATTTTCCAAATTGGCCTGCAGTATGACCGTCGCTCGGCTGTTTGGTAAAACCACCACCGTGGAGGGTCGAACTGGAAATACTGTTGGTATTTTATTTTGGTATTTTTAGATTTTAGTACAAAGTTGGCGCGCACATTTGAAATATTTAGATCTTGTAAAGAACAAATTATAAACAGTTTAACAAAAAAAAAAATATTCCCAAAATTATCATTAAAAAATTGTATTTGAAATGGAAAAAAAGTGTGTAAATTCTCACACATATTAAACTTTTAGATGTAATTTTAATTATATTAATTTATTACACACTTACAAATTTATAGATTAATTTTCGAAAACTAGCATAACAATCTCGCGGCTTTATCAAAACAATTTGTTCTTTATAGTGTTTTTAGAAACAGTAGTTAAAAGACGTCGCATTAAAGTGAAAATATTCGATTAGACACGTAGGATTGCATAATTTTAGGCCCATAGATTTGTTATTTCTCTGTAAAACTGTAGCAAAAAAATGGTTAAAAAGCACGCTCTACAATTTTACAAGTTTTTTGAAAAGATTACTAAAAGCTATTTAAAATTCTGATTTGCAGTGGCGTTAACTACCATGGCCAATAAAATGGAGCCCAGTGTTTAATATGGATCCGCCAGATCCTTTTCGGTTGACACGCTGTCAACACCTCAATTTCCACGATTTCTTGCGGCTGTCAATCAAGGCGTCTGCGGGCATTTACCGGATCCAGCCAAATATGGCTTAAATGCAGAATTGCCGTTAGCTAAATTGCAACCGAATGGGATTCTCTGTGTGACGCTGTGTGGGGCCAACGAGAATAGAAAATAGAGAATTCAGAATGCAGAATGCAGTCGGTTGGTAATTGAATTAGAGGCACTTGGGAGACTCCTCCAGTCTGCATGCCCGATGACAATGACCCTTGGAGCGGTGAGCATTCCATTACTTTTGGATCGCTTCGGTTAGGTAAGGTTAGGTTCGGATCCGATCGGATTGGATCGCGTGCTGTTGAGGTTTCCCAAGCCAAAAGGTTTTCCCTGGCGGCCCCGACTCACCTGTCACATTCGACTAAGAAATGCGCATGTGCGGCGGGAGTGACGTGGCAAATAAAATAAACCATAGGCAAATGCCGACGACGCCGCCGTTTGAACGAGCGGTGAAATTGCTGGACATGCCTGGCATGGCCAACAATAAAAAAACGGGGAAAAAAAGGGTAAATAAATAAATATGTAGAAAGAAATACAGTTGTCATATCCCAAAGGCGCAGGCGTTGCCACTTTCGAATTCCTCATTAGATCGCCCAGCTAATTATCGTGCTTGGAAGGCGTGGCTGATTTTCGCTCACCCTACCACCAAATTGCTGCCTCATGGCAGCGGTAATTGCAGCATCTATATATGCACTCAGGAAAATATATCATACCAATACAATGTTCTAGTTTTCAAAAACTAAGGATTTAAACCAAAAACATTTTTTTGCGATTTTAAATTGGATAAATATAAGCCCACAATTAAAAGATTGAATGTTTTGACTCACTTTTCAAAAAAATTGATTTTTTGACCAATTTTTGAATTTGGTATTTATTTATTCTACACTTTTACCAAACATTTTCAACTTGGGGAACAGGAAAAGAATTATTTTGCATTTTTAAAAGGCGTGCCTTCATTCTTGTTTGCAAAAAATTGTCAAAAAGAAATTATTTCGGATTATTTTGTTATTTTGGAAGGAATAAAGGGATTAGGATTTTTGACAAATAATACTCCTGTTTGCAAATTTGTAAACTTTAGAAAACTAGTGAATTATGCAGGAAATGTAAAAAAAATATTTTTTCTAGTTTTTCCAAGTGCATTTCAGTATTAGCCTATGCCCGGCAATTTTCAACTTATCGAGGTTATCCACCGCGGCACCTGACCAGCAGAACCGCCTGAGCCACCGAGCCACCGCACCACTTGAACTTGTGCACCCACACGACGCTTGCGGATCGTTGCTGTCCTCGATTCGCCGGGTTCACGACCCACATGGCTGCCTCTGCCTCTCCAGAACTGGGTCCCCAGCTTTCTTGAATGATCCGATGCCCAGCACAGCCAGCTTTTCCATCCAAGCCAACGTTTATTGACATTAATCATTTGCGGCAGCTTGCGGAAATTTGCAAGTACATGGTATAGGTATACCTAGCAGGTACTTCTGGGAAATGGAAATGGAAATGATTGCCTCTCAGCACACTTTTTTTATGGCAGCTTTATGGGGAAGGTGGTTTACTTTACGGCCAAGAGGCCAGGTTTTCCGATTCCGAATCCAACGGGCGAAAAAAAGGAGGCAAAACCAAAGTTTCTCTATTCCATTTTCTTTGATTCTTTTCTTATTTTTTGAGGGCATGCTGTTCTTTTTTTGACTATTCAATCATATTTTTTGGCAGACCGGAAGGAAGCAGACGCCATTTTGCTTTTGTTGTTCGTTGTCTGCGCCATTTTGTTGGGCTTTTTGTACAGTTTTTCAGTAAGTTCATGTCTGCGAATTTGCAGCCATTGTTCGCATTTAAAGTGAAAGTTGTGCTCTGTTATAGAACGAGCCAAGCTGACCAGCCAGTAACTACGAATGCCTAATTGGGCTTAACGAGCTGAACTCGAGGTGGGCGTTGATTTTGATGTTGGCTTGTTACAGGGAAAGCAATCTGATTGAGCAGAACACTTTAAAATTTAATTTAGAATCTATTACTGGAGTTTTTCAATTGAAAATAATTTCAGTCAAAAGGGATGAGTTTTACGACTTAAGAATTCGCGTTATATACCCAAATTTTAAATTAAGGTAAAAAAAATTTCGGAAATTGGAAATTCGCGTTTCATACCAAAATGTTCAATAAAAGTTAACAAAAGAGTTTTGGAACTTAAGATTAATCGTGTCAAATATCAAAATGTTCAATTAAAGTAGAAAAAAAAGTTTTCGAACTTAAGAATTCGGTTTTCATACCAAAAATTTCCAGAAAAATTAAAAAAAGTTGGTAATTGAATTCTGTACTTCCCAAAAATACAAAATGTATATCAATATCACACAGGAAGATATTGACTTAAAGATAGTAATTTGTAAATTTATCCAAAAAATAGATAATGAATATTTGAAATCATTTCTTGTAGTGTACTGGTTAAAGTGAGCATGGCCCGAAATTGTGAGTAGACCGCAACATGCCACTTAGCCCCGAACCCCAAATCAATGATGGGCCTGGATATGGAGTGCTATGCCATGAGAATGGAAGTTACGAATTCCAGGCCAGATTCAGACAGTTAGAATGTCACCCACACACTCGCACTTACACACACGCGAGTGCCCACCTGGAATTGCAATTGCAATCTGTTAACTTGTCCAAAACAAAGGCTGCCACTTCCCAAAACCAAAGCCAAAAGCAAAATGAGAACCAAAAGCAATGCCACTCATAGCCAACAATTGACAATAACAAGCAGGCGGCGTCCACCCAATTTTCAACCCAAACCGTTGGATATTCTTTCGGTGGATTGCAGGGAGTGCTGGAAGTGGTGGACCACTGAAGTGGCTCGGCAACACAACATCATCGATAACAACCACTGAAACAGCAGCCGCACAATTGGAGTTCTTCAATTGCCCACTGTCCAAATATTGCCAGAGATCCCGAGAACGTAGCGCATTGTTTGCTCGTTATTATGGACGTGCAGAGAAAAAAATTCGATATGAAATGGTGTCATTTCTACCATATTTCATATCAATAAAAAGACGATATGATTAATGTCAAATCTATGATGCAAACATATCAACTTGATATTTTATCATTTCATAAATACCAACTTTAGTATTTTTTGAACCAATATTAATCTTTATTAATATCAAAATTATATAAATAACTTGATCTTTAAAAAATATTAAATTAACCTCTTCATATCAATCCGATCTTTTGTTAATTTGTTTTCTGTGTGGCTCCTGATGGGAACCTGACCTGGGATTGGGTTTAAGGATTGGTATGGGTTTCGGGTTCCTTTGTCTTTGGCCGCTGATACATACCATAAATAAATCTCAATTAAACTGCAACCCCTTTTTGCCGCGGGGGCGTTTCCCATGGTCCCGTGGTAATCAATCAGTGGACCCGGCTACTCCCAAGTTTCCAAGTTACCATGGGATGTCACAGATGTCTCCGCGCATTCACACCCCAAACTCTCCAGGTCCTAACTTTTCGGCTGCCACTCTTTATTCTTTTCTATGCCACGCCATGCGGCACTTGCATGTTTATTATTTGGCCTGGCTTTTAAAAGCCGGTCCCGATCTGCAGACTGGACACAGTCCATACAAAGAGTGGTAAGAAATGTAGGAGGGGCAGGGGTTCGAACCTGGCCAAGTCGCGACGACGTCACAGTCGTTAGGCGTGACTTTTGTTATTGTTGTTTGTTGCTTTTTGCATACCGTCGGAAAAATGGGTAAATATGGTTAGGGGAGCGGGTTGGGTTGGGGGAATGGGAACGTAAACAAAAAGCCGAACTCTAAACTCGAAGTCGAAGCCACTCCACGAATAACCAAAGGCGGAGAAGAAAGAAACCAGAATGGTTCTGCAAACATTGATTCCTGGATACTCTATTGTTTAAAAAAGGGGTGCAACAGAAACAGAAATTCTAAAAGTATGCAATAATATATTCCTTAGAAATAAGTGCAATGGATATTTTTTACAGTACCTTTTTAATCTTGTTTAAAATTTTTGGGATTCGAAAGCATGTATACTTCCGTATAAAAGTATGCAATAATATATTTCCGAAAAGAAAGTGCAATGGATATTTTTTACAGTATGCTTTTAGACACCTTTATACGTAATTTTTAATTTCATTCCAATAGTTTTAAGATATTAGTTAGATTTCTTTTAATATCTCACTGTTTTTAACCAATTAAGTACTTAGAAAATAAAAGTACAATATTTACTACTTAGGATCTTATCAATAACCCTAAATTAACCAAGAGAGTTTTAGAAACAAGTGTAATTTTTTAGAAAATACTGGCAATGCCTATTTGCATACCAATTTCCAAAACAATTCCAAATGGTTTTTCGGATGAGGTTTCTTTCCGGGAACCCAAGTGATTGTACCAAACTGGGGTCAAACCAATGCGGTTAGTCGTTAGTCATGATGGTTAGTTGCAGCACCCAGCTGAAATGCCCGAATCCCCTTGGTATTTTCGTTCTGTTTCTGTGGCATAAACGGCGACGACGACCGTCCCGCTTCATTCAGTCTTTGGCGAGATTTTATCGTGTGCGGACGTGTCTGCGGCTGACTTGCGAACTTCGAAGTCCGAATAACGAATGTCGGATTCCGAATTCCGAAATTAAAAAACTATTCACGCGATTTTAGATGCAGTTTTTCCACATTTGGCGCCACAACGAAAATACTTTGAGACTGTGATTCGATTGCAATATAATTTAAATTACCATTCAGCATATTACATGCTATAAGTGCCACACAAAAAACACACAAAGTTCATCGGGATGAGGAGTCCAAGCTGGATGAGAACGGCGACCTGGCTGCTGGGGTAAGTTTGCAGGATTAGGACCTTGGGTTCCTCTCTAACTGCGTCTCAGGGTCCAGCGTGCTCGCTCCTTTTTCGTTTGCGTGGCCATTTCCAGACTGCCCTTCGTCTCCTTTACTTCGGTTTGGGTTGCTTTGTTTCTGAAGGGGAAGGAAAATAAATAGGGATCGGATGAGAGTCATGAGTCACCTACTCGCTGGTCACCCGGTTCCTCTTGCGATGCATGTGCATCTGCAGACCACAGCGCCTGCACTTCATCGTCGAGTTCCTCGAGGGTCCGGTGGCCAACATCATCGCCTTACTACGGATTCTGTGGATGGAAGGCTTTTAGTTGGCCGGTAAATCAGCTTCGACGCAGATATTTTATTGTTATTTGCTTGGCAAAGTTACGCTGCAGAACTCTTACACATATCTCAAGAATTTCGTACTGCATGGAGCCATATTTTTGTCTCAACTTTGGGTATTCCTTTTACAATGAATTTAAGAACTAAGGTGTGCTGATTTTTATGAGTCTGACATTAAACACATTCCCTACTTAGCATTCATAAAGGGAGAAATAAACTTATTTATAGAAAAAGGATTTAAAAAATATTTCATGGGCTTAGGTCCAATATAGCTTATCATCGTAATCGCAGGAGGAATAAATAAATTCATGTGAACAACAGTTGTGCTTAAGTGAATGAATGAATAAAATAATGAATGCAGCAGGACCATTTTGTTAAATTTTTGTTGTTTGTTAAAAAATTAAAAAGAAAAAATCAAAACAAAAAATTGTGTGAGTAAATTCAAACGAGCTGGGAATGCTCTCCTTCTCTTCCCTAGAATATAATTATTAGATCTCCTATCCAAGATTCCCCTATAAGATTCCCCTAAAAAATAGTAAAGCAGACCTTTAAAAATGTGTGTATCTACGGATCGTCTTTTATTTGAATGCATTTTTATAGCACACCTTTTAGTCAACACATCCCTACCTTTTAATCCTGAACTGCAGATCCGAATTCAGATGGAGTTCCTTATTCTCCGCTTCGGGTGGTAATTTCTCCTTTGCTGCATTATCTCCGATCTGATTGGGGGGCACTGGAGTCAATGGTTCCAAGGACGCCTCCCTGGGCAGATCCTTCTCCACTCGCCGCTTCTTCGCTTCCAGCAGGATGAGATCCACCAGTTGGTTGACCGAGTTGAGAACTTCGTTGTGGATAAGATCGTTCTGGTTCCTGATGGAGTCGTGGATAAGATATAGAGCCGCCAGATGGGGCTTAATTAGCTCCTCTTCGTCGTCGTAGGTCTGGGTTTCCGCCTCCTGCGAATCGATTTCCGTTAGGACAGCGACATTGGTACAGTGAAGCTCCGTTTGGGTGCTCAGAGAGGCGGTGTTAAGTTTGGTTTGAGATGCAGTGCTTTTGAAGCTAAAATGCGACTGGGTAAAACGACTTTGCATCGTCTGCTTCTCTGTTTGACTCCCCAGCGATTGCTGGCCGGGATTGAAGGTCTGCTGATCCCGGGAAATAAACTGGATCAGATCGGAGGTATCCACCTGGCTGCTGATCCACTCCTGGATCAACGTTTGACTGGCCGTGCTATCCAGTTCAATTTCTGTGCCCACTGCTGCACTGGCGAACTGCTGGATGGGATTCAGGGTTTGCTGTTCCCTGGAAATAATACAGATTAAATCCGAGGTATCCACCTGGCTGCTGGTCCACTCCTGGTGGGGCGTCTGACTGGCACTGCTCTCCAGTTGGAGAAACTCGGAACCCACTGCTATGGAGTTATGGGGAACCTTTTGGGTCTGGGTAAACCCATCCTCCCGGGTGATGAGACCACTTCCTCTATACCACATCCGTTGCAGAAAACGACGACGCTTTTGTAACCTTATATTAAAGGAGGATGTTCCTCGAACTCGCTTCACCTTGCGAATGATAAGCTTTCCCTTCTGCAGCTCGTAGTGAACCAGGTAACTAAGGTGATCACTTGATAAGAAGGTATCCTAACTACCTGATCCCAAAACTCACCTTACTTTCCCGCATTTGAATCGCTTGTGCCGACGTATGACACCTTTTGGACTCATAGACATGGACACCAATAGCAATTCCTTCAGATCGAAGCGCATTTTGAATCTTATTTCCTATGATAGATACCCCTCTTCAATAATTATACAACGTACAATTTTGAAATGAACCTTTTCTGTACAAAATTTTCCTAGCAGTGTGAGTTACTGAATAATAAATCCAGAATTATCCAAGGTGCTGCGATGTGATGTTTGCTGGCTTTTTACCAAAATTTTCACACGAAACGAAACCCTTTTCGAAACTTGGTCTTCAAAGAGCCCACAACACGCAACCTCATGTTGTATATCCTACTATATATATATCTTGTATGGCTGCGGGCTCCTTTGTGCTGGCAATTCATTAATAATTCAAAAATGCCGCATATGTTCAGCAGCAGGACAACAAAAAATAAAAAAGGTATAAATAAAAAAAATGCATTCACTTATTCTGCAATTTATCAATACCGAGTTAACATGAAAATGGCCACAAAAACCACAGCGCAGACACAGAGGACACAAAGGAGTAGGAGCTACCCGCCTGGGGTGTTTGTTTGGCTTGTATTGGCAGGGATTTTGGAATGGGAATTGGGATGGTACAGGAACGGTATAGGGGGAACTCCAGACTATACACCAAAAAAATCCGTAGCTTAACTTTTAATACTCGTTGTAATAAAATTATACTACATGTTGTATACAAATGTGTTGTTAGTTGAATAATAGAATATAATCTTTAATCTGTACTCTGTACTCTGTAGTATTTATTTAATACTAGATATTCTAAAGTTTACTTATTGTAGGTTAAAATCTATACCAAAAGTATCATTTTAATGCTTCCAAAACAATTATTTCAAGTCTTATCTTATTAAGATGTTTTTGAAACTAAATAGTTTAAAAATGTGGTATTAGTTGAATACTAAATATTATAATAGCTGAACTCTAAAGTATTGATTTCATATAACATATTTAAAAAGTTTATTTTTAGTAGATTAAATTCTATACCAAAAGTTTAATTTCAATACTTCCGAAGGTATTGAATATAGTCTCATCTTATCAAGATATTTTCTAAACTAAATAATTTAGAATAATTGTAAGAATAGTTTACTTTCTTTGATCATTTTTTTTCGGTGCATCAGCAGCAACAGCAGCAACAGCAGCATGTGGTGGCCAGTTGCTAAGTACGTGTTGATTTGGGCGCTTTCGATTGGGCTCCCATGGATTTGCAATCCACAAAATCGATTGGCCCCCATTCCCGTCCATCAGTTCTCCATGCTCAGTTCTCCATCTCCAGATCCTCTGCTCCTGACTGGCCTCTAATCCCGCCCGGGGGCACAGTTTCCCTGCCTGTCTTGCACTCGAAATTTATGCAGCTTCTTCGGCTTCTAAGGTTTTTTGTTCTTTTTTTGCATGCATTATGTTTTTTTTTCTTTTCTTTTTTTTTTAGCTTGGAGGCTAAGACTTGGCTCAGAATGCCGGGCACGTCGACTGGCCCACGGTTACATTTATTGCATAAAACCCAGCCAATTTCCATGATAATTTGTAACGAGCGCCGGACCGCCAATGGGGTTATATATACACTATGGGAAGTCCAGCTTAGTCGGTCAATAGCATTTGACAAAGGCGATATGGTATCGATCTCAAGATGTGATGAAAGTCCAGCAATATAATCATATTATGTGGCTTTCTAAGCCTGGGTATCGGTGATGGTAATAGCAACACCCCCGAAGATAGCGATATGTGTGCAGGTTCTAATGCTCCCATGGCTCTTGAATTTCCCAGTACTTTTCCCCCTTTTCCCCCCGGAAAAAACCCCTGTAATTGTACGTGCTTATTTGCATTTTTATCTGCTTTGTTTTCCGCTTTCTTCCTTATTATTACTTGACACTCGAGCAGCGACGGCAAGTAGTTTTCAGTGGTTTTCAGTTTCACATCGAGGCAGGGGCAACATCTATTTAAAGTTGAGGAGTTGGCTTACATGAAGGCTAAACCTCGACTCCTCGAAATTAAGACCTCGGGGCATCTCACCTGTCAAAGCGAGTGCCGCCAGAACGACCCTGAACTCGGGGACCCTGAAAACCTGGAAGCCCTGAACCCCCGTGGGTTCCCAATCAAAGCAGCCTAATCCCTTATAGAATTTCGCACATAAAAGCTAGCTATGTTAGCCATAAAACGATGGCCATTAAAGCTGTTGTTTCGATCCCGCAGGTTCTACTGCCTTCTGTGCCTCCTGGCCACTTCCATTTCGATGGCCCAGGGTGCCAGCAATTCGGGAGCGGTTTTGGCCAAGGATGTGGCCCACATGCACAAGACCAGGAGGCTGGAGAGGCGATCGGGAGATCTGACGGCCATCAAGCAGCCCAAACAACTGGCCAGAAGCGCTCACGGGCTCAACAAGAAGCTGCTCAGGTGAGTTACCACACTGCGGGAAAATTATATCATAAATCTCACCATTCAACGCGACTTTTTATGGGCTTTTCTTGAGCACTAGCAATTTATGTTCATAAAATCTTTAGGTAATTTATATTATTAGCCTGTGGTTAGTAATAAAGGAGATCTACCAGTATCACAATGTTTTAGGATAATAAAAAATAAAAAAAACAATAAAATTAGTAGTTATATTACTCATAAAAAATAAAAAGAAATCGCTACCATTTTTTAAGATAATAAAAAAAATTCTAAAAACAATAAATCTAGTAATTATGTAGTAAAATTTGAATTTTCATAATCATAATTAAAAAACCAATATTATGAATATAAAGAAATATGAAATCAAGCTTGTTTAAAATCGTTAATTTCTCTAAATAGGTACAAAAAAATTGAATTAAATTTTTTTTAAATAGTTGTTTCTTAAATTTATTTAAAGTAAAGACTAAAGTTTAAAATCCATCCATTAAAAAAAGTTCAGTGCTTAAATAATGTAACTTTAATAAAGTCATTACAACATCTTCGTAATTAACCTGTCTTATTAAACGATTACAAAGATTAAAGAAAAAAGGAATAATAGTAATTCCTGGACATGTGATAAGTAAGACAACCAACATTAGTTACGCATCTTTGAGTTTGGGTATTTAAATTTCAGAGAACCTGAAAATGATAGTTATGTTTTTCTCACTGCCAACCAAGATGGGTGGACGCCTTTTATTTTGGGCTTAATTAAGTCCCGTGTCCAGCTCATCCCCCTTTGTCAGCCATAAATGATGTAGTGAAATATTCATGAAGCTCTTTCCAGACCAGACACTAAGTCCCCCTACTACCAACCTCTATTACACCAACCGAAACTAAGAAGTAAAACCCCCTCCTTATTCCTACAGCCAGATGGGTTTCATGAAGGTGAAGGCGCCCAATAGCCACAACCGGAAGCGACTGGCGGTTGAGTCACGACGCCATTCCTCGCGCGATGATTCACACATGTTCATCATCAAATTGCCGCCAAATATGCACTACTATGCAGGACCCGGTGCGAAGAATTCCGTCTCAAATGAGCAGGAGAAGTCTGCTAAAGGTAAAGTTGGCAACGCACCCAACAAGATGACAGTGGCAGCAGCAGCAACAGCAGCAACATCAGTGGACACACGAGCAACATCAAGCACGCCAGCAGCAACATCTCTTGTTGCCGAGGCGTCGGCGTTGAAAGCTAACGGGAAAAAGGTAAACGGGATTCCATTAGGTTACACCATAGACATAAGACATGGCTACAAACTGGCTCTCTCTCACCCAAGAACTCTTTGGATCTGGGGGGTTTGGACCTAGACCGCGATAAACATCGCCGCGCATGCGCATAAAACAAATTGCAAAACAGTCGAAGACGACTAAGAAGAAGAAGAAGAAGAAGCTGAAGTGGAAGCGAAATGGATTACCCATTTTGTAGAGAAGCAAGAACAAGAACAAGAGTAAGAAGGCCAAGAACATGCGACTAGAAGAGGCTATTTTTATGCGTGCTACCCCCAATGACCAAAATGGGTATGATGGACCGTGGCGAACTAACCTATAAATAGGCTTTCCATAGGGTCTGTCCATGGGCGGAACAAAGAAGGGATTCGGTTGAAAAATTAAAGTAAATTGGGTATTCAAAAAGCATTCCATATTCAAAAAGTATGGAACAACAAATTTATTAAAAAAATTTAAGTGAAAGGAAGCTAAATTAGGTATTCAAAAAGTATGCAACAACAAGTTTGTTCTAAAAACTAAAATGAATGGATGTTGAATTTGGTATTCAAAAAGTATACAACAACAAATTTGTTTTAAAAATTAAAATAAAAGAATGTAAAATGGGGTATTCAAAAGTAAGAAACAACTTTGTTTTAAAAATTAAAATGTAAGAAAGTTGGGTATTCAAAAAGCAAGCAACAACTGATTATTCCCGAAAACCTCCCCCCACAACCAAATTCTGGATACGCCACTGGGTCTCCCTGACTATAGGTATCCAATAGTCCAGAGAACTCTAGAACAGGGATCCCATACAGCATTCCGAGCTGTAATACATGGCCTTTGTGGAGCTCGGTCGCTGAATTAATGCAGCAAGTGTCAATGTCAGTGGATGTCGGACAGGCGCAATGGCACGAAAATTATTACGCTCTCACGACTGAAGAGCTTCGGTTGATACTAGTACCCCTAGTACCTGAACCAGAAATTAATATGCAGGCCATTAACCAAGTCCGAGCTTCAATTAAAAATGCAATTTGTTTGAGCTGCAGAGGAGTAGAGGTACTATATTCCTGTTTTAGACGCCAACGAAGCACACGGCTGATTTATGGGACGCCAGTCGCAGTCCGCAGTCTACTACCCGTAATGTTGTCTAATCAGTGCGCTTTTTCTCTATATACATATTGCAGGTATCGTTTCCCTTCAGCTCGAATGGAAGGCCTGGTAGGATTTACCACTGGAACCTGCCGGTTCTCAAGGAGGCGCTGGCGAAGAAGCCGCACTTTGCCCATGTCTCGGCGGCGGATCGAAATCGCCTGTTGGACATACAAAGTGTGCCCACCTGGCGCCAGCCCTGGGAAAATGAGACCTCGGAGAAGGGTGGTTTCAGCGGTGGGAAGTCCAAGTACCGCAAATCCCTGAAGCCCAAATCGCCCACGTACTATGCGCCCTCGCAGGCGGTCAGCAAGCAGAGTTTCCACAAGTACTTCGCGGGCAATGGAAAGCCCAAGGGATTCTATGTCATCAAGGAGCACCAGAAGAAGCCGCAGTTCTACCAGAACATCATCTCGTAATCCAGTTGATAGGGGAGCCATCTGATCAAAATACCTTCGAAAGACTGCGGTGCCGGGCGTTCTATTTTTTAAATACTTTTACCTTTTCCGTCCAGTTTCCACTTGGAATTCCTTTCCGAGAAAATCTATCTATATAATCTATCTGAGCTCCAATCCAGCAACTGTTTAACAATTGAGTGGGGCGGGCTCAAGTCTATTTTTATAAAACGGCAATGAATACAATAACAGAGGGGTTGGTTTGGGGAGGTTGTATACCAATCAATCAATGATCAACCATATAAGCACAAAGCAGGTCAATGAAATCGTATTTATTATTAAAAGCTTTATAGGAGTTTTTATACAACTTTAAAGATTAAAGTTTAAAATTGAAATTTTTAAACACTCACGAACAAAATTAATCGTATTATATATTGGAACCAATCCCAATTTTAATCAGCTTAATAATTTAATAATCTTTAAAAGCTCTGGGTTTGGTTTTAAGTATCTTTAATATTTTTCATGGACCTTTCTTCAAGTCATTGAACTTTTAAATTAAAATTGGTATCAAATTGACCTTAAAACATATCGGTTTGATCTGTTAATGTAAAACCTACGAGGGCAATCCTCTGAAAGACCAGCCCTATCTGCATTTAGCTAAGCATCTACGGCAAGCAATAAATTATGGCATATATCAAGCTAGGTTTAAGTGCATGAACGATTTTGTTTTGATAAATAAATATTGACTGATTTTAAAGAGTGCAATCCCTTTAAATACCCGTCTGAATCATGAATCAGACAAAGGGCCAAAAAAGGGGGCGGAACTTCTGTCTGCTGCGAGTTTGTTGACTTGGACAAAGGTGAATTGAATTCGGAGAGTCGGAGGAAAAGGTGACTGTCTGGCGAATTTGGCTGCTGTCACGACAGAGACACAAGCTTAAAGAGCGGAACAAAAAACCTGGCAGCAGAAAAAACAAAAATCGAGCTAATTATATAAGAGGCTATCGCTATAAGACCGGGCGTCTTGGGAAGATTTAAGATTGGGCCTGAAAAAAATCACAAAAAAAGCAAAAACGGAAGCGGGGCGAGCGTGCGCATGCGCAGTTTCTCATTCGGCAGATAAAGCCGCAGACAGGGCAAAGGCAGAGATTTAGATACATATTTATAAGACAGCGCCAAGTCGCCAGAAGTAACAGCCGCATAATGACAAAAAATCGGGCAGTCAGACGGCGCACCTCCAAACTGCCGCATAAATAATGTTGTATGTTTTGTTCTTTCCCTCTTGAATTCGCTTTTCTTTTCTTTTTTTTTTGGCGACTCTGGCGCATAATTGTTTTTTGCAGCTTACGTTTTCCTGATTCTCTGATTCCGATTCCCAGTCTGCTGACTCACGAGCGTTGAACTTTTCACCCGTATCCGTGGCATATTGAGTGCGCGGCTTAAGTAGATTTAATGACTTGTAGTTTCGCGGAGAATGAGACATAAATCACTTTTATGACAAATGGAGGATGGGACCATCTCATTGATTTTTTATGGCCGTCATCAGGGAAAATGAAAGGCTAAGGATGAGAATAAGGCTTCCCAAGATAACCGTTGTGGCAATCAAAAGTCGGATAACATTCGTTTCCCCGATTGTACTATCGTTGCCACTTGTTAACGCCATTTCCGCCTGTCATATCAAAATAATTATCTCAAAGTGTGGCTCTAGCCGAGAGTCCTAGGAACCGATCCAAACTCCATACCCAACCCAACCAAACCGAACCGATCTGACTCTTAAAACAAGACTCGTTTCTATCTGCAACTACTGGACAACTTGATCTGCAGAACAAGTTCTTCACGCAATCTTGATTGCAATTATGTAATTCGAAATTCTTACTAATTAAACTAACATTTCGCCTAATCGTATTTGCATTGCACTCGAAACATAAGCAACATACCATTCGGAAGAATTGTTGGAAAATGATTAGGCGAATATTTATTACAAATATTTCCTTTATTTGATAACTTGCAAAGTTCATTAATCAAAATGAGACAACTGTCCTCATCTTGGTCTTTTTGGGCTTAGCTTTCGCAAAGACGATGCCCGAAAATATTGAATTGGAGTTCCTTCCAAGGTTACCGAAGGCAGGTAGATATGATTCTTAAGAAATCGTATGTATTTTCCTTTATTTATTAAATTGGCTTATCATTTGCAGAACTTTATTGTGGGTGGGCGATAATATGACCAGCAAAATATTTGATTTTTAAACAAATTAAGTAAGCTTTTTGATTTAAATGAAGAACTTGTGACAGTAAAGGTTACCTCATTACATCATTACCCGTTTTCTTCTCTGATAAAAACTACGGACATTCAGAGCTTAAAGTTGAATTTTACTTTAATAAGCGGACCAGATAGCGGCCCTAAAAGCTGTGATTTCTCAACAATGTGCCATCTAAGTATTATGTTAGACAAATTTCTTAGTTTTTTTTTTAATTTGCAGCGAAGCAACGCTGGCATCACGAATTAGTTCGTTCTAGTCAAGAAATTTTAGATATATATGGCATGGTTTAGGCACTAGGTTATCCAAAATGAATCTGGTAATCCTCTTTCTGGCCATCTTAGGCGGAGCTTTCGCTGAACAGGATGTGAGATTCGGTAGAACTTTAGCTCCAGCTCCATGGTTCTGGAGTATTCGAAATTAAAACAAGAGAGAACGCTATAGTCGAGTGCCCCGACTATCAGATACCCGTTACTCAGCTAGCATGGCGAGGGAGATGGAGATATGAAACTTTGATTGTGCATAACTTTTTAATGAACGGTCCGATTTGAAAAATGTCTTCTAAATTTCAATAGGTATTAATAAACACTATTGCATTTATACATTTTTAAAATCTTAAAAGATGTGGCCACTAGACGCATTTTAAAATCGTTTATGGCGATTGTGGGGGTTAGAGGGGGCGTGGCCCTCAAGTGAAGCAAACTTGCGCTGCGTAGGAAGCCCAAGAATATGTGTGGGTAATCTTAACTTTCTAGCTTTTATAGTTTTCGAGATCTGAGCGTTCATACGGACAGGCGGACATGGCTAAATCGACTCGGCTAAGGATCCTGATCAGGAATGTATATACTTTATTGGGTAGGAAACGCTTTCTTCTAATATAATATACCCTTTTATCTGCGAGTAACGGGTATAAAAATTAAGAACTTGAAGGTACCTAAAACCAATATTTGTAAGCAACCTTTACTATAACCTAAGTTTTGTGATTATGCAACCAAGCCTTTTAAGTATGACAACTTGCTTGAATTATGAATAATTTCAAGTGATTCAATCGTGAATTACTTGAACCTTGCATCGCAAATTAATTCGTGCCACTGAAAATTTGTATGAATCGTATATAAGGCAATAGTTTAGGCACTTGTTTATTAAAAATGGATCTGGCAATCCTCTTCCTGGCCATCCTAGGCGGAGCTACCGCTGCAGCCAACGACAACGATCCGTTCTTTATTAGACCTCGCCCACCCCACTTGAAAAATAGTGAACTAGCGAAACCAGCTATCGGAAACCTTATACATGAACCGTTGTTTAAAGTGGATCCACGGCTCAATAGACCTTGGCCTTCCAAAATAGTGAAGCCAGCAATCGGAAGACTTGGAAATAGTTTTGATCCGTTCCATAGACCTCTCCCACCCCACTTGGCCATACAAAATAGTGAACTAGCGAAACCAGCAATCGGTAGATTTGGAAACAGTAATGATCCGTTCTTTATTAGACCTCGCCCACCCCACTTGAAAAATAGTGAACTAGCGAAACCAGCTATCGGAAACCTTATACATGAACCGTTGTTTAAAGTGGATCCACGGCTCAATAGACCTTGGCCTTCCAAAATAGTGAAGCCAGCAATCGGAAGACTTGGAAATAGTTTTGATCCGTTCCATAGACCTCTCCCACCCCACTTGGCCACACAAAATAGTGAACTAGCGAAACCAGCAATGGATCCAAGGTTCAATATACCTGGGCCTTCCGAAATGGTGAAGCCAGCAATCGGAAGACTTGGAAATAGTTTTGATCCGTTCCATAGACCCCTCCCACCCCAATTAAAAAACAACAAAAGCTAAAGAAAGAATAAAGAATAAAGATCTTCAAGCTACCTAAAACCAAATTTTTAATCAAACATTGTTATATTTTTGTGATTACGCCAGAATGTGTTTTTCAGTATAACAACTTTGTTGATTTATTTATAATTTCATTAGCTCCAAAATGAAACTGGTTGTCGTCTTCCTGGCCATTTTGTGCGAAGCTTCCTTTAATTTGGGTACAGGATTTTGTAAAGCCCTGGTGGTGTTTTCTCTCAATTTAATCCAAGGTTTACTAGCTGGGGCTTTAAGAAAGAAGTAATAAATAAATTGCAAAAGCAACAAATTCAATTCAAGTATGACAAACATGATTTATTATTTCTAATTTCAAGCGAATCTGCCGATGCCATTACGAATTACTGAAAAAGTTTTAGATATATAAGGCATGGTTTAGCCACTTGGTTGTCCAAAATGAATCTGATAATCCTTTTCCTGGGCATCTTAGGCGGAGCTACCGCTGCACAGGATAGAATATTCGGTGAACCTTACCCTTCCGATATACAGGATCCGTTGTTAGGTAGACATCCCCCTGCCGATATAATGCATCCATGGTTTTAGTGAATGGTCCGATCTGAAAAATGTATAGGCACTATGAATATGAAGCCCCATTTTAAATTCGCTTAAGGCTATTGTGGGCGTTAGGGGCGCGTGGCTCCTTGATGAAACTTGTGAAGGAACCCAAGGAATCTGCATTTTTAGTCCCAACTTTCTAGCTTGTATAGTTTCCGAGATCTCAGCGTTCATACGGATGGACAGACGGATCAAGAATATATATACTTTTTAGGGTTGCAAACGCTTCCTTCTACCTGTTACTGTTACGAGTAACGGGTATAAAAATTAACAACTTAAAGGTACCTAAAACCAAAAATTCTAAGCAAGCTTTATTATAACCTAAGTTTTGTGATTACGCAACTAAGTGCCCTTTAAGTATGACAACTTGGTTGATTTGTTAATAATTTCAAGTGAAAAAAACGTAGGCATCGCGAACTAGTTCGTTCCACTAAATAATTGAAAGATATATATATAAGGAAATGGTTCAGCCACTTGTTTAGCAAAAATGAAACTGGTAATCCTCTTCCTGGCCATCTTGGGTGGAGCTTCCGCTTCCATTATAACTCGCCCTCCCGGTAGAATAATTGCCACTCCCAAACTTCCACGAGATAGAATCTGGAAGTTTTAACATTAAAAAAATACAAAAACATCAAAGGCAAAACAAAAAGCCAAATTTGTAAGAAAACATTGTTATAAATTAAATGTTGTGATTACGCAACAGTTTGCCTTTCAAGTATAAAAACATTGTTGATTTATTTATAGTTTCATAACGAATTAATTCGTTCTAAAAGTTTTCGAAAAATAAGGCCTCATTTAGAAAATTGGTTGTCAGAAATAAAACTGATCGGATTCACTACTTAGAAACTGTCACTTTCGTGTTTAGCAATTAGACCTCCCATCGAAACCACGACTTATAAACTGGCACTGTGCTGTTTACCAAAGTCAACAAATAATCTTCAACCTTAAATCCACTTTTTTTAAGAAAACTTTCTTATAAATTACGTTTTATGATTACGCAACAATGTGCCTTTCATGTGTGACAAACATGCCACTACGAATTAGTTCGTTCTACTGAAAAAGTTCTTGATATATAAGGTGCCATTTAGCCATTTGGATATCAGAAATGAAACTGGTAATCATCTTCCTGGCCATCTTGGGCGGAGCTTTCGCTCAATTGGATACTCAGAGGGACGGTTGGATCGACAAGAACGGAAAACGTAGGCCATTGGTTCTGTGAATTTAAGAAAAAATGGATTGGATTATGGTTCGAAAATATAAATAAATAAACTGTAAAAGCAACAAAATCTAAGAACTTCAAGGTACCTCTAACTTAAGTTTTGTGACAACGCAACAATGCGCATTCCAAGTGTGACAAACAGATTTGTGTATAATTCCAAGCGAATCAGCCGATGCTATTACGAATTAGTTCGTTCTACTGAAAAAGTTATAGATATATAAGGTGTCAATTAGCCATTTGGATATCAGAAATGAAATTGGCAATCCTCTTCCTGGCCATCTTGTGCGGAGCTTTCGCTCAGTTGGAGAATTGGGGTTGGGGCGGTTGGATCAACAAGAACGGAACACTTGAGCCATTGGAATCAATTGATTAGACATTGGATCCACCAAAACGGATCACTTAAATTATGGGTTGAAAATAAAAATAAATAAACTGTACAAGCAAAAAAATATAAGAACTTCGAGGTTCCTAAAACTAAAAACTTTATTACAAATTTAATGTTGTGTTTACGCAACAATATTTGAAGCGAACCAACCGAAGCCATCACGAATTAGTTCGTTCTACTGAACCAGTTTTATATATATAAGGCATCATTTAGTCATTTGAATCACTTGTTTATCAAAAATGAAACTGATAATCCTCTTCCTGGTCATCTTGGGCGGAGCTTTTGCTCAATTGGATACTTGGAGGGACGGTTGGATCGACCAGAACGGAAAACTTCAGCCATGGGTAAAGTGACTTTAAGAAAAATTGGATTCAAGACATTGGATGCACCAGAACGGATGACGTAAATTATGGGTCGAAAATAAAATTAAATAAACTGTAAAAGTAAAAAATAAAAAAACATCCAGGTACCTATAACTTTAGTTTTCTGATTACGCAATAATGTGCCTTCCAAGTATGACAAAATAGATTTGTTTATAATCAACCGATAACATTACGAATTAGTTCGTTCTACTAATAAAGTTTTAGATATATAAGGCATAATTTAGCCATTTGGATCACTTGTTTATCAAAAATGAAAATGGTAATCCTCTTCCTAGTCATCTTGGGCGGAGCCTTTGCGCAATTGGATTCAAAATATTGGATCGACCAGAACGGAACTACTAGGCATTGGGTAAGGTGATTTAAAAAAAAATGGATTCAAGACAAGAACGGATCACGTATGCTATGGTTCGAAGATAAAACTAAATAAACTTTAAAAGAAGCTTTAATTTACAAGCGCACGAAACGGAGAATTTAATTTCAAAGAAAAATACAAATTATCAAATAACATTTGCTAATATATTTCCAATTTAAAGACTATATTATTAAGAAACCGGATCGAATTGCTTTGGGATTTTGAAATTGAATAATCCCGCCAAGCCATTTTGGCGCCAAAGTGACCGGAATAGGGGTTATTTTACTAGGGTCTGGGTATCAGCCACACTGGCCTGAAAATAAATAATAAATAAATAAACTCCAATGAGCTCCGCGCTGAGGGACCTCATCCTGAACACCCGGGTGCCGCTGATCCTGGACCAGTTCCCGCTGGAATGGGAGTGCTTCGAGGGCTCCCTGCACGACTGGTGCGAGCGGTTCGACCAGGAGGCCACCGATCCGCCGGCCTTCGAGCTGATGTCCCTGACGGACAGCAGGACGCCGCAGTGGGAGCGCAAGCGGACGAAGGCCACTCACATGGGCATGCAGGAGTTCCTGCGGGAGTATGGAGTCCTGGAGGAGGATCACACCCACTGGGCGGCGTACCAGTACAAGAGGGCCCACGAAATGCCGGCTAGTTGCTTGAAAGGCATCGATTTCTCCTGCTTTGGTTTCCCCGAGCACGGCAACGACTTCAGCCTCTGGCTGGGATCGGAGCAGGCCAACACGCCATGTCACTACGACACCTTCGGCGTGAATATCGTGGTCCAGGTGCACGGCTGCAAGTCCTGGCTGCTCTTCCCGCCCGAAACGCCGCTGCAGAGCACTAGGATTCCCTACGAAGAGTCCAGTGTCTACTGCCTGGACAACTTCTATGCCCCGGATCCGCAGAAGATGAGGAGCTATGAGGATCTAGGCAGAGAGGCCTACCACTGCAACCTGCAGGCAGGCGATGTGCTCATCGTTCCACGTCACTGGTGGCACTACGTGGAGGCCATGTCCACGTCGCTGAGCGTCAACTACTGGGTGCCGCTCAAGGTGGACATGGACTTGGCACTCGATGAGTTCCTGGTCAAGCACATCGTGGAAAGCTTCGTCAAGGGGGAGAGTGATGAGATAAAGGAATACCTCCTCAATCCCAACCAGCTGGAGGACATTTCCAGCAAGCCGAGTGAACTCTTCGCCCAATTTGAGCAGGCGGTGAAGAATATGGAAGGCGGTCAGAGCAAGCGGAAGCTCTGGGAATCGGATTACCTCAGTCAAGCGGACTGGAAAACCCTGCTGGACAGTAGTAACCTCACTGTGCGACCTCTAGAAGTGATGCCCCACGATGAATACAAGCTGCTGCTAAACGCCAACTCCAAGAGGTTCCAAATCCAGAGTCAACCAGAGATAGTTCCTCCCATCAGTTCCACCTGGGAGCTCCTAGTGACCAGCATGTGTGCTCCGCGTGTGATTGCCGGAATGAAGAGGGAGTTCTTCCGTAGACTGCAACAAAGTGACCCTTCGTAGCTTATAATACAAAAAGATCTTTAGAGATAACGTTTACTATGATGCGTGATAATATTGTTGCATATGTGAGATTAAAATCCAATAAGCCATCAACATGTATGATACAATTTCCAAACAGAACCAGAATACGGAGCATTAAATGCCGAATACCATCCATCGTCTCTCTGCCATGCGATTGACCCTTGGGCGGACATGAAGTTGCTAGCTTAAGAGGGCCCTCTACCAGCCCGGTGGCTTCTGGTTGGGGTAGCCGCCCTGCTGATTAGCATAGCTGCCGGGATAGGTTCCATAGTGGCCGGGCGGAGGTCCCTGCGGGAATCCTTGGTACTGATAGGCTGCAGGAAGGGTAAAAAGTTATTAGAGATCCTTTTTTTTATTAAGTATTCCATAACTTACTGCCCGGATACGGCAAGGTGGCGTACGGATTGAAGCTTTGAGGCATTGGAGCGGGCACATAGGCAGGATATGGCACTCCTGGCTGGGCTCCATACGGAATGGGCATGCCTTGCACCTGGGCCGGATACGGAATGTTGGCCGTTGATGCTACAGGCGGCACACTGGGTGCAGAACCAGGTGGAATATCTAAAGAGGATTACATAGCATTTATTATATGGTTTCTTTTGCGGGTTAAGCTACTCCACTTACCGCTGCCACTGCCCGAAGTGGAGGCGTAGTGCGAGGGCAGCGCCGGAGTGGCTGGACAAGCCTGGCGACTGGACTCCGTGGTCAGATCCTTGAGCAGCTCCTCCTTCTCCGTCTTGCGGGCAAACACAAAGTCGCTTATCTTGTTCTGGAAGACGACCAGCAGCTGTGTGAGGTCGTTGTAGAACTTGGTGCCCTCCTGCAGGTTGCCGGACAGTTCAATGTAGCTGTCGTAGGCGCTGGCCAGTTCCTGGTACAGAGTGTCCCGCGAACTGCCGCAGCTGCCGGTCTCGGAGACAAAGTCACCGTGGGCGCTCTGGATGTCGGCCACCAGCGACTGCTGGCGCTCCACGCTTTCGCGCACCTGCTGCTGCAGGGGATTTAGAACCTGGCCAATGCGAGCCAAGGACAAGGCGGGCTCATCGATGGCACCATCCTTCTGCAGGGCAATCAAGAACTCGTCCTTCATATCGAACGTGGCTCCCTTGAGCTCCGATTCGATGGCCTCGCGCTCCGCCTTGATGGTCTCCACGTCGTCCATCAGCCGCTTCACCCGCTGCACGCTGGAGCAGTTGGGATCCACACTGCCGCTGGCCGAGGGCAGTGACTGCTGGATTTGATCCGGTGGCAGCGAGAGCAGCTGGATGCCCTTCTGGTTGGCCTCGAACTTCTGGCGCACCACCTTGTCGGCCTCAATGGCATTGGTAATGACCTCGCGGTACTTCTTCGCATTCGTGCGGAACATCTCGGTCAGCTTGTCGGAGGAGATGCGAGTCCAGCGCTCCTTGAACTGCCCACGCAACTGGTTGTCCGAGTCGCGTTCCTCGTCCAACAGCCGCTCGGTTTCGTCGAGAATCTCGCGATTGCGATTCAGCAGCTCGGGCAGATCCTTCAGCAGCGTCTGCACGTTCTCGATGCCGCCCTTCTGGCGAACCTCAACGGCCTTGTCCTTCAGCGACGGCGGCAGTCCGCTGTTGCCATCGGCCGTCTCCACGGCGGCCGGAAGATTCAAGCTGGCTAAGACAGCATTAAGTGTTTGAGTCGATTCACGCAGCTTCATGATCTCCACATTGACAATCTCATTGCGACGCATATCGGAGGCGGTGAGCGCGCGATGCAGCTCCACTGGCACCAGGGCAGTGAAGATGTCCTTGAAGTTTCCTGCCATCGGCACACCAATCGGCAAGGGCTTGGCCAATTGAGCTTTTCCCGGGGAAGCCAAAGTGCTCAAATCCGGTATAATTTCGTTGTAGATGAACTCGTTGTCCTTGGTGGACTCGGCCAGGTTGCGCTTGGCCCGGCTAAAGTACTCATCCAAGTAGGTCTCATTTCCTCCACGCGACTGAGCCGCCTTGAAGAGATCGATGGCGTTGCGCAGGCGGGCGATCTCCTCGCCAATCTTCTTGGACGAGCGGCACACGAGACTCTGGTACAACTGGGTGAGGGCATGGAAGCCGGCCTGCTTGCCAGCCACCGTGGGTATCCACTCCTTCTCCCACAGACTGCGCACCGACTCCTTCTGCATGGCACGGAGTACGTCGGCGTAGAACTCCTCCGCCTGGCAGCACAGCTTGGCGATTATCTGGTCCTTCATGTTATCTGTGCGGATAGAAATGCTTGATAATTAATATCTGTTGGGTTATAAATACTTGAACTTTTAAGGGCTTTACTGCTGATTAAAATCTTATCGTTCTCTGACATGTATGATTCATGCCCAGTTTTGTTATCATATAAAAATAGGAAATATAGGGTAATGAACCCTTGGAAAATAAACAGAGGTTTTAAATAATCTAAGCAGTAAATTACCTAACAGAAATATATATTTTGTACCAATAACTTTAAAAAACTGAAGAAAGTTATCATTTTGTATATTTTTTTTCGAAATAAGAAACAATTATAAGTTCATATAAGGTTTGTATAATAATAGAACTACACTTATTGAGTAACAACCTCTCCAAAGAAGCTTTTTAGCTGATAAACTATTTTTATCGCCTAATGTAAACAGTAAACCATTGTTCATAGATAAGAACTTTAATAGTACCAGTGATCTTATCTATTATTATTTATATATTTAAATTCCTGGCACTACAAGTTAAACTTATATATTAATGTGCTAGTCACGTGAATTACAATACTTTTTGATCAGAATAACTTAGTAAGTTATCTTATAAACATATATAGCACATACCTTTAATGGCCTTCAGGATGAACACCTCCTGGGCCTGGGCGACCATCAGAGCCTGCAGCACGGTCAGCGTGTCCTGGCTGAGATCGGGCGTGGGCTCCGAGGGCACCGCCGCCGGCGTGGCTCCCTTCAGGTACTGGAAGATGCCGGCGCTCTGCTGGAGCAGCTTGATGGCCAGCTTGAGGCCCTCGTCCGAATCCAGCTGCTGACTGGCAGCGATGCTGCTCTGCAGGGCGGCGATGTTGAAGAGGACGCATACCTTCTCGTAGAGCAGGGAGGTATGGGCTGTTCGGGGATTAAATATACATAAGATAATGGTGAAATACATAGTATTAGATGATGAATCACTCACTCAGGCTGATTTTGCCGCCGAAAATGGAGCCCTTGTCGAAGGCATCCTTCCACTTGAAGGGTATCTGCAGTTCGCTAACCGATATCTTGGTCTCCAGCGCACAGATCTGGTCATAATAGCTGGAAATATAGAATGGGGGAGCTTAATAATGGTAGGACTACGTCATCGGAGAGCTTGTTTACGTCTGACCAGCGCACCAATACAGAAGCACCAGGTGGCGAATGGAATGGAATGGGTGTGATTAGCTCCTACTTTTCTACTGCTAGTGGGTGACTCATCTGGAGATCCCCGGAAAAGTACCCCTAATATAAAGAAATACTTACGCATAGACAATCTCCAGCGAGGCCTCGTACTTCTCGAAGAATTTCCAAATCGCCAAATTGCGTTGTTTCGAAAATTCGTTTACGGCCTCCGCATACTTCGCCTTCTCCTCCTCCGTCGCCCCGTTGTAGGTGCTCTGGATGAGATTGTTCAGCGGCTTGACCACGTCCACCTCCGACGGCTTCTTCAGCGGCACGCCCAGAAACTTCGACATCTTTTCCTGTTCTGCGGAGTTGGTCTTTTGTCTGATACTCTGATTCAGATGCGGATTCCAAGATATTAATTAAACCGTCTGGTCGCTCTTTTCGAACTTCGCTTTGCGCTCTCTTTCTCCTCCAACAGCTGGCCAGCGATGGCCGACCGTCGATTGTGTTATCGATAACATTTGGTTACTAGTATCACAAAGCTATATTTTTTAGCTATTTTGGCTGCAGCTATTTTTAAATAATTATTTACCTCCTCACCGAGTGCAGTGTGTTCAAATGCTAGACTGTTGAATTATAAACTCAACTTCTAAAAATGACCTCGAGTTCGCTAACGCACTCAATTTATTTTATATTTATAGTTTTATTCTTTACTTTTTTTTAAATTAAGTTTTTAAAGTAATTTCTATCAGGGTATTCCCAAAACTGTTGAATTGCTGAATTGTTGAATACAAAGTCAACTCTCAAAAGTCTCGATGCTGTTAAAAATTTTGTTGAATCGTTGAAAACCATTTTAGTATCACCAGAACACATTATTTATTTTAAAATCAAACTTAGGAAGCATATTTGTGGTTCTTTTTAATTGGTTACAATTTTAGACAGTAACTAACAATATTAAATCAAATTTTGCATGTTTAAAGTTCCGTGAAACTTTTCAACAAATAACAACTGTTTGAAAATTCAACAGGAAACATTTTGGGCCGTTCCCTTAATTGTTGAAATTTTCTGTTGAATTTTCAACAATTCAACAGTTATGGGAATACCCTAAATATAAATATTTTTCTTCTCCTGCAAAAATATATCGATATATTTATATTTTTCAACCTCCCTTCTCTGGATTCTGGACTTTCTATTTTCTGATTGCGTTGTTGTCGAGAAAACTCAGCGAAAATTAGTAAAATTTACCGTTTTACAGAGCACACTTGGTGGATAACTCAGCCCTTGACAAGGATTCGCAAGTGAGTAGAGATACGGGCTAGCTACTCCCCAGTGACACCATCTAGAATCCCATTCCATCCCGTTCCCGTTTCCCCGCAGAAGAAGAAGCAGCAGCGGTAGAAGTAGAAAATCGAAGAGACCCCGCGATGGCCGAAGTGGAGAAACCGACGGTTGCGGTGGTGGCCACGCCCCCGACCGACATCCCAGAGGCACCGGCGGCAGCAGCCACGCCCCCAACGGCGCCGGCGGCTGTAACGCCCACACCCACGGATGTGGAGCCGGGCACCTCGCCCACCCAGGAGCCCAACTCCAATTCGCATCCCCACGACTCGGAGTACGACACGGCCAGCGATCTGGAGGGCGGCGAGGGTGACTACGACGACGAGGAGAGCGGAAGTGGAAGCGGTAGCGCCAGCGGCAGCGAGGAGGAGGAGGAATCCGAGTCGGACGACGAACTGGGCAGCGAAACGGATGACGGCGAGGGGGAGCAGGCCCTGGACCGCTCCGTCGCGGACAGCGAGGCCCAGAAGAAGGTGGACGAGGACCGCAGCAATCCGCAGTACATTCCCAAGCGGGGAACTTTCTACGAGCACGACGACCGAACGGCGGAGAACGAGGGCGAGGTGCTCGTCGGGGAGCCGGAGAGCGGTGCTAGCCAGGCACCGGCGGAGCCCAATGGCGAACTAAATGGTTTGGCGGCTGCGGGAGTTGCTCCCGGTCCAAATGGCCAAACGCCACAGATCTCACAGGCATCCAAGACCATGCGCAAGTGGCAGCCGGCTTCTGGTGGAGATCGCTGGTCCCACGACCGCTTCGAGGCCACGGAGCAGGCGCCCAAATCGCGGCAAGAGCTGCTGCAGACCTACGGCTATGATATCAGGAACGAGGATGCACCGCCTCGAGCCAGACGTCGTCGGCGGTACACACGTGGGCCTAGTAAATACTCAAGGAACTGGGAGGATGAACAGGCCTACCTGAAGGCCAGCAACAAGGAGCGCAAGCCGCCAAGGCCACAGGATTTCCCGGCTCTCAACGAGAGGAAGCCACGTGGTCCAAGAACCTCTTCGTCCCGAGAGGAGAAGGAGAATAGAAGGTCTGGAGGAGCAGGAGGCCTGGTTGCCTCGGAGAAGCCACAGCCTTTGGCCAGTGGCTCCAATCCACACAGATCGCAGGAAAGGGAACGTGAAAGGGAGCGGGAAAGGGAGCGGGAGCCCAAGAACCGCAATTTTGGAAGGATGAACGGCGGCCCGGGACGTCAGAATGGCATGGAGTTCAAGAAGAACCAACGCGGACCGCAGCCAAGAGAGCCACGTCCCGACCAACTGGACAACAACCGCAACAAGCCGACCACTCCACGCTCCAACCAGCAACAGCCGCAGCAGCCAACTCAGCACCAGCAGCAGCCGCAACAACAGCCGCAACAGCGACAGCCGCCGCAGCAACAGCAGCCTCCTCCACAGACGCCGCTCTCCACGACGAACCTCTCGCAGCGACTGCAGCAGGTGCAGCAGCGCAACGATCCCAGCCATGTGGGCAGCGTACAGATGCACTCGCTGGCCAGCCAAAGTCAGGCGTCGCAGCAGCAGCCAGTCCATCAGGAGCAGCGAAATGCGCCCAAGCGCTACTCCAGCCTGCGTCGTTCCCAGCAGGAGGCATCCCAGCACCTGGCGGAGCAGCAGCAGCAGCAACAGATGTTGCATCTCCAGCAGCAACAACAGCAACAGCAGCAATCGCAGATTATGATACAGGACCCACACATGCTGATGCAGATCGCCTACCAGCAGCAGGAACTCCAAGCCCAACTGCAGACCATGCAACTGGGACCACCACCCACTGCAGCGGGAGCAGTGGCGACGCCACCAAAGCCACATGCTCCGTACTACGTGACCACCGGAACGGAGAATGTGCCCGTTCCGGTGCCCGTGGCAGTTTCCCAGGCTCCCTATGTGAATCCGGCCAGTGCCGCCTACTTGCTCCCGCCTACGGCTCCCTCGGTGGTGCCGCAGCCCACTCCACAGCCGCCCGCCCAGGCTCCCCAGGCCGCCACGCAGCCGGCGCAGCCGTACCAGAACTACAACACGGTGGGCGGCACCACCTACTTTGTGCCGCCGGCCCAAACCGCCAGCCGACCAGCTGCTCTGCCCCAGCGTCGTCCCACCAACGCGATCCCCATCCTGCCGCCCTCGGAGAAGCACAAGGGCAAGGGAGGTGGTAATGGTGGCGCCAAGGAAGAGGGCATCTCGGACAACATCGATCATATAATCGACAACATGTTTGTGCAGCGACCCTCGGCTTTCCAGGCCACCGGAGAGGGTGCTGCTCCAGGTGGAGCAAGCGGATCGAAGGAGGAGGTGGTGACCAGTCAATCTCCTTCTGCCGAGCAGAACCTTCAGCCGGTAACGGCCACTGGGCAGGAATGAGTGCAGGCGTTCGCCGGCTTGCCGACGCAACAGCAACCGAGACGAGGTCAAAGGATCGCTCCTCCTCCATCCGCCGGCTACTCAATGCTGCCGCCGCCGCACGCTGGCTACTACCGACCTCCGCCCCCGCCGCACTAGTGCTCCAAACTCATCTGATGACTTTTTTTTCCCCCATTCTGTCCTCGGGTCTGCGACCCCACGATGCAAACTGCATAAATTGTAGAAACGCAGTAAGAACCATTTGTAATTAGCATTTAGCTCCCAGATAATCGAACCTACTAACGAGAAAATTTTTCGTATATAGACGACGTATATATATATAATCCGTAGTTTCTAGGGCCAAGCTGCGGCGCTCGCTTATTAAGTCGAAAAAAGTGAAAGAGTGCTTAGCTTATTTAGCCGCATTTTAGAGTTGAAACAAATGAATTACCGACAGAGAAATGTATTTGCGTAAACTAATCGATTATTGAATTTAAATAAACGTTTAACACGAATGTACAAAGACTTTGGAATGACACACTAACTTACTAACTAGCTGCAAAGTGCGAGTTCTCATTTCGATTCCGAGCAAAGGTGGGTTGCATAGGGGATTAGAAAACGTGCGAGGTTCATTAAAAGTCATTAATAAAAATGGAAAATGCACTGGTTTGATGGGAATCGAAAAGCAGAACTGGGTTTCAATTTGAGCCCTGCGTGAATCATTTAATTTTGGTTTTATCATATTATGCCACGAAATTTCTGATTTGTTTAATTCAATTCAATGTGAAATAAATTGAATGTTTTTCTAATTCATTTCGAATTGAATGAATGAATGAATAATTTTTATGCATTTTTTGAATGTGCCAGATTTTTTTTGTGCTTTCTTTTGAGAACAAAAAGTGCAACATTTTTAAGAAATCAATGTTAACTGCTTAGAAAATAAAATTCAGGCAGATTTAATCACAAAATTAGGCCCTTCTTCAAAAGAAATTGTCGTTTGAATTATTTCGGAATTCATGCCATTCATTCATTCAATTCTATTGAACTCATAATTCAAATGCATTCAATTCTATTAAACTCAAAATTCTAATTAATTCATTCATATAAAAAAAAAATTCAAAATAATTCGTTGAATCCATTCATGCAGGGCCCTAGTTTCAATTGACATCAAGTAAGATTTTGTCCCTTCTTAATACTAAGCTTCAAGCTTTTCAGAGCTTGGATTCCTTAGCCAGCTGCTCGAGAAGAACGCTGATGCGCCGGAAAGAGTCCTTAAATACGTCGTTGAACTTGCGGGCACTCGTCTTGAGGCTATCCCGATAGGCGGTGGTTTGGATGAACACACTGCAATATAAATAGGTTTAAATGGGAATTCAAAAACCGGAGGATTTAAGCTTACGCTCCAGAGGTGATGGAGTAAAAGACGCCGTAGCCATCCACCAGCATGGGTGCCACAAAGCCCACGTTGGCGGTGAAGCCCAGAGTGCTGGACGAGAGCACAAAGTTGCCACCACCACCACTTTTCGAGTACAAGGGATCATCGTAGAAGGCGGGAATGTCCTGTTTGTTTTCGTAGGCCGCACACCACAGGCCAAACAAGTGCCGATCGATGCCGTTTCCCTTGCGTGCCTCGTTCATAAAATGCTTGTGCTCGTCGACGGCCTTGCGGAAGGCCCTGGCCAAGGACATATCGCCCACCTGTTTGTTGGCGGAGGCCCTCAGGAACTCCGCCACGGCGCCAGTGCAGGAACGCAGCGTTTCCGTTCGCCCATTGTAGTACTGACGCATCAGGGCGGTCTCGTAGGTGGGAGCAATCCTATTTTGTACAAGAAAATCTATTAAAATGGTGTTCTATTAAATCTAAACTTCCACTCACTCCTTATGCATCTGGTAATAGGCCCACTGCATCACCACCTGCACAAAGGAATCGGGATGCAGGCGGTGGGTCTTCATAAAGTCCTTGCCATAGTCATCGAACACAGTGAAGGTAGTGGTGACATCAATGCCCTAGGGTTGAGAATAAGGAAATAAAAAGTTAAGAATTTCTCAACTCGGGTACCTCGTAGAGTTTGCCTTAATTACACTGTGCAGCATTTTTAGTGCTTTTTAAATTTACCTCGATGGATGCTATATTTTTGGATTCGTTACGAATTCCCAAGATAAACTGCGTTTTCAAAAAAGTTCCCCGACGCAAGGATTCTTAGCAAAAGGACCTCAAAGTTCGAAAAATGCAGAAATTGGCCAACTTTCCGGAGCTCTCAGAGGCAAACGGATTCATGGTTTGATTCGATGCTAAAGTTTTTTAAAAGATACCTTCTTTATCTTTCAAACCCCATACTTAGAATAATTTTAGGATTTTTTTAAGGCAGAAATAGATTCCAGAAAACATAGTCAAAAAACTTAAAAACATACAGCTGCGGTCAAAATAGTAGTAGTGTTGCCGCCCTGTGTTTTTAAAAGTTTGTTGTTGTAATTCATCTTCTTCTGGTGATATTGTATTGATTATAATTGTACTATTAGACTAATTGGATAAGAAAAGTGACAACAAAAAACTTTTAAAAACACATGACGGCAACACTACTACTATTTTGACTGCAGCTGTATACTTTTATGTTTTTTGACCATGTTTTCTAAAACTTGTTTCTCCCTTAATAAAAATCCTAAAATTATTCTAAGTATGGGGTTTGAAAGATAAAGAGTGTATCTTTTATAAAACTTTAGCATCTAACCAAACCATGAATCCGTTTGCCTCTGAGAGCTTTGGAAAGTTGGCCAATTTCGGAATTTTTCGAACTTTGAGGTCCTTTTGCTAAGAATCCTTGCGTCGGGGAACTTTTTGGAAAACGCAGTTTAACTTTGGAATTCGTAACAAATCCAAAAATATAGTATCCATCGAGGTAAATTTTTGATGCTGCATAGTGTTATCATTTGTGATTTTTTGGAAAATTGTTGGTGGCCATTTAGGGGCGCTGTGAATTTTTGAAGTTAAGAACTTAAAAAAAGTTCTCAAACTTTAAATTAGTATATCTCGGGAACGGCATACAGGAACAACGTGCAACTTTACACGTTTTTAAATGTGTACTAGCCTAGTAATACTAGAGGAATTAGGAAAATATTTTCTTAAATTTTTTGTTGGCCAAAAAGTATGAATTTAAGAAAAACCTATTTATATTTGCAACGAGTACAATTCTTACATGTTTAGGATGCAAGTTTGCACAACTCAATTTCTCACTGATATTATGCACATATGTATATTAATATCATAATTTTACCACCGTCCCTTCATATAGATAGAAGGTAGAAGGTAGGCTTTGAAAAAATATTTTGTTTTAGATTGTGAAACCCCTATATTATATTAGTTTACCCACCTTATCATCGATGTCCTTCTGGACCCGCTTAATCTCGCTCCTCAAAGAGTCATCTAGTTCGAACTGCAGCTCCTTGATCTCCGCCACCTTGCAGCTCTCGGCCTCCTTCCAATCAGGTTCAGGAACCTCCAGGAAGCTCAGTTGCATGAAGGTGGCGAAGCTGATGCTCACGGTGCCATCGTAGCAGCTGTGCTCGCCCGCCCAATTGGAGCGACCATTCTTGAAGACGATAATGCTGCTGCTGCGATCCGCCCAGCGGGAATGAAGATCCCCGAAGAGACCCAGCTGCGAGGACTCCTCGTAGTCCTTGGGCGACTGCTCGTACCAGCAGATCTCCATGATGGCGCTCTCCACCATCAGCAGCGTCTCCTTGTTGGCCGCCGAGATCTCCCGCAGCCGATTGCGGTTGCGAGCCCAAGAGGTACGATCGTCGTGGGTCAAAATGGGCACACAATCGCCCAGCGGTTCGTAGTCCAGGATGCTGCGCAGCCGCTGCAGGGCCACCAGAATCTCGGGAGCTGACAGGATGGTGTCGTCTTCGTGGACACAATCCAGCATGAACTGACGTCCCTTGCCGGAGATCAGGACGTGAGTGGGAGTCTTTCCCTCGTCTTTGGTCAGGAAATGCTTCTCGATGTGGTCCTGCTCCTCGCCTGGAATGCGGCTCGTGGAGAAGAAGTGCTTGTACAGCGCCGAGGAGTACTTGATCTTGCCGCCGTTCGAGGAGAGCGGCTTGATGCTGGACTTCCTAAGCAGATCCCAGAACTCTAGGGTGTGATGGATGTGTCTGGCCAAGCTCTAAGGATACAAATACAAATACAGTTTTGCCAAGAAATTGTGTACATTTTAAGACAAGTTGTTAATAAGTCTAGTAAGATTACATAAATAATCTTTAGATTACCACTTAGTGATGCATTTTCTATAGATAAGCTTGGTTTGTATAAGTAGTCTATACAGAACAAAAAAGTTTTTTCAATTAATTCGGAAAGTGCTGCTTCAAAGAAAATTAGGTATTCAATGTAAGGTACGTAAAAAAATTAAAATACAAAGCAATGCACAATGATAATGTTTTCAAAATTAAAATAAATGTTTTCTATGATTACCTATCAGTCTAATAAGATTTCATAAAACACCTTTAGATTACAATTTAGTGGTGCATTTTCTATAGATAAGCTTGGTTTGTATAAGTAGTCTATACAGAACAAAAAAGTTTAAATAAATTAGGAAAGTGTTTGTTCGAAAAAAATTAGGTATTCAATGAATGGTGCGTAAAAAAAATTAAAATACAAATCAATGCACAAGGATATCGTTTTCAAAATTAAAATACCTAATTTCTTTACAATGAAATAAGTGTTCCTAACTTATGATTGGAACTTTCATTTTTTTAAGTACCTACTCTATGATTATCTATCCACTCACTTTGAGCATGTATTCCGGGGTCTCCGGCACGCCCACCATCTCCAACTGGGCGGGCATGACCATTAGTTGGTAGGGCAACAGGGGAATTCGGATCGGGTGGTAGGCGTAGTCCTCCCACCAAGTGCCCAGCCAGTTCCTCATGCTGGCCTCTCGTTTCTTCAGCTTCTCGTGTAGCTCAGCACCCACTCCCTTCTGGAACTCATCGATGGTCCTTCGAGCCTGGGCCAACTCCTCCTTGGAACCAAAGGGCTGGATGCAGGCGTAGTAGCGCTCCATGGTGTCCTTTAGTTCCGGCAGAGGAAGCGAGGGTAGCGTCTCGTCGAAATCAAAGGTGTTCTTATCATCCTTGCTCATGAAATATAGGCTAGCCCGATCCATGGTGGTTTATCTGGGGGGAATCGTTGAGATAAGTTTGCGTGTGGTGGCTCTCGAAAGGCCTATGGCCATTAGATTAGAATTCAAATCAATAATCATATCTGGAATCACTTTCGCAGCCGAAGGGTCCAAAGTTCTCTCAATAAATAAACTGGGTACATTCACATCGAAAATGGATCTTAACAGATCTTCTGGGATAGTTGAATAAACATCACAAAATAATGATATTTTAATAAACAATTTACAAGTGCAGGTGTCAAAATCTAAGTAATCTTTTTTGCAATAGAACTAGACTGGCTAGACGAATATATCTCCCCCAATCAGTGGATCAAAGTACGGATTTGGGAGCTTTATAAATATTTATATTCCCGGTGCACTGGTGAAATCATTGGCCAATTTCACGCCAACTGACCTTTGGACTCGATGGAGAATTCACGTTTGCCGGAGACACCCGAATCGCCAGACTGCCGTTATACGACTGAATCCAATGGGTGGGCCTGATATCACAGCACACCTCGCTGGAGAACTTGGAACTTATCGCATCGTGGGATCCGCCACCCGCGTCCTCTGACTCAGTTTTGATAGTATATCAAACCCCAATCATGACCAGCAGACAGTCGGCCTCTGATAAGGCCCACTTTCATTTGAATTTCTATATTCCGAGATTACAGATCCCAGTGGACACACCCACACAAATCTATAAAAAATTGAGGTTTGTACCTGAACTTCACTGGGCAATAAAATCGGTCGAAATTAATGCAATTCGGCAGTTATCAGGTTCATTTGGATTGATAAGAAACCGATTTGACGGGTATTAAAGAGTATTTTAATATATAATTTTATCGTTGAACTCGAGCGACTTTGTTTACAAGCGAAGCGGCAAACCCGGTGGGAAATGGAAAGTAAAAACAGCTGATTGATAGGGCTGACAACTCTTTTTATTTTACAGGGGATTATTTATTTGTAAGTATTATTTATATTTTTAAAAGTTAAGATTGGCCTAAATTTGGTTTTTAAATGGCAAAATAAGTTACATTGTTTAAAAATAATAAAAATAGCTACTTAAGATGAAACTCTATTAGCTAACTAATGGGTTTTAAGCATTATTATATTATTATTATTATTACCTTCACAGGGCATTATAAATTCATTCAAAAAGTTGCATTTGTCTTTTAATTCAAATATAATTCAATTTTTGCGCCCAAAAAAGTTAGTTTTTGCAATCTCTTTTCAACCAGGTGGCAGGGCCAAATAAAAAGGTGCTGCCAGATCTTCTCCAACCAAGAACAGCTGACTGCTGATGAAATGAGCGAAAGAGACGGACAGAGAGAATAGAAGGAAATTTTGGGACGCTTGGTTTATTTGCTGAGCGGCTTGATTTCGCTAGCTAATCCCAGCCAGCCGCCGGAATGCTGCCGTCCACGGGCCTCTTCAAGGGCTTCCTGTGCCCGTACTTCGACGGCCAGGATGCGGCCACCTGCCGCCGTCCCTTTTGTCACTTCAAGCACGCCCGCAAAGGTGAGAACCTCCAGTTGATTGGCCTTTGTGCACTGCAATATTAACTTCCGGTGGCCTTTAGATGATGTGGAGACGGCGGAACCTGCCGCCGTGCCCGAGTACAAGCCGGCGCCCAAGCTGCTCTCCCTGCCGCTGCCCCAGATCGCGCTAAGTGCGCCCAGGAAGAAGTCGAATCTGGAGTATCACCCGGAGAAGCCGGCTCTGAATGCCTCGCCGGCGAAGAAGAAGCAGGAGGCGGCGGTGGATAGTGCACCCAAGTATGTGCCCGGCCAGCCATCGGCCACCAATGGAAACCAGGAGGAGGACGACTGGCAGGCGGCTTTGGATAAGGAGATCGATGAGCAAATGCAGGTGGAGATCGAGGAGCAGGTGCAGGAGCAAGCCAACCATGACGAACAGGAGGTGGTGGTCAAGCAAGAGGAGCCGGAGGAACCGGAGGAGCAGCCAAAGAGTGTCAGGGAAAGCCAGAGAAAGGAGCACAAGTCCAGCAAGGAGCGGGAAAGGGAGAAGGAGAAGGTCAGGGAGCGGGACAAAGAAAAGATCAAGGAGAGGGAGCGGGAAAAGGATAAGGAAAAGTACAAAGACAGGGAGAAGGATAAGAAGGACAAGCGAAAGTCATCCCACGGCGACAAGGAACGCTCCAAGGAGCGGCACACCTCCAGCTCCAGTTCCTCCAGGCACAAGTCTTCCTCCAGCTCCAGCTCCTCCCACAAGAAGTCCTCCAGCAGCGACAAGCATCGCGATGAGAAGAGCTCCACCAGTAGCAGTAGTAGCAGGCACAAGAGCAGCAGTTCCTCGAAAAGTCATCACCACAACTCCAGTTCCTCGAGTTCCTCACGCTCCAAGTCGAAGAGCAGCTCATCTTCTAGTAAGAGCACTTCCAAAAGCGAACCGGAGGCGGAAAAGGAGACTGAAGCAGCTCCAGAAGCCCAAACCGATCCCATGGAAGATCTGGATGAACTGGACTTTGATTTCGAGGCAGACACTTCCGAGGGAGAGATTGTGCGACAGTGCGAGATGATCTTCGACGAGATGGAGAAGAAGTTCGCCGAGATGCACAAGGACGAAGGTGGCCAAACCAACGCGGAGAGCTCTCGCAAGCGCAAGGCTCCCTCCCCAGACATTGACACCTTCACCGAGGCGGCGACGGCGGCTCTGCAGAAGCGGCGGGTGGCCCACGAGAACGCGGACAGGATCAAGCCGCATTTGGCTCCTTCGGTGGCGGTGCGCAAGCCCAATCACATCCGCAATGCCATGCAGGCGATCTTCGATCGGCGCGCGGAGCTGCGGCGCCAGGAGAAGCTGCAGGCCGATGCCGCTGCCGAGCAGCTGCGTTTGGCCCAGGAGCGGGTGCGCCAAGCGCAGGAGGAGCTCCGTCAGGCCAAGGTCAACTCCAGCCTTACACCACTTATTTCCCGCAGCGCTTTGACTCCACCAGTGCGTTCAGGTGAGCAAAGTTTATTGTTTCGATCAATTTAGAAGGAAATTAAATCAATTTTGAGATTTATTTTTTAATAATAGGTATACACTTACATCGAATTTCATGTTTTTGTGTAATAATTCATTTTTCTTATCGACATATGTTTATTACTCAGGTTATTTCAATTTCACAAGGAAGTACTAGTACTATCTCATCTTGTTTACTATACATTTATTATATCAAATTATATCTACACCCCAAACTTCTTATTAATTAATTTATAATCTAATCTAATTAATTATATTTCTTTTCCAGCTCGCAGCATTGCTCCCGTGGCCAACATAGTGGCCATTGCCCGGGCCAAGAAGAAGATCGAGGAGCTGCAGGCGGAGAAGAAGCCTGCCTTCACGCCGGCCCAATCCTTCAAGGGCGCCGGCCGAGTGGCCCACAAGCCCACGGCTGCGCTGGACAAAGCTGCTCCGGCGGCCAACGACGCTAATGCCGAGAAGCCGACCGTCCTGGACCCCAGTAGCTCCAAGATATCCTACAACGTGCGCATCCAGTATTACGAGATGATGGTGAAGCACTGCACCGTCATCTATCCGCAGTTGCCCGACGCTTGGGAGCGGGCCCAGGTGGAGGAGTTGGCCGTCTTCAAGAAGTGCAACACGCCTGCCATCTACAAGAACAGCTGCATGCTGGCGATTAACAAGCTCCGCAAGGAGGCAATCGAGGCGGGCAACAAGCCGAGCGTGGCCTGCAAGACGGTGTCGCATGAGATGATGCTGGGTGGGAAGAGGGCGCTCACAACCTCATGGAGTGTGGAGAAAAAGGAGTGGGTGGCTATTTTAAAAACTAATTATTGTTTATATGCAATCTGTTTGTTTTTCTATTAGAAATTATTGTTTAGATGGTAATTTAATAGGCGCAAATATTGCCCCTGTGCCAAAAACATTATGAACTCAATCAATTCTTTATGATTTTATATTTGTTGGCGCTTGAAAGATAATGATAATATTGCACATAAACAGTATTAGATATCAACAAACATTAAATAAACCAATATTTATTACAGAAAACTTGGCTCCCTGGCCAATGGCGAACCATTCGATGCTTTGGACGCCGAGAAAGCATACGAAATGGTCTTCGATCTGCGCCTGACAGACGAACAGCTGGTGGAGAACGGCTATCCGCGGCCGGGCGAGAAGCGCGGCACGGCGGTGATTCGTGCCTGCCGTCCCAACCGTCGACCCAACCAGAGTGAACGCTACTGCTCCCGCTGCGGCAAGGTGTTCAGCCTGGACATTTACGAGCACCAGGGCTTCGACATGTGCAACTACCATCCGAAGAGCACGGGCTACCGGCGGGGATTCACGGACAATCAGCACCGCTGCTGCCAACAGCCGGCGGGAACTCCCGGCTGCACCTACGGCAACTACCATGTGAGCGACTACTACGATCCGGACAAGCTTACCTGCTTCGTAAAGACGATCGAGAGGGGTGATGACCTAGTGCCCACCAAAAAAGACATATTCGCCTTGGATTGCGAGATGTGCTATACAACTCATGGAATTGAATTGACGCGCGTCACGGTGGTGGACATAAATGGACGCAGCGTTTACGATGCTCTGGTCAAGCCGGCCAACCAGATTGTGGACTATAATACCACGTAGGATGGGCTACCTCATTAGATTTATTTAGATCATTTTAAACTATATTTATTTCAGCTACTCGGGCATCACAGAGGCCATGCTCTCGAAGGAAACGCGTAATATACGCGACGTTCAGGCCGTGCTGATGTCCATGTTTCATGCCAAAACCGTGCTCGTGGGCCACAGTTTGGAAAGCGATCTGAAGGCCCTGAAACTCATCCATGACGTTGTGGTGGACACCTCGGTGCTGTTTCCCCACAAGATGGGTCCGCCCAAGAAGCGCGCTCTCAAGACGCTCTGCATTGAAAATCTGAAGCGAATTATACAGGAGAATGGTAAGGTTTTCAGAGGCGTTTTAAATTTATTATAATATCTATCTCCTCCACAGAGGCCGGCCACGACAGTGCCGAAGATGCCGAGGTCTGCATTCAACTCATCAAGTACTATCTGCGCAACAAAATCAGTTGAGCTACTATCATCCAACATCATCAGCATTCAGTTCAAAAGCATTACATACATCTGTTAATATGTATACCATGCCCATCAAAAAAATCAAAGCCTTAGCCCTTAAACTAACCATATTTTGTAAGATAAAACTGTATTTATAAATAAATCACTAAGCTCTGACAGCGGGAAAGTAAAGCCACATCTTTTAATGAAGGTTTATATTGTTATAATCATTTAAAAATATTAAAAGTCCTTTATAGAATTTCTTACCTCAACCAGTTATATTTTTCCCATTGTTCTCTATTTTTCCTTGGCTTTTCCATTTTTCCCTGGCTTTTTCACTCCCTTTACTATCGATAACAATTCAATGAAAAGCAATTGGAAAGTTTTGTAAAGTTTTTTACAGGACGCCGCGTTACAAACTGTAATTGCAAGTTTCGTGCTTGACGCACATCACAGGATATTCCGCCCCTTTTGCCGCCCCCCAGTTTCCTGCTTCTTGTTTTTGTTTTTATTATTTAAATGTAATTTTAATCAGATTGCGGCGATACTTTATATTTTTCAATTACACCCGGCCTCGTCTGCTGGCCGTGGGCACCATCTGCACGTTGGCTTCTTGTTGCTCCGCTTCAACATGCCGCATGGGGCAGGCTTGATGTTTCAATTTTAACGTTTTATAATTTTCCGTTTCCCGATTCGGGAAAAGTTTGGCTTATTGAACGCCAAAAGAATGCAGGCAAAGTTCCAGCACTTAATTCGGCATAATTGTTGCCTCCGGCCATGTGCTCCATCGGATGACAGGGGATGTCATAAGCATAAGGTGGGGTTCCCAGAACCCATTCCCTTTCCCCACCCATCTTTCCTGAAATGGCTGATGGCGACACGTGTTTATCTATTGAGCTGGCACAACACAACCTAACGAAAAGTAAATAATATTAGTGGTACTTGGCAATGACAATGTGCATATGTGGCCCAGTGCGAGGATATGAGGACATGAGGACATGAGGCGGAGGCCCAACGGCCACAAGAACACACACAAACCAGGATTCGGAAGTGCTGCTTGAGGCTTAGCAACAAGAGCAGCCGCGCTAGAATCACAGCTGCACTTGGAGAAAAGTCAAATTGAAGAAATACATAAAGATTTTTAGAAAATTATTTTATAGGTTACAGCGGATTTCATAAAGAAAACAAATATATTTTTTATATTATTTTATTTTGATACCAGTTCAAAGGAAAAAAATTAAATTCTAATTTTATAATCTTACTTTATGAACGATGGAAAAATATCCACAAATTAATAAACATTAAATTTTTAAAGCAGCTAAAAATCACATTATTTCGATATCAGGTTCATAAAAAACAACAATATATTGTAGTACTTATATTGATCTTACTTTAAAAACGATGGAAAAATCATTTTATTTTTAATCATAATTTTAAATTTCACAAAAATATGTAAATATTCATAAAAATACAATGAAGACGCCAAGAATTACTTTATTTTGATACCAGATAAAAAAATTAAATATTAGTTTTAGTATATTTATTCTAAACTTAAAAACGATTAAAGGATTTTAAATTTGGTGAACTTAATTTTAGAAAAAGCTATAATACTGTTTACTGACAAAAATATATATTTAACAAAATAATTTATTATTCCCAGAAAGAAATCTATAATATTTCTTACTTCCATTATAGAATTTAATTATTATAACATGTAAAATCTTTCCAGTGCAATGACAGAGGGCGGCATGAGTGGAGCCAGTGGGCAAAACAAACACTGGGCCAAATACAAACACAAATAAAAAGCCAAAAACCAAGGGGTAGTCGGTGGATGGGCTTACTCCCGCTCCTCGTGAAAGGAGAGCGGTGCTGCTTGACTTGTCACACATTGTGCTGTTGGGTTCCCGGTTCCCGGCTCCCAGTCCCCGGCCTGGTCGGAAGTTTACTTAAGACCGTCGAAATAGAGGCATTAAGATCTTTAATGTTAATCCCCTGAGCAAATGCTGTGTGGTCGCGACGACATCGCCACTGCGTGTGTGAGTGCTCAAATGGGCGTAAGGATGGGATGCGATGGGATGTGGGGATACAACCTGGTCTAGTTGTAGTTGAGGAGGCATTAAAAAAAGGCTTAAAAGCTCGCCGAGCCCTTTCGTAGCCCCAAAGCCCACATATGAATATTTCATTTGGCCTGATGACAACATGCATGCGCCGACTAAGTGCTTTAAACATTTAGCTTAATGCCCCCGGTCCTTTTGTCTTTTAATTTGCTCGCCGGGTTCCGTCACGTATTTAACCAAATTGCGCATACGCCGCATTGGCCGCTCCGCTTGCACCAAATATTAAAGCGTATACGTTTACCCTTGGAATATTTTCGGCATTTCGGCTGGCGGAGTGCGGTTCCCTAAGCCTGCAGCGCATCTGGCCTGGGCCAAAAACCTTTTTACAACTTTTCTGGAACCAAAAATAAAAGAAAAAAAAAATCAACAAACGGCTAAGCTGGGCGGCAACCCACAGCCCAATCTAAATAAGGTGAGCTAAAGGCAGTGGCAAAGGGAAAATAGCGACCGTGGGCGGACCGAAGAAAGGCAAATAAAGAAAGCTAAAAGAAAGCTGGCAAAAGCAAATGCCGAGGGCCAAGAGCCAGATGAAGGTAAAGCTGGCGGTAAACGCAAAATAAAGTCATCACAAACATATTAGCAGCTAAAAACACCTGAGCAAATAGATTTATATGCACGATAAAGCACAGAGTAATTTCCCCTAGATCCTGTCAACCGCCACCCACAAGGGCCACGCCCCCCGCCGCCCGCCCACCTGCCTGTTGCCTAAGCCGCAAAGTAGCTGGCAGGCAGCAAGATAACATCACTTTATTGTAAGAAAGTTAAAACACAAAAATGCAAGCCAGTCCCCAGGTGGAAAGTGAGTGTGTGGAGTGTTCCTCCGACCTAAAAAAATAACCAAAAAGTACCCATAGTACCTATACCTATGGCGTAAAACTTCTCAATGCCGTTTGCCGCTGTTTTACGAGCCATTTCCTTTTTTGGTGGGGGAGGGGGAGGCTGCTCCTCCACTTCCGCTTCCTCTTCCTTCTTTAGGTGTGAAATTATAAAATTTGTAGCATAATTCTAGGCCGGCGAACAAGTGGAGCACGCGTGCGTCCACGTTGTAAATACATAAGTTTGCCACCCCGGGTCGCAGTTGTACTTACACTACAATATATATATGGAGACGGTGGGTAGGTGGGTTTACAATCCCGCGACTCCCGAACAAGTTGGGCCAGTTTATGGCTCCGGCAAGTGCACGTCAGGACACACACGTAACGCTTTTATTTCGTACTTAGCAGGACATTTCTGTGCACTTGCCCGGAGTGGAATTACTCTCGCCCGGGACTCGCGAATTGGCCCAAAAGCTGACGAGGCTCTAACACACAGAACTTCATTTTGAAAGATCTAAAATTGTTCAAATAACATAAAAGGCATCCGATTTTCTAATGATTTTCTACTTCAGGAAAAAGGAAGGAAGAAAGGACTTTCTTTTTTATATATTTATTTTTAATTTTTAATTATTTACATTCATAAGACATTTGTTCATTATGAAGAGTTTTTGTTCTACTTAAGGAGGCAATAAATAAAAATTTTAAGAAAGAATTTGTTTTGATGATAATGAATCTGATTTAAATATTTTGATATTTTGTGCTTAAAAGTATGCAGTGAATACAAAATAGACGTCTCCCCGTAGGAATTCATATCACTTTTGGGTTAAACATTTATTGTGGCATACTTTTAGACACCTATTTTAAAATAACTTTTAATTTTAAAAACCCCCCGTTAATTTTAAAATGATTTAAGAAGCTAATTTTTAAAAAAAAGCATTGGGCTGAAATTAAAAGAACTTTCTTCTTTTCTCTTGAATGAAGTGAACTCGGATCATGTGTGGATTCCCATTCAAGTTGCCATTCAGAAGCGATTTCCCCAGTGAGTTGTCGAGTGCATGTGAGATTCGTTAGCGCTTCCTTTCCCTTTCTTTTTTTTGGCCAACAACTTTGAGAACGTTGAGGGGTGGAAGGTCGACCCAGGCCATTAGCAGAATGCTTGACAAATAATTAGGGCAAAAACTATTAAGTTGTCGCCCGTGCGCTCGCCCACACTCGCATACATGACTGATGACGTCCAGTGAAGGATGCCTCGGAGGACTCAAATTGACATTGCTCAACATGCCAGTCAAGTTGGCGACCAAAGTTCAGGCAAAAACGGCCAAGATTTGTCGCGGCTGGCAACTAAAAAAGTTAATTGCAGTTAATGACGACATTAATCACAAGAAAATGAAGCCGGGCGCAATGACAATAAGCACAAAGCGACAAATGAAGAGCCAACTTGAAGCGTCCGCTGCCGGGGCGGATGCACTGAGAGAAACTAGTTGTTAACCTTAGAAAATTGAAAGCTTTTGTAAGCTGTATTTGAAAGTTTATCCTTTTTAAGAAATAATATGTATTTCAGTACGGAAAAATTGAAAAAAAAAATAATTTCAAAAGTTATTTATATAAATTTAAATTTATATATTGATATAATATTACTTATTATGTATTTGAAAGAACATAACACTACAGTATTATTTAAATGATACAGCGATTTAAAGTAGTAAATGGATAATGCCTAAAATAAGTATTGATATTTTAAGTTTTCCATTTTAAACAAAGGATGTTTAAAATTTTTGTTAGAATATTGTTTGGCGGTTTTTACAGCTGGATAAATTTAAAAATATTTTTGATTAAAAAAAAACGGTCACAAAATATTTGGAAAAAGAAAAGTGCAAAATATTGAACGAAATATTGTTTATTTATAATTATTTATATTAAAATTTATTTACTGTTTTTATTTATTTCAGATCTCCAGTTTTTTTTTGCAGTGCAGCGTTGCTGAGGCTTGTTCCTGCTGCTGTTCTCTGTTTCTGCTGCTGATGCTGCGTGTTGCAGGCGAGTCCGGCAGCCAGGCGTCTATTAACACCGATCCTTTGGACTTGGCCGGTCCTCACAAAGCCGGCAAGACAATGGCAATGCGAAAGTTGCGTCAGCCCCAGACTTTTCCCAGAGAGTGAGAAAGAGAGAGAGCGAGAAAGCGGAGCGCAACAAGCGGCAACAGGAAGTGAGCGCGTAGTAGGAAAAGCAATTTTACTGCGAGTTTCCTCAAGA